AAACTCCTGCCCACTGTCTAAACTGCACAAAAACATCAGCTATCTAATGTATTAGTGCAATCTATGCAGTGTTAAGGTGATTGCTCGCACGTTTTGGTGGATTTATGGCCCTAATTGCGCCTCTCACTAGCCATGTAATGGCTTAGTAAATGTATTTTTAGAATAAATTGTGTTAAGAGTGCACAAATGGTTTCATGGTCTAGTTAGTGTACGTTGGGCCAGCCTGTTATTGTGTGTGTGTGTGTGTGTGTGTGGCTTTAAGAGCAGCTCAGTAAAAGCAGGACACTGCAGCTCAGCACAGAGCAGCAGACACACAAAGAGCGAGAGAGATAATGAACGAAGGCCGTCAAAGCTACGGCTGCCTCCCTGTGGGTGCTGGCAGCAAAGCATGCTGGGAGGATACACACACCCCTGCACTGAGGATGCGGAAACCCCGCTCATTGTTATTGTCGTTGTCGTATGAAAACATCAGGAGTTGTTTTTTTTGTGACATCCAGTTAATGTTTTTAAATCAGGTTTAAATTCAGATGAGTGGCTGTACTTCCCCCTGATAATAGTTTTAACTTAATTTGACATCATATGACATGTATTAGGTTAAACTCAAACAAACAGAAACAAAGAGAGCTCTTTTGTTCCTGATCCTGAGTCCCACTGCAATGCTGCTTCTGTAGAATCATATCTTTATTTGATTAAAGGTCACATACACTTCAACATGTTTTTCTAACACTAACATGTGTCTCTAGTCTGTCTACAAACCCCCCAATGATGAGAAAAGTCCATCCTCTCCGTCTTCTGCCTGCTCCACTTTTCAGAAAATGTGTGCTCAAACAGGCCGTTTGGAGATTTCCCTTCATGACATCACAAAGGGCAGTAACCCCTCCCCCAGGTGGGTGACACTCCCACAGCTAGGTGTTTGTTCTGCCCTCTGAGTCTGCCTTCTCACTGTAAACAATAGGACAATGGAGCGAGAAAGCCAGAGACACCCGAGCCCTTCCGGAGAGGAGAGAGCATTTAAGCTACAGACACAAACATATATGCATTTATAACTACTAAACTAAGATGTTTGTGAAGTTCAGTGGTGCAGTGCTCAGCGCTGTTGCCTCACAGCGAGGAGGTTCCTGGTTTGAATCCCCGTCTGACAGCAGCCTTCCTGTGTGGAGTCTGCATGTTCTCCATGCATGCATGGGTTCTAGGTTAACTGGTGACTCTAAATTGGCCGTAGGTGCGAATGTGAGGCTGGTTGTCAGTCTCTGTATGTCAGCCCTGTGAGAGAGTATAACCCACCTCTCGACCAATGACAGCTGGGATCGTCTCCAGCCTCTCGCATTATATAGATGGTGGTTGAATGGATTATATAAAGGTGTTGTACATGCTGATATTAAAATTGCCAATGCACAATATGGAAAGGAGGGAAAGGAAATTTGTCCCAAAATTACCACTCATCTAGAAGTCGTACTGTTTTTTGGATTTGATGAGTCAGGAATGCAGGCAGCCCACAACGTAAAGCTTTTTAAAAATCCCTGAGGAGCCGATTTCAGTCAGTCCTCAAGTCTAACAATGTGATGTAATCTAATGACGTGTCGGTCACAAGGAGTGTGTGTCGTTGTGTTTGACAGTGTGTGTCTTCTGCATCTTTGAGCTTGAGTGTGTTTGAGCTCAGTCTGCAGATCTTGAATAATTAAAGATGCACTAACGGTACAGTTGTCAGAGTGAATACAGTGCATGCATATGTAACAATAACATAATCATACACATGTATTAAACCTGCAGTCCTGCTACAAACCCTGTTTTTATGAAGCCTTCGATATGATCTTGAGATGCGGTAACACTTTTTAGGTTTTAAATATGACTCTAGTTTTCTATGATTCAGTCCGTTTTAAATCTGTGGTTAGTTGTGATGTTGTTCTGGATCTGCAGATTATTCACCCGATTTAAAAAAATAATGAAATAAAATATCATCCCAGTTTCTCAAAAATCTCTTGGTGGGAGTCCTTATCTTAAATTTTGAGAAATCTGATTTTTTTCCACCTGAAGACTGAATGAAAACATGATACTGTTTCTGACAGGCCAAGTGACGTATCAGCAAAAACAAACATGACTGCAGCGACGACAGCGTCTTATGCTACCTTCACGTGCTCCTCAGAAATATCTAATTCACCGTTTTTTCGAGGTTAATTGGAATGTTATAGGAATATAGGCCCTTATCGGAATATGACCTTAACCAAGATACTCGAGTCCTACATATTAACGCACTCGATTTCTTGTTCTGTCAGATTGTCAAACGCAGTTAACCTGTTTTTTTTGTTTTTAAATCATTGTATCCTTGTATTTAAGAGGCTGTTAAAAACATTATCTGTCTAGTGTTTGGATTAAAGATTACTTTAAAACGGTTGCAGCATTTTTTTTCTTCTGGCTGACTGCTAGATAAATGAACTTAATGCTGCAGCTCCAGATCTGTTCTCCTGCATTACATTCAGTCAAATATGCCTCTCTGCGAGCCGAGATTTTAAAGCGCTGTCAGTTAGGAACCTAAAAATATCACAAAGTCTTTCTGCCGTCCTCGTGGCCACTTTGATAAGAAAAACAGCTTTGTTATATATCCTGCAAACTGCAGAAGAAGCTGACGCCTTACTCAGAATACGATTTTAATGACATAAAAGCGTGCTTTTAAAAGTCTCAAAGATATTTAGCAGTTCGCTGCTGTGCTCTGTGAAGCTTCTATAGCATAACGTGTGCTCTCATTAAACCAGTCAGAGCACAGAGGCCTGATCGTCCCCCAGGCATCGGCCCACGTGGCTTCTCCTCCGCTCACAAGGCTTTTTTCTTTTTTCTTTTTTTTTTTTTTTTAAATACCCCCTTTTTTTCTCCCCACACGGGGGGGGGGGGGGGGGGGGGGAGTAGTGGCAGTCTGAGCGTGCCAGAGTTACATAACCGGCTGGTATAGAGGCTATCACATGCAGCACTCGTCACAGGATGTGCATTCAGACTGTAAAACGGGCCTCCACAGAAATGCAACCTCTTCATTTACCCCCGCCTGCAGCCTCCTCAGTTACCCCTGCCTGTAGCCTCCTCAGTTACCCCTGCCTGTAGCCTCCTCAGTTACCTCTGCCTGTAGCCTCCTCAGTTACCCCTGCCTGCAGCCTCCTCAGTTACCTCTGCCTGTAGCCTCCTCAGTTACCCCTGCCTGTAGCCTCCTCAGTTACCTCTGCCTGTAGCCTCCTCAGTTACCCCTGCCTGTAGCCTCCTCAGTTACCTCTGCCTGTAGCCTCCTCAGTTACCCCTGCCTGTAGCCTCCTCAGTTACCTCTGCCTGTAGCCTCCTCAGTTACCCCTGTCTGCAGCCTCCTCAGTTACCCCTGCTGCAGCCTCCTCAGTTACCCCTGTCTACAGCCTCCTCAGTTACCCCTGATGCAGCCTCCTCAGTTACCCCTGCTGCAGCCTCCTCAGTTACCCCTGTCTACAGCCTCCTCAGTTACCTGCAGCCTCCTCAGTTACTGCTGCAGCCTCCTCAGTTACCCCTGTCTACAGCCTCCTCAGTTACCCCTGATGCAGCCTCCTCAGTTACCCCTGCTGCAGCCTCCTCAGTTACCCCTGTCTACAGCCTCCTCAGTTACCCCTGATGCAGCCTCCTCAGTTACCCCTGCTGCAGCCTCCTCAGTTACCTGTCTACAGCCTCCTCAGTTACCTGCAGCCTCCTCAGTTACCTGTAGCCTCCTCAGTTACCCCTGTCTGCAGCCTCCTCAGTTACCTGTAGCCTCCTCAGTTACCCCTGTCTGCAGCCTCCTCAGTTACCCCTGTCTGCAGCCTCCTCAGTTACCTGCTGCAGCCTCCTCAGTTACCTGCAGCCTCCTCAGTTACCCCTGCTGCAGCCTCCTCAGTTACCTGCAGCCTCTCAGTTACCTGCAGCCTCCTCAGTTACCCCTGTCTGCAGCCTCCTCAGTTACCTGCAGCCTCCTCAGTTACCCCTGTCTGCAGCCTCCTCAGTTACCTGCAGCCCTCAGTTCACCTGCAGCCCCCTCAGTACCCCTGTCTGCAGCCCCTCAGTCACCTGCAGCCCCCTCAGTCACCCCTGCTGCAGCCCCTCAGTCACCCTGCTGCAGCCTCCTCAGTCACCCCTGCTGCAGCCTCCTCAGTCACCCCTGCTGCAGCCCCCTCAGTCACCCCTGCTGCAGCCCCCTCAGTCACCCCTGCTGCAGCCCCCTCAGTCACCCCTGCTGCAGCCTCCTCAGTCACCCCTGCCTGCAGCCTCTGAGCGAGGTTTATGGTGCATGTTTATAAACATGGAGCTGCAGGGGGGAGTTATGAATATTTGCTTTATCTATGCAACCGGTTGCAAACAACAGAGCTGATATTCAAGCCTCAGTGTAATTGCAAATACTTAAAGGGTGGGGCTTTAATTTACTGCAGCTGCAGATTCAATAAGACCAGGTGTGACACTGACACTGAAGTTATTTGTGATTCCCTGTTTATAACTTGATTTGAATGACTTTTCTTAGAATCATCCCCTTTTTTCTAATCTCTACTTGTGTAATTTTGATATATATTCATTTAAGTCTTGTTCTTTATCCACTAATGATCATCTTACAAACTCAGCCGCCTTTAAACTTCATCTTCAGCGTCCTGCAGCTCAGAAATACTGTTTTTATTCGCTAATTACTCCCAGTTGCTGCTTCCTTGTGGATCTTCTTTGAAACTCTGTCAGTTAAAACTCAGCCGTTTATTCACAGATGTTTTCTATTACACGCCTTTCCAGCAGTGTAACCGCTGAGTCCGACGACAGACCCAGATCTGACCCAGGCTGCAAAGTTATAAAACCGAAACCAGTTTCAGAATGTGTTTGTCTGCCTGCTTTTTTTAATCATTTGAAAATAAATTACTCAATATTTCTGCTTCCAGTTTACCATCTTTGTTCAGTAAATGAGTTGAATATAAAGATGATGGTTTGTCCTCAAACGTCCATCTAAGATTGAGTCTATAACCCGTCCCTCTTCCTCCCTGCAGTGAATGATCTGATCCACTGGCGGGACCCCAAGAAGTCGGGCGTGGTGTTCGGCGTGTCCATGCTGCTGCTGCTGTCGCTGGCAGCCTTCAGCGTCATCAGCGTGGTGTCCTACCTGCTGCTCGCTCTGCTCTGCGTCACCATCACCTTCCGCATCTACAAGTCTGTGGTCCAGGCCGTGCAGAAGTCCGGCGAGGGACACCCCTTCAAGTAAGAGCGCACGCCACAACAGTTTTGGAACATGATTATATTCAGAAGAAGTGCGCTGCGCGGTCTCGTCTTTCTAACTGTTGATTAAAAATGTAAAACATTCCTGAGACTCCACACAGCCGCAAAATCCTTTAACCTCCTCTCTCCTCTGCACAGCTGTGAAGGCAGCTCAGAGCGCTGCAATTATCAAGATCAGTAATTTATGATTATTAAGTAATGACAGACACACGTGCGCGCGCACACACACACACACACACACACACAGAGGCTGGATCATAACTCCTCTGGTGTGTGAGTGTTTTGTTCTGTCTTGCTGAAGAATTTGCAGAAGCACGTGCAAATCATCTTAATGTGCAGCGCGAAGCATTTGGTAACATCGCTAACACACCAAGTAATAATGCCTCATCAGCAGGGTGGTGTGACTGACGCTCGTACACACTCTCTTCGTCAATATTCTCCAGAACCTCAGCACATTTTCAAAACACCCAGTCGGTTTTTGAGAAGGTCATAATTAGGGCTAAAAGGTGAATAAATGTTTAGGTTTAACTAAATCAAACAAACTCGTCTGCTTTCTGCACGCACTCTGACACGATATCATCTATAGCCACTGAAGCGTTAAAAAAGCCAAAGAGACGAATGACTCCATCAAAAACTCCTGCACACTGGCTGGCCCAAGAAGTTATCAAATATTGGGTGTTTTTGACTTCTATTTTAGTTGCCGTGGTAACAAACTTCCTTCAATATCGTTAAATTTAAAAATCTAAAATTCAGTAAAATGACATTGGTGAAAAATCATGATTAAATTGTGTTTGAATCTCTAACAACCTTCTCCCCCTCTTTCCTTCCCCTCTCTCCTCAACTCGCCCTCTCCCCTCCTCCTCTCTCTTTCTCCTTTTTCCCTCTCTCTACCTCTCTCTCTCTCTCTCTCTTTCTCTCCCTCTCTCCTCCTTTATCTCTCTCTCTTCTCCACTCTCCCTCTCTCTACCTCTGTCCTCCTCCTCCTCTCTCTTTCTCCTTTCTCTCTCTCTCCTCTCCCTCTCTCCTCCTCCTCCTCCTCTCTCTCTCCTCTTCCTCACTCCCTGCAGATGCATGATAGATAAGGATGTCAGCATCCCTCCTGAGACTTTCCGGAAGCACGTGGACTGCAGTCTGACCTACATCAACCGAGCCCTGAAGCAGATGAGCCGCCTCTTCCTGGTCGAGGACCTGATCGACTCCCTGAAGGTGAGCGTTTCCGACCATCGTCATCAGGACGCTCCCACTGTCCCCTGTTTTTAATAAACAGCATGAAAACACAAGAAATGACCTCAAAACAAAAACTCAAAGTTACACACACACACACACACACACACAGGTGTTTCGGTTTATTCTGAAACTGGACTGAACACAGGTTTTTTCATGGTGTCACCAAACTGGAATTGCGGAATTGAGGATTATAAATGTGCAGTGGTCACTCCCTAACAGGTGCAACAGATCGAACAGGAGGAACAGGGACTGACTGTGTCTGATCAGTCTACCTGAGAGAGAGAGAGAGAGAGCACACCTGTGTGAGGATCTGCAGGTGTGACTCTCAGGTGTAGAAAATGAGGTGTGACCTGAGAGATTAAAGACTGAACACACTCCATTAACCATCCCCATACCGCTGTCGTCATCATTCATCATTCATCATTCATCATTCATTACATTCTTTTGATATAAAAGGAGTAATATGTAACTCTGACACCTAGTGTTTTAAAATGTGTACTGCAGTCCAAATTCAAAACATTACAGAGCTGTCTCCCCCCCCGCCCCCTCCTCTCTAGAGTCTATGCTCACGTAGGTCACCATGTGGTGGACTCTGAAGCTTCAGTGTTTAGCCAGCTCTGCATCGGTCTGTAAACCTTCTCTGACTGACCTGTGTGTGTGTGTGTGTGTCGTTCTCTGACTGACTTGTGTGTCTGGTTGTCGTTCTCTGCAGCTGGCTGTGGCCATGTGGCTGTTCACCTACGTCGGAGCTGTTTTCAACGGGGATCACCATCCTCATCCTTGGTGAGCACCGTGGGAAACCACACTCACACTCACACCCTTTATGTTTCTGTTTTCACATGATAACGCCCACATTGACAATAATGACCACGAGTGTTTATTCATAGTCAGACTTTAGACTTCTGTCCTGTATCTGTGAAGTCCAGAGAACAGGAGTCGTTGTCTTACAACTGACTGAAGCCGTTATTTTTGTTATTATGTTTAAAAAATAAAGTGTTGGATCCAAACAACAAACTAAATGCTCGAAGCAGCATGATCTGTTTTCTCTTCAGAATAAAAGTTCCACTAACACACAGACCTTAAAGTTGGTGTTTAGTTATTTGCTAAGTAATTCCCGTGTCCACCTGGAGTTTTTTTTTCAGCACCAGTGTGCTTTTATTGAGTAGAGCGCATTTGCTGCTGCAGGCGACCGTTCAGAGATGAAATTCTCTCAACTTTTCATAAAGGCACTGTTGACGTCAACAGCGCTCTTTTCAAAATAAAATACATTTTGCATATTTGTTGTTGTTTCCTCTGGACCCTGTCGTGTATCCTCACCCTCGTCGCTGCGTGTCCAGACAAAGTCACTGTTTGACACTCATATTGCACGGATGTGTAGCGCACAGCCAGCACCATGTAGCGGTCCCGTTCTTTGTTTGAGCACAGTTGTGTTCACATCTCCCGCAGACCGTACTCAAGTACACATGACCCGTGGCTAAGAGGACTCGGGCTCAGTACCTGACTTTAGGGTCAAGCATACTCGGATCAGCCGGGTCCCTGATGTGGAACCATCCTCTAAAACATGCAATGATCAAATACTTGGTGTCTCAGTCTTCTCAGACTCGTATGGAAGTTTGATATTCTGCTGTCATGACCCGTACTCGTAACGTTTCTTCTGTGTGTCCTCCAGCTGACATCCTCCTGTTCGCCACTCCTCCGATCTACGAGAAGAACAAGGTGAGTGTGAACCTCTGTCACAGCTCGCAGTGATTAAAGGGAAATATTATGAAAAATCCACTTCTACAGTGTTTGTGAACATAAAGTATATTTGTGTAACCTGAGTGTCTACTGATCCACAAAATGTGAAATAAACCCATCCAGTCCTTTGTTTGTGGTCTTACAACACATAAAAATGGGGGGGGGGGGGGTCATTTCATTTAAAGAGACACACACACCAAAATGGAGCGTTCTGAGAGAGGTGGTTTATACAGGGTCACAAACCTCCTCTGGTGATTGATTCATGTTATATTTTGACCAAAGCACAGAACAGAATGTTTCATTTAGACCACAGGGGACTGTTAGAAAAGGTGGAGAATATGTCCTCTTTAAATCTGTCGAGTCTCAGCGATGACTTCAGCTGAGCTCACTGGATGAGCGCAGCCTTCACCTCAACACTCAAGTCTTTCTGCTTCTCTTGTTGTTGCTGCTGAGGACATGAAGTCATCGCGCTCTCAGGGCAGATAGAGGCGACCCGTTAGCATCACGCTCATGCACACGCTGCAACATACTCTTAGGGCTTTATTATCTTCAGCTGTTTCCTGTCAGAGAGTAAAGAGCTCATACAGGTCATGGTCACACTGCTGTTAATGCCAGCTTCTGACCTTTACCTGCTTCTAGAGGTTTAGATGATCCGGTCAGTCCTGTTAATAATTATTAAGTGAGGATGTCACGGCTTCTGTTGGCCAATCATGCTGCTTTTTGACGTATTCTGTTCTGCTGATCTCCATTTTAAAACTTGCATACAGTTAAACTTAAGAAGCTGGATGTCCAGACAAAGCGTGGTCAAAGTTTCAGATCATGAGTTAAACATATGTTGTAGTAATCCCAGGATGAGTCTGCAGAGGGCGCTGAACGACTTGTTCTGTAAATCACACCATCGTTCCCCGATATGAAACCAAGAATTTCACCAGACGGCTTCAAGCCTCTACGTAAACCACTGAAACCTTTTACATAGACTCTCTTCTCCCAGCTCTGGAGAGCAGCCCTCCCCTGGCAGCATTCTGCCCCCCCAGGAAGGCTTCCAGAGAGCTGACCAATCAGAAGAGAGTGGGCACATGGGGAGGGTGGGCCTTAAAGAGACAGCAGCTGAAAGAGGCTGAAATGAGGGTTTTTACTGACTCCAGTATCAGATCAATAAGATCATTAAAGCTGCTCTAAAGGTTTCACAGACTGACAACATGAGAGGAGAACATGAGGACGCTGCTTGATGCGCCTTTCCACCTCTGGAAGATGGCACATGGGAATGTGGTATATTGGTTTAGTTTGGTATGCTGTTAGAAAGCAAAGTGAGGTCCTTCTTCTTAGTGGCAGAGCAGCGGGATCTCGGTTAAAAAAGAGGAAATAAAAAGCACTCTAATACGTTTTTTGACGAGTTGTCTCTCAGAAGTCGAACTTTGAACTTTGAACATGTCCTGAGGTCAAACGATTTGCTCACCTTTTTCTCGTCTTCTTCCAGACTCAGATCGATCAGTTCATCGACGTCGTACGCACTCAAGTCAACACCACCATCGCCAAGTGAGTGATTTTTATCGATGAGTAAATACGACCGTCTCTCAGAGATGATGTCATCAAACTTGTTTTGTAACGTTTGTTTTTGTCTCCGGCAGGTTGCAAGAGAAACTCCCCGGCGCTGTGAAACGCAGCAAAACTGAATGATCCTCCCCGTCATTAGAAACCTCCACAACACCATCATCCTCATCTTCATCACCACCTTAAACCCCGCCCCCTCCAGTCGAATAACTCCTCCCCCCCCTTCCTCCATCCACCATCAGCACCCTCCCGACCTCCCACACTGAACCCCGCTAGGTAGAAAACCTGAGGTACTCATATTCAATGTAAAACTACTGCGCAGCTTAACTCGCATTACAGCATTAAAAAGAACTGTGCCTGTGCAGACAGGAGAGGAAGTGATGTAACGCCCAGCGGCGGACCCCGGATTTGTTGTGGGCGGAGCCACAGGGAGATGGAGGCAGGGTCGAGTGAACTAGACTGAATCTATGACCTGGTTTTAGTCGTGTGCAGCGCGCAGTGGGGGGGGTGATGGTCATTTAAAAAAAAAAAAGCAAATGTCTGTACTTTCCCCACATGTCCCTGAAGGTAACGCCATAAGTCAAACAAACACGACCTTTCGGGTGTCACTGCGACTTGTCTTCTCGCTCTGCAGCTCTTGCTTGGATAGAGATGAGTTTGAAAAAGTTGGTTTTTGGGTTCGGCTTGTTGAGTTTGTTTCCAGGCACTTCCTCTGTATGTAAGTTTTTCTGCATTGCACTGAATTTTAATTTTTTACACACGTCAGCAGGTTGAAATAAAAAGATTGGAAACACGGAGCCAGCTGTGATAATTTGGTCTAGTTCACCCTCTTCTGATCAGATCTCATTTTTTGGACTGTAAATACACCTTAAGGCTCTCTCTCTCGCTCTCTCTTGCTCTCTCTCTCTCTCTCTCTCTCTCTCTCGCTTGCTCGCTCTCTCTCTTGCTCTCTCTCTCTCTCTGCCGTATGGAAACACGTTAGCCTCGCTTTTTATATCGACAGTACGTCCCCTCACCTTAACGTACCGACGCCGCTCCTCTGGTCGCACCTGTTCACGCAGCAAAGTGTTGAGGTCTCACGTGTTCATGTTTTGATTCTTCTCATCACCACTTCCTGTTATGGATATGAATCGTAGGACGGCTGCTCGGACTCCCCTCTTAGCTTGACGACAGCATTGTAACGGTCGTGTTTAAGCGTCACTTTGTAGTTTTCATGTTTGTATCGCGGCCTCTTGAGGGATGAGACGTTAAGAGACGCTCTCTCTGCTATGATTTAAATGTCCTCTCAGATCACAGAGTTCAAAAGTCAGAGTAAAAGTAGGCAGCGAGGGGCGCCGGACAGCCGAATGGTTATGTGGTGAGCCCCATGTACAGCGGCTGTAGTCCTCGTTGCAGCAGCCGCTTGTTCGAATCTGACCTCGGCCCTTTAAATGACAGCATGATGACGGTGACTGTACCGGCTATGCGGCAGGATGGCGTGCTGTGAATCAGTGCATTTAGTATTGTCACTGGTATGATTTTATTATTTCTGTCCTGTCTTCGCTGTGCTCAGATTTAGTTTGAACATATTTAAAAAATCTCGTCTGGTGTCGACGCCCATCCCAAATAAAAGTTGGGGTCGTTTCAGAGACTGAAGGAAATAAAAGCCCGGGCTGTTTCGAAGGTTTACTTTTCTTTCAGTCTGAGTTAAATTATGCAGGAAAGTGTCAAAACTGAACAGATTTTTTTTTTTTTTAAATAAAGAAGTAAATAAAATAATTTAAAATATGGAAAAACAACAAAGGATGGCATTAAAACGGGATTTATTAATATTCTTATTGAGGATTTAGTTAAAGTAAATAGAAAAAGGTCTGAATTTTGTTTTTTCCTTTTTTTCCTTTTGAATTCGTGAAAATGTCAGCAAAGAATAAAGTTTGAATTAAAATTAGAAAAAAGGGAGGATAAGCTTTATTTTTTAAGTTTTAGTAAAGAGTCGTAAAATTAAGAATAATAAACAAATTACAAATGTCGTCGTCTTTTCCGTTTGTGTTTCGGCCTCTAAATCCTAAAACTGACTTTTCCTAAAACTGCGATTTAAATTTTTTTTTCCTGTTGATGCTTCTGACTCGTTTAAAAACTATATTTTAAGATTAAATTAAAAAAGTATAGTTGCTGTTTGGTAAACCGGAAGTGTCGGTTCTCTTGGTGGTCGACACGTTTAAAGGCCTGTTACGACCATAGATTGTAAATATTAATGTTACGACATATATTGATTTATTCTAAAAAGGGCGATGTATATTACTCCCCTCATGAAGGTCTGATTCATACAGTGAGCCTGTGTCCTTTCCCTCTCTTCCTTTCACATGTCAGCTTGTCATGTCGGGAGTGGAGCACTGCCATCTAGTGGCCGGGAGTTAAAACGACACAAAATGCACCAAGTCTAAAAAACTCTGAATTTAAAATCTTGCAGTGTGAAAAACAAAAACAACTGAAGTGTTCAAGCTTCCTGACATCCTCTCTGATTTAATCTTCACTCAGCAGAATGATTTCAGCTCTTCGAACTAGAAGAAGAGAAACCTGCAAATTAAACAGTCGAGAAAAAGCAGAAAGCTTCACAAGTGGAATCAAGTTTGTGATTCTGCTTTAAAATATTTCGGGTTTTTTTGGCACATGTTGGACTCCACGTGGACCTGAGAGGACATTTTTGGCACTGTAGCTCATACAGGAGTGGCGTGATTTGCATAAAGAGTGTCACTGTCGAAGGAGGCTTGTTTTTTATTTTGGAGTGTTTCTTATCATAGAGCTCGGTTTGTCACTTTGTTCTTCTTTTTCTTCTTCGACTGCCATGAAGCGCATGTCCTAGTGTAAGCTGGAAACAGACTCTCACCCTTTATATTATGATAATAGGCTGTATCATATTCTTAAACCCTCTCTTTTGGATTAATATGATTATTACTTGTGATTGTTTCATCTGTGTTTTTGAACTCGATAATAAAGAAGAAGAAACCGTAGTCATGTTAGCTCGAATGCTACGTCTCCATTTTGTTTTAAGGGATGAATTTATAAAAGGAAGTGAAACGACTAAAATGTTGGTGTTGATGTCTTTTTTTCTTTTTAAGTTTGCATGGAGTGAATGTCCCCCGGTCGACAGCTGATTATCATCCTGTCATCTCTAAATGCAGTAACACTTTAAAACTCTTCAGACGTCTGCCTGAATGTCGTCTCTGGTAGAGCAGTCCTCCTCAGCTGTTTGGGCTCCACCTCTGTTCAAACTTCAGGGGTAAAAAAACAAAATATGCAACATTTCTGTTAGTCAACCACAAACCCTGATGATAATATGCATCCTTTCTTGTTTATTTGAAGCTGGAAAAGTTGCATAACGTAGCTTTAAAAGTCTCCTTTTAAACTAAAATTATTAAGTTTATTAAGGGTGCGTTTCCACCACAAGAACAGACCTTTTAGTGCCAGGAACTTCTTTTTCAGGCTTGTGTTGCAGTCTAAAGATTTTTGAAGGAAAAGGTTGTACAGTATGCACATCTTTTTAGATGTTGGTGTAGACTAAATGATCCAAAGACTTGACTTGATTCGATTGTAAAACCTTGTAGTCCCAGGAACTACTTTTTGGGGTTCCTACAGACTCTTGTTGACGTCTAAAGATCGGACCCACAAAATGTAACTATTCATCCTTAAAACTTAAATTTCAGAGAATTAAAAGAAAAGGTGTAGTTCCCGACTGCAGCTTAAATACAATTATTCAAGTACTCAGCGTGAATTAATTTTGGAAATTGTTGTATTTCCCCTGAAATTAAAATTTTAGTAGTGGTATCTGCTTTTCTAAACACTAAAGTTCCTTCAGTTCAGTCCTTTCCTGTCTTTTGGACATGGTCTTAAGACCTTCAGAAATGAAGGAACATTTTTCAGCTGATTTACAAAACAAAAAGTTGTGCAGATTTTTAATACTTGTTGCATACTGAAGAAAAAAAAGATGCAAGTACTTGACCAATTGGAATATTTTCTAGCCCTGCATATCCCGCTCGGAAAGTTTCTGAACTTTAAGGAAGTACCAACACCTGAATAGGGAACTTTTTGACCATCAAAATAATATCCCAGGAACTAAATGTGGACCCTGCTCTCTGAGGTAGAATTTTTTTTATGTTCCAAGCCACGCCCCAAAAGTTCCTAAACGTTTTTACAAAGTTCTAAGCACACTGAGCAGTAGAATGACGTTCATGGAACTAAATTTAGACCCTGCAGTAAAAATGTACTCAGGTTTTGCTCTTGGTTCCTGGTACTTTGGGAAAGTTTTTGCAGTGGAAACGTTGCTTTCACAAAAGATCTCTTTCTTTACATAAGAGACAGAGGAAGCAAATTACCAGATGACATCGAGGACTTTTGGATTGGTTGCTGGAGTTTAGAGATTTCTTAGGGTACCTGGTCCTTTGGGGAAAGTTCTTGCAGCGAAAATGCAGCTTTTGTTACAGATTTAGCGAGTTTTTCTAGATTTCTTCCTCCACCCAAACGATGAGATGGAAACTGAATCGTTTGTTAAATTATAAATACATTAAGTAGGGAATATTTTTTTCTGTGTAAAATGATTCCAAGTGAAACTGTTTCCTTTCAGCAGAGGATGTAAAAATCTCAATCATTTGATTTAATCTGAGGACTAAAACTCCAGAGGTAACCCTGGTTCTCTGGAAGCTAATTAGCATTAGCACAGCACCTTTAAGTGAACCTTTAGTCCACGATGTTAGCGGCTGAACTAGCTCAGAGAATCATAAATGATCTAAATAAATCCATGTTGTCCTCTCTGTGCGTCCTCGTCGTGTTCCCGTGTTCGGCTCTGCGAGTGTGTGACGAGTGGTTTTGACCTTTTCTCCATTTGAACTCTTTCTTGTATCTTTAGACGTCGTTCACTAACATCAACTCTGTTTTGTATTAGCTATGACTTTGGTTCCTTTTTTTTAAGCTTGGCGGGGGGGCGGGGGGTAGTGTTGCAGGAAAAAAAAGAAAACAGATAAAAATATAGTTTGTGGTCTCTGTACTGATGTCAAAGTGAAATTAATAAAAACACCTAAAAGGACTTTTCTGGCTCTGTGGATTTATTTATGTTCTGCACGGTGAGAAGAGGGCGGCGGATTAAAAAATTAAATCATCCAGATTACTAGAAAGTAAAATAAGACGATTTGGGCAGAGCGTGTTCGGGCGGGGGGAGGATTAAAGTTTCTAATTTTAGAAAGTGTGAAAAGGCTGCGTGAGGTTATGCAACACAATACAAACGTCATGCATGTAAATATTTAATGTTTGATAAAGTCAGCAGCTTCAGAATGAATATTTCTCTAAAATCACTTCGAGGGGCGGAGCCAGGCAGCTGACTTCTGCAGGGGCAGCCTGCAGTGTTATGAACGAACACATTCACATGAAGGAACACTTTAATTGACCCTTTATATCGCCACAATAAAAGTGACAACGCTAACTCCTAATTTCCACAAACTCCATGCACGCCAAGGTCCAATGATTGTGTTTCCAAAGCAGCACCACTACACTCTGCTCAACACTCATCATGCTGGACATGATAGATCAACCCTCTGACAAACAGCCAATCAGATTTCCACTACTTGGCTCCGCCCCTGCTTGTTTCAGCCATTTTCTTCCGCAGGTAAGTTTTTAAGAAGAGGATGCTACGGAGGCCCATAACGGACAAACATGATGGATAAATATTTACTAATATGTTATTTTGAGAATAAAGTCAAAAGTAGAAAATGACAGTTCACTGTAAAAAAGATGTTTAGTAATTTATATAGTGTTTTTAGTTTTTTAGATGTAAAGGCACAGGATGTAAACTCCACCACCAGGGGGCTCTCAATCAAAACAATAACTAACAGATGACGTTGAGGCTGGCGGGGAATCATGGGAGTGATTCTCTCTACTACTCCCCTCCAACCCCGATGAACACGAACTCCATGTTGACCGTAGTCATGACGAGCGGGTGAAACCGACCTGAGGAAGAGAATATGTTTCCAGACGAGCTAATGTATCTGAGTATAATCTACATGACGGTTTTATCACGGCAGCTTTCAATAGCAGCTCATTGGTGATTGACAAAACATCTGGTGTTTCCACGGCAACACTAAACATGTCGTGTCTGTCAAGGCGGACGCCTCAACGAGACACGGGGCGTTACCACTATAAAATGAAGGATTTCTCTGGCTTTGATGACTGTTGGAAATATTTGAGGTGATGTAAGAACTCAACAAATAATGAAAATATATCCGGAGTCGTCGTGGTGAGTCGAATCTTTTTTATTCAAAGATCAGAAAAAACACATCTCACATGTTGAGAGGTTCAGGTGAGGAAAGGTGAGAGAGAAGAAGAAGACAAAGCCTCAAATGACACAGTATAAACACACACGCACACACACATCTCGTTCATCTTCAGGTTAAATAATTAAGTGCTGTCAGGCGTCTTCGTGTCTTGAGTCTTATTCTGAGAAAAGATGAAAACGTGGCGTCACGTGAGTCTGCTGGAGAGTCACGCCGAGGATTTCATTTCTGATTTAATGAAGTTTAATTTCAAACGATTCAACAAAGCTCATCGAGTCAGCACCCGACAGAGTCAGAGGGACACAGAACCCTTTCAAAATAATAGCATTGCATTAAATAAAGAAGCAGGTTTTCTTTTTCCTGAGAGTCTAAATTTACTCTTAAATCTCAAAATTAAATATTCTCTGAATCTTTTCATCAACGTGACACTCTAATGTCTAAATTTAAAGACTTTTTAAAACATTTTTCATGACTTTAAATTAAGTTTTCTTCATATATAACGTTTGTAATTATTTGTGTCACGTTTTGTTCCTATTTACTTATTTTATGTCTGACAATGACGTCGCTATACTCCAAATATAAACTTTTTTAAAGTAAATTTATCACCTCTTCTCTGAGAACACAACGTATTTTAATTAATTTTATCAGGATCTTTCCTCGAGGTGCACGGTGCTGCAGTGGTTAGTGCTGTCCCCTCACAATGAGGAGGTTTGACTCCTCATCTGTCGGGATCCTCTCTGTGTGGAGTCTGCATGTTCTCCCCGTTCATGTGTGGGTTCTCTCTGGGTACTCCGTCTTCCTCCCACAATCCAAAGACATGCTCGTTATGTTAACTGGTGACTCTTCCCTGAACAGGAAAAGTGGTTAAGGTGATGGATGGAGGATCTTTTCTCCAAATATGAATAAATCTTTAAGAATGTGATCAATCGAGATTAAAAAATGTGAATCGGAAAAAATGGAAGCGGGGGAATGAACCCAACAGAGAACAGCGGCACACGTTACCAACGTCTTTCTGCAAATATTGTTGCCGTGGTATCTGATCAGGAGTTAGTTAGGAGGAGTCAAAAGTCTTTACATTTTTACGAGCATCGTATCAAAATGATTCTTTCTGACATTTTGATCCTTTTTAAGAAACAGAAATGTGACTTTAGATTTTTAGAACTTTTCCCCAAAATAAAACGACTCGTTTGAAACCAGATCTGAAACGAAGAAAGTCACTGTCACCATTTAAAGTCAGATATAAATTATTTAAATTAAGGTAATTTACTTCCCCATAAGTTCCTAACAATCCTCAGATCTCTTCCTTACACTGAGGGGTATTTGACATGTGACCCTAACACTCTGCCGTAGTGATGACATCACCTTCCCGCCTCGGCTGACGGTTGAATCTTCAGGTGTTTGATGACAACAGAATCCCTGAGTTACATTTAGAAGACGTGACGTCGCTGTAGATGAAGTGTTTGATGCACACGCTCCGTACAGACAGGAAAAAAGGAAGCCGGCACCAAAAACTGGAGCAACAAGGTTCAAAAGTCCAAAAAGAAGAAGAAGAAGAAGAAACGTCCTCATTGAAATGTTCAGTTAAAGTAGAAAAACTGGACTTAGTTACAAACGAGTTCCGTAGAAAGCAGGGTGCATAAAAGTGCTTTTATCGAGGAAAAATAATTCTAATTTCTCGTTTATTTACAGTCTTTGTGCAGTTTGTCCGAAAGTCGAGATGACGAAGCAGACCGAGAGATAACATATCTCATTAAACCAGGGACTCCTCCTCCTCCTCGTCCTCAGCTGTAAACGGGTCATCATATAAACCGGAGAGATGTCAAACTGCACGCTGCGTTCATTGTCTTCAGCTTTAACTCAAGTCTCATCCAGACACGCAGACGGCGAGCGCTGCGTTCAGGACAGTTTTTTGTTTTCGGGGACAAAGTGCTGTGTTGTCCTCAGACACGCCATCGCTAAGCTAACGGAGCTTCGGCCTCGACGAAGACTCAGTTTCTAACTTCCTGAGAGCGTAAGACTCGAGCCCTGATTCCCACCCACCCCCTGAATGGCCCTAACAGGTGAACGCTGACGTCTGCACACCTGCCACTCTGGAGACAAAGTCTGAACGTCCAGACACTCACGAGGCGGTTTGATGTCTGAAGCCCAAATCAAGAATCAGAAATAAAGTGCAAACTAAAAGAATACGAGTCTTTCATAAATGTTCTCTTGTCTTAGTTTGATTAACTCAGAGGTCGACACATCTGGCTGCAGATGTTCTCCCTCATGTCTTGACGAATGGTCGCTTTGCTGCCCGAGCTTTAACTGATAACATGCGAGCTAGCCGTGAACATGCTAACGTAAGTCAGGTTCAGTCTGACTCTTCCTCTCATGTCAACCTGCTGTCTGTGGAGTTATCAAAGGTCATTTTAAGTGCAAAGTTCTGACCTCATTTCACACAAAACAGAATCTGAGAGTGAACTTTAGCGAACTCTCTGAGGGTCTTTTCTTTATAATCATTCATCTTTTTATTGGCCTCCATTCAGCTCAGAGTCTCTAAATCAGTATTTTAAATCATAAATTAAAGGATGATTCTGTGCAGAGAAGGGCTCATGTTTCCAACGAGTGTCTAGACTTTTATTTTGAAGGCCGTGATGTTCTTGTTTGACCTTTCCTGTGAGGAGGAGCAGACTCAGCTGGTCTTATTCACGTGTATTTATCCGTCATGGTTAAGAAAACCTGACCTTTAAGAGATTTAGGAACCAGAGAGGGTGAGAATTAAGGGGGTCAGGTTTACGGATTAAAAGACCCTGTTTCAGTTAAAGTTGAACTTCCCTTTCAGTTTAAAGGTAGGGGTCTTTTCTGAGCGGGGGGGGGGTGTGTGAGGAGCGACAGATTGAAGCCCTTTTTAAGTGCCTAAGTGTCGAGGGCGGGGCCCAGCTCGGTGTGTGCGTTCTCCTGGTTGGACGACAGGTCATCGGGGTGCGTGGCGTTCAGGGCGGTCTGGTTGTAGCTCAGCAGGGCCTGCTGCTTCTCCTCGGGGTTGTAGTCCAGCGAGTGGGCGTGCACCTGCTGGATGTGTCTCTTGATGGTGCTCACCTTCAGCGTGGCGAGCGTGGCTCCGCACACCATGCAGATGAGCCCGTGTCTGCGGCTGTCGTACTCCATCAGGTACTCCATCCTCCAGCGCAACTGGTAGTTCCTCCGCTGGTCCTTCCCGGGGTAATGACCGTGGCGGGAGGGCGTGGCTGCAGCGCCGCTGTCCTTTGATTTAGCCCTCCCCCCGCTCACAGCCCCCTCCTCCTTTTTCACAATCTTACTCGATGTCCCGGCGTCAGGTGAGGCGTCCTCGCTCGTCTCTCCAGAGGTGTTCAGGACGTCGCCGCCGCTCACATTCAGCTCTGATAAAACAACAAGAAAACAGAATTACAGAGTGCATTAAACCTGCATTCTTTCAAACATCCAGCAGGGGGAGACTCAACGTCTGATGTACAGAAGTCTATGAACAACGTTTTGATGACTGATCAGCTGATGGTGATCAGCTGTGCTGGGAGGGTGGAGCTGGTTGTGAGTCGACACCATCAGTTGGCTTTCTGGGTTTTCCGTTTGAGTGAAAATCTGAGCTGCTGGAAGAGAAATGTTTCCCCTCCGTCCTCTGACTCTCTCTTCTCTTTTCGATAGCCAATCAGTGGGTGGCTGTTTGGAGCTACGTTCCCACTGACACCTTTCTGAAACCCAGACGCCCTTTGACACTTTTTGTGACATATGCAGCCATTTGTTGGTTCAGCCTGTTCTGTTTATAGACACGATCAAATTCAGGACCTGAGTGGATGTTTTTAAATACGTTTCGTCCAGTTTAGGAAATGAAATGGTTTGGTGATGTTTGCTGTAACTTCAGGATTGAATAATTTGATATAAATCTGAACTATTAAAACATGAACAGTAAATGGATCATCTCACCGTCATGGCTGTGCGACCCCTCCCCCGAGTAATCTTTGGTCCAGGCGGCAGCCATGGCCTCTCTCTCCTGCCGGCTCAGGCTCGTCGTATCCGGATGGTTCTCCTGGATGTGGCGGCGGAAGCTGCTGACCTTGGTTTCATGGAGAACCTGAGAACACACCATGCAGAACGTCCCCCTGCCCGCCGGCCCGTACGCCACCAGGTAGTCGAGGCGGAGCCGCCACGGGTCGCCCCCCCGCAGTCGTCTCTTCCTGGGCTGCCGGGGCGGCGGCGGTCCCTGCTGAGGCGCTCCGACGCCCCCGTCCTCTCCGATGAGACACGTGTCCTGAGTTAAAGTGGCGTCAGCCTGCGGGTACGAGTCAGCGTGGACCTGCACCGCCTCCACCTCCTGAGAGAAAAGCTCCGCCCCCGCTTCTTTGGTGTCCGCCTCTGATTTGATTGACATTTCTAACTCTTCTGTTGAAGACAAGAATAACACGACAAATTAAATAAAATCATTAAGTTTACGATGCGATGGTAGGTTCTACCGGCGCTCGTGTCCTCACCGTGAGTCTGCGCCCACGCCTGCAGGATGCAGTGCTTCTCCTCCGAGCTGTAGACCAGGGAGTTTGGGTGGGTGTCGAGCACGTGGCTCTTGATGTGCTCGAGGTGGAGCGAGGGCAGCTCTCCTCCACACACCATGCACAGCAGGCGGCCCGCCACCGCCTCGTACTCCATCAGGAACTCCTGTCTGAACCAGGCGTGCAGCGAGTCGTTCAGGTAGCGCTCCAGAGTCTGCGCCGACGGCCCCGGCAGGTCCTGATCCTCGTCCTCCTGAGGCGGGGGGGCTTCACCCTCCTCAGAGCGGGGAGGGGGACTGGGAGGTTGTTGTTGCTGCTCCTGGGGGGTCACTGGGTACGGGGGCTCTGCTGGATTCATATAAAAAAATATTAAGAGAGTTCAGACTTATTCACAGATTTTATTCTTCAAATCAGACGTTTCTGTTGACTTTCTTTAAAAATCTATTTTTTTTAAATCTTTGTCTTCAGGCTGAAAGTTAATTTCATTAAAAAAAATGTAAAAAAATTACTTAAGAATCTGAATTTTATTGATGAGGAATGGAGGTTTCCAGGGACTGAGAACCTTTGGGGGAAGTGAGGTTCCTTTGAAGAGTACAGGGTCTACATCAAGTCCCAGGTCTACATCAAATCCTAGGTCTACAGTCCCAGGTCTACATTAAGTCCCAGGTCTACATCAAGTCCTAGCTCTACATCAAGTCCCAGGTCTACATCAAGTCCTAGCTCTACATCAAGTCCTAGCTCTACATCAAGTCCCTGCTGAAGTACTGGTACTTTCTTAAATAAGTTGAGCATGCAGCCCGGAAACGTTCTGACTTGAAGAAGTATTTGCAGCATTTGAATGTTTCAGGTTTGCACAAACGATCCTGCCTTTAGTTTGATAATCCCTCTTTAAGTGTTCTTACAATCAAAAGTCTTACAGCTGGAGCGTTTGTTCTTTTTGCATCAGGAAGCTCAAACCTTTCGTCACACCCAGTTGTATGTTTGTTGATGACATCATCACATTACAGTACATGCAGAGTAAAAACCCTGTGAGAGTGTGTGTGCATGGTGCAGGTGGCGACGTCTTTTCAGCACAGGAGACTGTTTGTGTGAACCTGTTTTAATAATATCTACAGCATCACTTACAAAACGAGCGGCGCCTTCAGGGTGTTCAGAGTATAGGAATATTAAACATTTGAAGACACTCTCAGGAAACGACATCAAAAAAGCCAAAATAAAGCGAAGGCTCTGTAGAAGTGTGAAATCATAAAAACGTCGTCCTCACACGCTGCTCTTAAAAACACATTCACACACACACACACACTCCTGCTGACCCCCACTGTGACCCTTGGTAAACTCCGCCCACCTGCAGCGTGTTGCTCCTCCTCCTGCTGCTCCTCCTCCTCCTCCTCCTGAGCTGAGGGAGTCTCTGCAGAGCTGAACGACCTCAGAGCCCCGCCCACACTCAGGTGACTCTCCCACCCTGAGCGGATCACCTCCTTGTCCTCGGCGCTCCACAGCAGGGAGTCCGGATGTTTCTGTCGGATGTGACGTTTGATGGTGGACAGCTTCAGCGTGGCGAGCGAGCTGCCGCACACCATGCAGATCATCCCGTGCCTCTGCGGGTCGAAGTCCATCAGGTACTCGCTCCTCCAGTACTCGTGGTAGTACCGCCGGTGGTCTCGGCCGGGGATGCGGCTCAGGCCGGCGCGTGACGCCTTCTGGACTGGGGGTTTCCGCCCCGAAGGCCCAGGGGCCGGGGAGAGGAGGAGGGGGTGGTCCTGGAGCTCGGTGATGCTCCAGTAGGTGGTACCTGGTGACCTGACAGGCGTGACTCCTCCAGGTTCCTCGTCACCGTGACCGTTAGCCAGAGCGTCGCCGTCTGAGGAGACAGGAAGTCACATCAGTGAACACATCTTTACTTCAGGTACAACAGATCAGAATGTTCTGCTCGGACACTAAATATAATAATCCGGCCTGTTTTTATGGGTCGGAGTTCAAACCAGGAACCTCCTCACTGAGAGGGGACAGCACTAACCACTGCACCACCATGCCGCCCCTGCTGATCTGACATCATGTCTTTGTTCACATCCCTAAATTCACGACTTCACCTCGAGGCGTTTGGAGCCTTAAACAAAGTGAAGGCCGCTCTGATCTTTCATGTTTTAAAATGACATAAAATATTAACATCAGGAGATCACAGAGCCTGACATAAAACTATAACATACTATGATATCTACATAAGTCCATGTGTTCATACAGGGATGTTCTCCATCTCTGAAAAGGAGGTCGTGTCATGATGAATGTCTGTATTTACAGATTTAATGGCTAAAACTTTACCCGTCTTAATGACATTGAAAATCTGTTTAGACATTCAACGAGTTTGTTTCCTTTAGATCACGACAGAGGAAATGATTAAAACTAGAGTCATGAAACTTCCTCTAAATAAAAATAAATATATCAAACACTATTTTAAGACATTTAAATCTCTTCCTTTCTGTTACGGTTTCTACATCCTGTATTTTATATATTTCATGTGTTATTTATTCTAATCTAATGAATCTCTAAACTCAAACGCATGTTTTTTTTTGTTTATTCATTTTTAGGAGCGTCCACCAGGGGGCGGCGGAGTGCGGCTGCTCCTGCCTGCCTGCCTGCGTGCTGTTGAGCCTTTGTTTATAGGAGCCACAGACGGAGGGGCCATGCTGCTCCGGTATTGTCCCTGACACGGATTAACGGGCGGCCTGACAATGGCGTGTGTGTGACAGCCCCGCACACTCACCGTGCGGTGCCAAACAAACACAAACACTCCCGCAGCTCTTCTCTTTACCTCCCGCTTCAGCGTCCGCCTGCGTCGCTTCCTCCTCCCCGCTTATTATTAATGAGAGCACCTCCGCCTGCTCCGCACACCGGAGCTCCGCGGGCTCCGCTCCGCCCGGTCCTCCCTCCTCCATCGCGGGCCCTGCTGCTGCGCTAATGGCCGCTGCGGTTCCTGCTTCCTTCACGGTACCGCAGCGCTGGAGCGGGACATGTCCCCCCTCCCCTCTCACACCGCACGGCTCCGCGAGACACGCATCTGCCAGGCGAGCCCGTGCTCTCCGATGTCCCCCCACGCGCCCCGCACGGGAGCCAAGTTAACTTTTCATAGAATCAAATCCCGCAGAAATCCCGCAGTCCGGCGGCGCAGAGAGCCCGCTGCTCCGTGCTGATCATTACAGGCCTCCTCTCGTGTATTTTAAGGCTCCTGCTTGTCTTCAGGGTGGGGAGCCGGACTAGGGGCCCCTGGGGCTCCTTAAGGGGCTCCTGGGTAAATTTAAAGAGACAGTAGCAGCGTCAACAAAGCTCACGCACCGGGGGGGCGGGGTGTGGTGGGGGTGGCGGGGGTTAGCGGCGTAAATACTGATAAGCGGCTGTTACTAATACTGTTGTTGAGTGAATCATGTGATGACGAGGCTCGCAGTCCGGCACTGCAGGGGTTAAAGGCGCGGGGCGGGTCCAAATATGGGCCCCAACACACCGGAGCTCCGCGTCCAGTGACGTTGGGTGGGGGCTGGGGGGGTTATGTGTGTTGATGTTATAAATATTATTTTAATAATGTCTGGTGTCTTTTGGAAAAAGCTTACTTACTTTTGTCTTCATTATTTAAAAATGTAATGTTTTTATTTATTTAAAAAAACAGAAGTCAGGTTTCTAAAAATGAAAGGGGGGGGGGGGTCTTATAGTCAGGGTAGTCTTATATTCAGACCAATATGGTAAAAAAAAATACAAAAATAAGTAAATTTGGGAGAAATAAAAACGGGGACAAAAGCAGGAAATTAGAAATGTGAACTAAAAATAAACAATACGTGAAATAATGTAAATTTTAAAAAATGTAAGGCGAAGATCATAAATGAAAACGGTGTTATTTAAAAATCTAATTAAAATGTATGTGCTTATGTCAAATGAGGCAGTGAAAGGGTTTAATATTTGAATCAAGATTAATCGCATGTTTGAAATTTCATTTTTTTGGATTTAAAAATAAAACCTGTTAGGCTTTTATTCTGTATTTTGGTCCTGTCTTAAGCTGATAGTACTTTACTTACTGTGTGCTTTTATGTTGAAATACAGTAAGACCCTTCCTGTAGATGGAAGGTTAGGACATGAAGTTAAGCACAGAAACAAGAAGTGGTTAGGCATCCCAAATTGAGGTCAAACAGCTCAAAAGAACGATAACAAAGGTCAATGTGTGATGTCATAGGTCAATGTGTGATGTCATAAGGTGGATGTTACTTTGGACTCGTCAGCTGAGCTGTCTGAGAGTTTGTTAAAGAGAAATGAGACATTCAAAGATGCAGCAGTGTCCTTTTACATCACTGAGACTACAAGGAGACACTGAGGACAACTATCTACGGTGAGCCTGAAGGGACAAAATAGTACGAGATTAATGTGATTAAAAACAACTAATATATTAATTTCAGACCTTAATTGATCGTGATTAACCAGTAAAACGCACAGTAAGTAAATTCCACCACTAGGGTGCTCTCAATTAAACAGTAACTAAAAGATGACGTCGAGGCTGGCGGGGAATCATGGGAGTTCTTTCTACTACTCCCCGTCTCACCCGCAATGTAAACAACCTCCTAGTCGACCGTAGTCATGACGACCCGGTGAAACCGACCTGAGGAAGAGAATATGTTTACAGACGAGCTAATGGATCAGAGTATAATCTACATGACGTTTTTTTCACAGCAGCACATACAGCAACAGTACGGCAGCTTTCAGGAGCAGCTCACACTTCCTTAAGCAGCGGAATTTGATGTAACATCCCGTGTTTCCACGGCAACTGTAAACATGGTGGAGCCACACCTCCTGTTTCATCTCTAAAATGAAGGATTACTCTGTCTTTGATAAATGTTGGAAATATTTGAGGTGATGTAAGGACTCAACAAAATAAATATATATAATGTAGGTTTAGAACATTTTAAATTAATTAAGGTATTTTTGTGTTAACATTCTACATGTTGTAGCTTTAATGGAATTTAAATTTAAAATATTGAGTCATTTATTTTTTTGTATTTGGCAACTTTTGAACTCCATACATTGACGTATTCTAAACCGCTGTTTGGAAATGTTTCTTCTGTTTTCTGTTGGTGCAACAAGCCGCTTTGCTTCTGTACAAAACTCTGCATAAAATGAGGTCATGAGTGGAAACAGCCAATACAATCAATGGACCTTTGTGCAGCTGCTCCACACAGTGTGAATGCAAACTTTGGGCTCCGTGTGGTCGATCATTGTGCATGAATCCATCTCTGTTAGCACTTCACGGTTTAATTCTGTATTTTTGACGCGGCGCTTTATGGGTTTGAAGAGGGGAGGAGGGGGTTGTACTGTACACTGAGTGCCCACATAAACACTACCACTCGTGCGCACGCAAACACACACACACACACACACACACCGAGCATCCAGGTCCCACATCCTGGTACTTTTCAGCGTTGTCAAGGCAGCCTCTGAGCTCGGCAGGCAGGCGGAAAGTAGCTGCAGTGTCCTGGCAGAAAAATCTGTCCTAAAAACGTTCACACAAACTGTCCCGGAAAGTTCAGTGTAACTGGAAGGTAACGGGTTTGCATGTTTTTCTTCCGCATGTTTCCGAGCGCGTTGCTTTGCGGGGATCCTGTGCGGGGTTTCGTGGTTTTTCTGTAGCCTCAGACAGTCCGTGTGGACAGAAGGAGGAAGAGCTTGTCCATTGTGCAGCGCAGGGACAGAGACACAACGCGTTAGGATCGAGCCAAGCTCCATTTTCTCACATTTTGTCCGCACGTAATGTTACATCTGCCTCTGCGCGTCCGCTTCTCCTCGTTTACAGTCAAACGGACGCAATAAAGAATAAAAATGGCTCTCGACAGATATAATTTGTGATAGAAAGGGACAGGTTTAAAGGGACAGTGTCACTCTGCTTCCTTCCTGCTTCCTGGAGCTTTGTAGCCTTCAAACGCGACGTGTTCAAACCACCAAACATGTCGCGGAAATGTACATAATATTCCACATTTAGGTTCTCGGGTGATCTTTTTGAATACAAAGCGAGCTGTATGGTGTCTCACGTGGAGAGTGTGTGTACTCTGAGTGTTGTGATGATAGGAGATGGGCGGTTTAAAGCACGCATTGTCTTCATTTTGCTTTTTAATCCGTTGAAACAGGCGGAACAGGAAATACCAACATGTGCCGTAGTGGCTCCGATTGTGATGTTTTGTCGTGTTCAGGTGAGGAAACGGAAGGAAAGCTAATGTTGTCACAGGTGAACTGTCAGGGATGTGAATTCATGTTTCCCATGTAGCCCAATGCGCATGCACCTTTATTTAAAAGTAATATCTAAGAGAGATTATTGAGGCAAAGAACAAGAGGAGAAAACTCTCAGATTTTATATGTTAAGAGTTCATTAAAAGTGTTAGAATTAAAGTAGAAATAACGAGAATTCAGCTCTGTCCAAAAGTACAGAACGTAAAGATTAAAGTAGTAATGTACGGTGGCCCTGAAGGGCAACATGCTGAAATATCTAAAAGCAAAAACATTTAAGTTACTGCAAACAAAAGAAAAAGACAGGTAGTCACTTAAAGGAAGAATGTGTGATATGTGACACATAAATATATCATTAATCCAGTGTATCCTGTGTAAATGTGTCTCTGAGTCATGACTGTCTACAATGAGGGAGAAGCTCGAGTCCCGCTAGCTGTGTTGTTGTTAGAGCTGTGTTTACATGGACGGGACAGCCGGCTCCTCCCCTTGTGTATAAAAGCTGTTTTAGTCAAGAAGAACATACTCACTGATTATTTAGATGTGAGTAAGAGTTTTTAGATCACGCTCATTCTGTGTCAATTTACATTTACCTTTGTTACCGTTCTTTTGACCTGTTTGACGTCCGTTTGGGATCCCTAACCTCTTCCTGTTTCTGTGCTTAACTTCAACTCTACCAGAAGAGCCTGAGTTTATTTCAAAATAAAAGCATACCATAAAAGGTTTTAAAATGCAAAATAATGGATTTCCAAACATGTAATTAATTGCAATCAAGTGTTTAATGTGAACGTAAAAGTCATAAGGTTTTGAACAGAGTCAGCATGTCGAGAGTAAAGTCGAATCCTTGAAATTAAAATAGAAATGTCAGGAGTTCAGTGACGTTGTTATTTACAGAATGTCCAGTTTAGGTAGAAATGTTCAAAATATGTTCCGACGTCTTTAATTCACTTTTAAATGTCCAACTTCTTCCCAATGTTTCGGTGGTTTACAACAGATTGTAGAAGTTTATCAATGAAAGTTTCCCCTGACTATAATTTAAGAGAAATGTTTTTGTGCTACCTTTTAGAGAACCATGTGTTTCTAAGTTTTAAGATAAGTTACTAAGAACTACTTCCTGTGTTCCAGGACGCCTGCCTTCTGATGTGATGTCTGAGAGATCTGGCCGCTGCTCATCAAAGCAAAATCTACGACTGCTGTGTTCATCGTACCGGGCGACGCCATGTGAGCTAAAAGCACGGAGGATTCTGGACTGCGAGGGATGACAAGGGAAGAGAAAAGCAGAACTGTTGGATGAGAACTGATGGGCTGTCCAAGCTGGAGACAGCATGCCAACTGCAAAAGGTAAAGGTGGTGCAACGTCCCACCGGTACCGGCCCGCCTCGGAGTTCGACAATGCCACGCTCGCCCAGAAGAGAGAATACTGGAGGACCAAGAAACGAGAGCAGAGAGCTCGACTGTCAGAGAGCAGAGGGAAGCCGACGCAAGAGAGTCGAGGAGACGAACTCTTACGTCCAAACGTCTCCGGCTCCTTCGCTGCTCTCTCTTCTCCTTTGCAGGGTCAGGATGAGTCGCGCAACACAGCCGAGGACGGTTCAGTCAGAGCCAGCGAGCGCCAAAAGGAGAAGTGGTTGCAGACGATGGAACTCAACAAGGTGTTGCCTCAGGTGCCAGCTTCATATTCAGTCTCAGTGAGAGCTGCCGGGGTCGACAGCGCCGCGGTGAAGTGCCCGAACGTGAGTGCTGCTGGGATCAAAGCCGTTACCTCACCTACAGCCGCCCGTCTGAACTCCACCTCCTCAGTGCCTCCATCCAGACCGACCAGAATCACCAACGGCAGCTCCACTAAAACACCTCAGCCATGTGTGTCTATGCAGGGAGCGTTCGTCCCCAAAACTCCACCGAAGGCACAATCCCACATTCAGCCCAAACTCTCGCCCTCAAGTGTGACGACAGGTCAGACTTTTACAACTTGTCCTCCATCAGAGGGCAGGACAACAAACACAACACCTCAAAGAGGAACAAAGAGTGCCTTGGCCTCCTCGCAGAGGGCTAAAGGTGTTTACGTCTCCAAACTGACTTCCACAGAGTCCGAGGAGGAGAGAGCAGCCAGGCGCAGAGAGCACTGGCGAATCAAGAAGCGAGAGCAGAGAGCGAAGTTAGCTAAAACCAGAGAGAGGATACAGGGCCCGGAGGTGACCTCACAGAGGCAAACGGCACAAAAAGCGGGACTTGTTGGAGGCACGGTTCTTCCTTGTGTTTCACCTCGGACGTTCTCGAGAAGAGTCGGACAGAATCAGTGTCATGCTCGGGTCAATACTTCTTTTACGCCTGCAAAACGTTTAGCCACGTTTAACCTGCAAGCAGACCAGTGAAAGTCCAGAATCCACCGGGGAACATGACAGTCAACGCACCTGAAGGGATTTCTGTGAGAAGGGCGGGAGAGACACATAGAAAGCTTCCAATTTATGTGAATCTCTCAAATGTTTCCCGAGGGATCGCACGATGTAAAACACCCCGACAGAGATTCATCGACGCCCAAAAGACTTTCATGAATCAAAGAAACATGAGATGTAAATCCCCGATGCTTGTTTCCTTCTTTGGTACAAGAAACATCCCCAAAATAGACCCCAATGACACACCTGAGCAGATCATCGGCAAGCGGCGGGAGTACTGGCGGATTAAAAAGCGCGAGCAGCGAGCAAAGCTGTCGATGGAGATGAAGGCTCGTCTGAAGGAGAAGGACTGCGTCATGCGAAGGGTCAAGCGGTATCAGAAGATCCTGGAGGAGATGAGGAGGGCGAGAGCGCAATCAGCAGGAAGTATCCTCGCCCACGCCTCGGAGGCCATCGGAGGGTTCATCAAAGAGGACGGGACGGTGAGCGTCAGCATCCCGACGAATCGCAGCACAGCAGAAGAGCAACACAAACGAGAGCAACAGCTACTTTCCAAAAGCTCTCCCATCTCAACGCCTCACGTTCACCCGGATAACAAACGCAGAGCCGTTGCACCCGTCCGCGTGACTCTGCCGCCCCTCCGTCCGGCTCAGGTGAAAGTTTCCTTTCCTCTCGCTGGACTCAACAAACCTCAAAGGCTTCCATCAATCAAAGCTGAAAGCACAAGCGTTTATATCCATAGTGTAGGCCAGCTCAAACTCACTCATCCTCAGACCCCTGAAAGTGCGTCCTCTGGAGGGTCAGCAGCAGGGTCCGGTCTCGGCGGGTGTGTTATGAAAATGGCCGTCTCAAGTAGTGTGACTTCCCCGTCAGCTTCCTGTCCCGACCCAGAGCTGACACAGGAGGAGAGGATGGCGAAGAAGAGGGAGTACTGGAGGATAAAGAAGCGGGAGCAGCGAGCGGCTCGGGCAGCCCGGCTGAAGCAGGGACTGTTACAAGCGAGGGCCTTACAGAGGAGGAAGCTCCAGAGGCAGGGGACCGCGGCACCACCCGACAGAACCGACAGAACAGAGAGCGCCCAGCCTCTCCCCGGAAACAGCTTTCCTGCTAAGCCAAATGCAAGTGGGATAAAACAAGAGGCAGCAGTTGACCTAGATTCCCCACCAGAGCAAGCCATCTGTCCAGATATCAAACCCCCAACCCCTCCATCACCCCCTCCAGCGCCTCAGCAGGAGCCTGACCCAGCTCTGAGTGCAGACAGCCAGGCTACCACACTGCTAGCCGTGGCCTCCATGAAGAAACTTCTGGAGGAGTCGCTCAGCACGGTGACAGAGTGTAAAGGCGAGCAGGCTGACGTTAAGATCGAGGACGAGGCTTCAGACGCCGAGCCCAAGCTGATGCAGCTCTTCTTTGAGAAAGACCAAGTGGCTCCGATCGCGGCTGATCTGACTCTGGAGATTAAAAGCTGGCAGGCGGATTCTGATGCTTCAGTACAAGCAGGTTCCCCAAGTCTTAATCTCAAAAACTCCCCCCCAACAAGCGAGCCACCGTCACCCCTTCCTGTCTCCAGCCCGACCTGCGAGAGCTCCTCCCAAACCTTCTCAAACTTCATCGTAAAGCCCTCCGCGGACGCCTCCGACGGCCCGCCCTCTCCGCGCAGGACTCAAAGAATCTGCACCAAAAAGACCCTCGCTCAGAACAGTCCGCCAGAGCCGCCGAGGCTGCACCACCTTCCTTTAGATCAAACGCAACCAGAGCAGCGGCCACGCAAGGCGCCCGAGCCGTGCAGGAACCGCAGCGTTCAGTCGCCACAGAAGCATGGCTGCGTGGTGACGGAGCACGGCGGGCTGAGCAGCCTGCAGAGGAAGAGGGAGTACTGGAAGCTGATGAAGAGGCAGCAGAGGGCGCGCTTAAAGGCGGGGCAGAGAGACAGAGCGGGAGACTCGAGCATTCGGTTTTCCCAGAGGAACGTACAGGTAATGTGGAACGTGGGAACAATAGGGATAATGTTTGTTTTTGTTCAACCCTGAATTCAAAAAAGTGGAGTTTAGTAAACGTATGCAGACAGAAGTTGATTTATTTCTCTGTGCATAGGAGCCATTTTAGCGTCCGCTATATGGGAAAATATGGAAATATGAGGACGTTTTTTAAACTTGTTTGAGTGTGAACACGGCTGAGTCGTTCAGCACAAACCTGAGTTTGGCATGTGACATAAATATAGAGGAGAGGGGCCTCCTTTAAGTTCTGGACCAACATATGAGCATGTTTCAGACCTTCTGTCTTCATTAATCATGTGTTTGTATTTTTCCTCGCAGGCTTCAGGTGTGGGCGTCATTGACTCCGCTAAAGGTGTTGTTTCTCCAGTTAAACCCGCCCCTCAGCCCAGACCTCCCAATGCCTCAGTGACCTCTGTGACCTCTGCGACCGGTATCCCCACAGTCCTGGTGGTGAGCCCTGCAGCGGTTACTCCTGAAAGCTCACCTGACACGCTGCAGGTCAAAGTGCCCGTTAACAGAGCGTCCTGCTCAGAGCAGAGACCCTTCAGACCCTCACAGGTCGGGGCGGACGCTCTCAGGGCTCCAGAGAATCAGAGACAAACCGCCACACGATCAGGAAAGTGGATTTGTAGAAGCACAGGCGTCGACTCGCCTCCTCCTCTCCCCACCCTAAAGCCCCCGGAAAACCCGCTCACCAGCATCAACCTGCACCCCATCGAACCCCCTCCTCAGGCCCTGAACCCCACCCTAAAAATCCCCAGTGCCCACCTCCAGACCCCCGCACACACGATCCACAAGCTGACCCCGATCAGCACCATGGTCCCTCCGAAGCGTGTCCTCGGGGGAGTCTGAGGAGGACTTCCTGAGGAGGAAGAGGGAGTACTGGAGGATCAAAAAGAAGGAGCAGAGAGCGAGGAAGGCCATTAGGGAGAAGGGAGTCACACCAAGGGGATCCTCCAATACCTGGAGGCCCATCCTGCCTGCACAGGAGCTGCACACACAGGTGAGGCACGCGACGCAGGTCGACGTATTTAAACAGCTGACGGGGTTAAGAGCTTACTGTAAAGTCGATGAGGATCGCAAGACACTTGATCTGGAAAATGTTTGATATGAAAAAAAGCGCAGCACCCAGCGTCTTTATTTTCTGAGCGCTTTGCCTTTTTTGTGCGGCCGCTCCGAACACTCAAGTTGAATATCTTTCAACTTTTCAGAAAGTTGCTGTTGACGTCACCTGCGCTCTTTTCCAAATGTTTGATATTCCCCGTAGTTTTGCCGCCTACAGATCGTTTTCATCCTCCTCGCCTTGGTCTGATCGGGAAATAAACGAACTCAAATATAAAACATGCAGTAAAAATAAACGGAGCAGTGTGGGTCATACAGCGGCCGTTATCAACAGACTGTTGTCATGGAGACAGGACGGACTTGAGTGGTTTTCTTCTCAGAGAACAAACGCTTCATGCAAGCGCTCAAGAGCTTTACTGCCTGGAAAAAAAAAGTGCCAGGTGGACGCGGGGCCTAGTGGAGACAAACAGGCTGAAAACGTACATTAATAAAACCGTTCTGTTTCTCTCTGTCTCCTGAAGGACTCTGATCCGTGGGTGAACTCGTCTGAGGAGTCAGAACATCTGATGAGGTCAGCTGTCACTTTAAAACCAGTTTCTCAGTCTCGTTAATGTCACATAATAATGACTTACTCTGTTCTCTCTCTGTGACAGCCAATCAGACGATACCGACCCTTCATCCTTCTCTTACTCGAACTACACCGCACCTCTGGAAGGTGAGTCATGCTCCACGTCATGTTTACATGTTGAATGTTTTAGATCGCAAATGAAAACAGAACCTTTTGACCTCTTCAGACGAGTCGGAGCTCGTGTTCATGGACTACGAGAGCAGCGGCGCCGAGGACGGTCTGGTCTCCGACGCCGTGTGGAGGAGCAGGTACCTGATGGACTACGACCCTCTGAACCAGCTGCTGGTGTGCATGGTGTGTGGGGAGCAGCAGTACTCTCACAGCCTGGAGGGGGTGAGGGCCCACATCGACGACGCCCACCCCGACACCCTCAACCTGGACCCCGGCGAGCACCAGAGGATCCTGGAGGCCTGGGACGAACAGGTGTCCCAACGAGAGCGCTTCTTCACCAGCCAGCTGCAGAGGAACAGCGAGACAGGTACGCGACGACATGTCGGGGGGGTGGGGGGGGGGCAGGGCAGCCCCGTTTCCTCAAACGTTAGGGCGTTGTGTAAGAAGCGGGGTAGTTATCGGCACATTACGCAGGAGCAGAACTTGATTCTAATTTTACAAATCTGTCTGATTTATTCTGCAGAGACGGAAAGAAACTGAGCTGCAGACAAGACAACTGACGACCACGATCCAGGAGGCCAAACCCCCCCACCCTGAATGCGTCTTATTTATACTTCATACTTATTTATTTTTACGAGCTTCATAAAACTCATGAGAAGAAAATGCTGTTTGAGGAACGATGACCAAAAAGAGCTGCTTTACATCGTTTCTTAACCCGGGCTGTGATGTGTTTATCAAAGTTAGCATGGACTTTATTTATAAAGAGGTGTCCGTAGTGTTGCCATGGTAACTGATTTCTAAACCTCGATATGATTTATAGTCAAAATCAAAAGATGTCGAAACTCGTTTTGTCACCACGGCTTCAACAATAGAAGTCCTCGGCAAACCATATCGGATCAAACTTCGGCACACTGTCTCTACTTTGCACAAAAGCATCACATTGTCAGCGTATTTATGCAGTTTGTGATGTCACAGAGAGAAGAAGAGTTTAACGTTTAAGTTGCCCCCATTTTATAAACAGAGTGTTCATTTTAGAGACGGGGAATACGATTAAAACCGGGAGCCTGTGTTTGAAATATTTTTGAGTTAAAAAGATGTAAAGGTGCAAAACATTTCTTCATCCTGCAGCCGGTGAACAGGTTGTTGACACATGCACCTCACAGCAGGAGACTATCCCTGTCAGACAGGAGGGGGGGGGGTCTCCTGAGGTCAAACGTGATGTAAAAAAAAAAGACGAGGAAGTGTCGAAGCAGCAGAGTCCTCTATACGACACTATAATGAGAATATGTGTCTTTCTATCAATGCTACGTGTAGTTGAACAGAATCTCAATGTGAACTAAAGAGTGGAGAAGAACATACTGGAGAACAGGAAACATAATGCAGCAGGTTCATTAGAGCACGGAGATGGTAGAGGTGGCGTGCAGACAGTCTATGGTCGTGCAGAGATCACAGGGAATAAACGTCACCACCCCCTCCCACTGGCTCCAGGTGAATTCTCCTGATTATATCCTGCTGCGTTCTCACATCAGCTCACTCTGACTTTCTGCAGAATAAATACGAGGAGGCTGGAGGAGAAACTCCGGGTGAAGAGAGAAACATTCAGCTGTTTGTGTTCACACGTGACGCTCAGCATGGAAATATCAGGAGTTTTTCAGGAGTGTGAAAATCCTGTAAGTGTGACGTCACTCTCTACAAACACACCAGACTACATTCACAAAAAGTCTTTTTACCTCACAGGACACTGGAGCTGTTGCTCTACCACTGCCTCTAGCTTTGAGTTTGTTTGTGTCTTCATGTGACTTTTTAATCTAGATAGTTAGTTTGGATCCAACCGGATATTTTCGTAGCTCAAAGTAACATAGACAATAGATCGATAGAGGCAGCTGTAGGTCGAGGACTTCCTGTCGTTTGTGACGTTAAATTGATGTTTTTGTCAGTGGGGTTTGGTGGTGGCTGAATCCTTCCCAAAACTTTTAAGTTTTTAAGAAATTTAGTCCCCAAATGTGTAAAAAAAATAAAAAAAAGGCTCAGGTTGGTGAACTTAAAGTTCCCTTTTAAGATGTGACCGTTCTAATTTAAAGACACACTGACTCTGTGGAATCTAATGTTGAGGTTAAATAACATTGTGTCGGCCCTGTAACAGATCAATCAAACACTTAAGAGTTGACTGACTCTTTCTGTTTTGTAAAAAGGTTTCCCCGCTCTGCTGGCACGATGCGTTCAGGTCCTCGACTGTTGTAGACTTTTATAGCTCCTGAATCTTTGCATGAACATTTTTTTCTGCGTGCGTCTGGTTCTGCAGTGTGCAAACAAACAAACAAACAAACAAACAAACAAACAAACAAACCCTGAAACCTTACGGACGTCAGACCTCTTTATACCTTTTTTTTATTTTACTCCACAGTGAAAAAATGACCTCCTGCACTGTAAATACTGAAGTGGTTTTGAGATGCCAAATGTTTCCTTTGACTGTGCTGTTCATCACTTTATTTATTATTTATTGATATCTGGTGTTCTCACGCGTGTAGATAGTTCCATGTTAGCTCTTCTTCTGTGACTGTCGACGCTCCAAAGGAAGAACTTACTGCATGATATGTAGAAAAAAGGACGCTCCGTTGTGCATCAGAGACAAAACCCTTGAATGCATTCCCGTGTTTTTCTATGATTTTTTATTATGACGAGTGTGATGCTGATATATTGTTGTGTTTGAGCACAAAGCTGCCTGCAGCTGGTTTCACCTCTGAGAATGTAACTCCGACATGTTTACTGGTTTAAAGGGAATGTTCTCGATGCCTTTCAGTAATAAAACTTTTCTACCTTTGGGAAGAGTCTCTGCTCGTTCTAAACTCTGTAAAGACCTTTGAGTGATTTAGTGCTGAACTGTTTGTTTGATAAACGTTTGAGTCAATAATTGTTTCTCTGAATATGTTAGGGATCGACAAATGTTTGCTAAGTTAAAGGCAGGGTTGGTCATTTCCTCCAGATCCACTTTTTCAGATTCTGGTTGAAATTGTCTTTAGGTCCTGACAGCAATGAATAACTCATGTTCTCTGAAAAAGTAACAAAGAAAATCTGTCATCTGTAGCAGTTGTAAGCCTGTAATAATTTCAACCAATGTCTGCCACGAGGTACCAATCTGATGAATGAACCAATCAGACGCCTCCCTGTCTCCCTGCTCGTTTTCTACCTCTTGTGTGCTCTAGCTCACACTCAAAGCGCGTCACTGATGACAGAGTTTATACTGTGAGTTTAATTACCGCTGAATGAGACATGAGATGACGTAGTTTCTACACAATGTAAGAGATGAGCTGAGGTTAAGTGTCTTGCCCAAGGACACGTCAGTGGCTGCAGGATCCGGGGATCGAACCCCCGACCTTCCAGATCCACGGCCGACACCGTTGATGAACATTTTCTTGCTCATAGTTCAAATCATGGCAAGAACGAACAATTTCCTTTAGAAGCGCTTTAGAAAAAATAAAACCGAACTTGCCATTTCACAATCAAACAAGTTTGTTTTACACCGTTTAATTAACATTTCTGTTTTGGTTTGAACTCTAAAGACAGTGAACTTCTATTAACAGTTTTTTTTAAATATCAAATCATCATCGAGTCTCGTTTGACTCCAGGTGAGGGGAGATCAACTTCACTGAGTCACAGTGACGCTGATTGCAGAGCTCCTCTCTGATTGGACCGTGACAGTTTTGGGGCACCAGCAGACTTCCTGGTCTGACGTTTTTGATGTTTCCAGTTTTAACCAGCAGAGGGCGTTTGATTATCTACTACACTACTGTACAGAGTGAGCGTGATCTAAAAACTCTCACTAACATTCAAATAATCAGTGAGTATGTTCTTCTTGACTAAAACAGCTTTTATACACAAGAGGAGGAGCCGGCCGTCCCGTCCATGTAAACACAGCTCTGACAACAACACAGCCAGTGGGACTCGAGCTTCTCATTGTAGACAGTCATGACTCAGAGACACATTTACACAGGATAGACTGGATTAATGATATATTTATGTGGAACATGTTGCACATTCTTCCTTTAAAAACTGAAAATATGTTTTTTTCCTATTTTTAAATCCTGTAAATTCTCCATAAACCAGCGAATCTAAATGAGGACGTACAGAAGGTTTTTAAATTACATTTATTCGATCAGGTAACATACTTTATGGTCTTCTGATCAGCTGGTATCCAAGCTCCTCACATGTACACTGACACATTTATACCACTCAGTCTTTTGTTTCTCCATCAGTCTAAAAACCGTCTGCCTGCTGTCACTGACTCCTCCTCCTCCTCGGCTCCTCCTCCTCTGTGACCTCGCCCTCCTCTCTCGGGGTCTCTGGGTTCGCTGTGCGCTCGTGTTCTGACTCCGTGTCCTCGGCCCCCTCCAGCTCTTTGGGCCCGGCCTCGAGGCGGAACAGCGTGGGGACCTGACCCAGGATCGGGTTGTTCTGCTGGAGTCCAGAGATCCACACGTTCAGGGTGGACTGGTCGCCCCGACCCGTCATACACATGGCGAAGACAGGACCCTCGTCCACTGTGAACAAGACACACAAGGGACAGCTTTAAGACTCGCTCAGATTCTTAAATGTAACGCCATCAAACCTGAAGGTGTATTTTGCTCTTTTTTAAATTTACATTTCCTGATTTGTTCCCGGTGAGCTGCACATGTGAACGCTAACGGGCGATTGTTTTACCCTGACTTTACCTGCCAGCACCCGCCTAAGGTTTTCTGCATGAAGACGGGATGAGCCAATGAGAACGCAGCAGGAGGCGGTGACGTCAGTATTTTCATCTCAGCTCTGTTGATTTTGTGAATGTGTCAAACTACGCGTAGCATTATGAGCATATGAAGCTAAAAACAGTCATTGTGCTTCGTCCGCCCCCTGACGCCTCCTCCTCTCCCGCTGTGACTGTGACGTGCTTGTTAGGATGAGAAAGGCCGCCGTGTCCAGTGCTGGCCGTGCACTCAGCAGCGTTTAGATGTGAGAGGAAAAGCGCTGCACTTGCGTCCTGTCTCTATGACAACAGTCTCTTCAAAACGGCCGCTGTATGAGCGTCACCGCGCTGCTCTTTTTACTGCACGTTTTATATTTGAGATCGTTTTTCAGGATGTTTGTCCTCCAACTTTGTCTGGACTCGGAGCGAGGAGGATGTGGGTACAGGGCACGATCAGTAGGAGGCAAAAATACGGCGAATAACTCAGATTTTGAAAAGTGCGACGGTGACTTCAACAGCGTCTTTCTGAAAAGTCGAAAGATTTTCAACTGGAAGTGCTCAGAGCAGAAAGATGTCGCTGGGCGCTGTCTCCTGTCTCCTGGCGACCGCCTGCTGCTGCAAACGCTCTCTACTCATTGGAAACAATTTAAAGAAGACGCTCTGTGGAAGACGCAAGGTGGACACGGGGACTAAGTCGGGAAGATTTCAGGGTTAGTGTGTCAGATATCTTACAATCCTCCACGTCGAAGCTCTCCTCGTCCCCAAAGTCTCGATCCAGGTCCAGGTCCAGCTGCAGAGGATAGTCCAAACACCTCTCTGGATCGTAGGGCTCCTCTACCTGCAGGGGGGGGGTATAGATTCAAAACGACGATACATCTTGCTGTATTTAAATGAGCGTTGGTAAAAGTACCTTCCAGGTCAAATTTGAAAAATAAAGCTCCCCACCTTCTCCTCAGCAGGAGTGGGGTCCGCTCTGAGGATGTAGTAGTACACACACTTCTTCCTCAGCCACAGCGGGAACGGACCCTCCACAAACACGGGCTTGCTCGGGTTGTGTTTGGACAGAAGCTCCACCTGATCCGGACTCTGGGTCCCTGCAGTCACCACGGGAACGACAGGAGACACAGAAGATGAGACCAAATGTACGGCCAAGAATCCATCTTTGAGCTAAGTTAACTTTCTAATTTAAAGAATGACAGACAGCTGAAGTGAGGGATGAGCTTTTGTTGTAAAAACAAAGAATATAGAAGTAGAAGCTAACAGCAGGACTCGTAAAGGTCAGCGGACATCAAAAGATCAAAGATACAGGAAAGTGATGGAGACGTGTTTCAAACGGTAACTAAGGTGTTGCTAAGCGGTAAACATTTGAAACCTGTGAACGACTCAAACATAGAAAACCGTTTCCATACCGACGACATGTGGCAGCGTGACTTCCTCTCCGCTCTCGGTGACGTCTGTACACGGCATCTTCAGGGACGAGAAGACAAACACAGATAAATGTTATTTATGTCAAAGATGAGGACGTTAAAGAAGAGAGAACAACGGCTTCTCTTGAGCCCACTGCCTCGACTTCAGAGTGCACAGCGCTTCTCACCGGTTACTGTTGCTAGGATACGAAAGTGCAGCACTTCCGCCTCCATCTTTAGTGACCGTTGAGTCCGTTTTAAATTTCCCTGTTTGCTTTTATTCAAGAAGAAAATCAAACGTGTAAAAGAAATCGTGTCCTGGCATTACCGCAGCTCTACCCCTGAAACTGTATCGAGAATCATTTACCCAGCGTCCTTTGGGTCAAAGCCCGCTTCAGACCACCACTTAAAGCCGCGATAATTACGCCCCTGTGACGCTTCGCCTTTAATCTGAATGAGGACTCAATAGGCTTTTACATCCCATGGGAACTTGTTTTATAATTCCAGGAACTGTTGGAACCCTCCCCCTTTTTTATTGAGTCTGCACCTCGTGGAACTACAAACTGTTAAGGAACAAACTCTACACTACTACAAACTACAAAGGAACCTTTTTTAGCTCCTGCTTCAGGGTAGGTACTCTGCACGGTGTGGACCCCAGAACTGTTTGGTCCAAAGACACCTAATCAAAAAAGGGGGAGGGTTCCAACAGTTCCTGGACCTATGAAAAAGTTCCTGCGGCCCAAAAATGCCTAAAGGGACCATTAAATGAAACTTAGATCCTTTGTGAACAACGAAAACCGTTTTTGTTTTAATATCCCAAATAAAAATGTCATACAATTTTAAAGAAATGCCGGTGACGAAGTTGATATCAGAAGTCCCACCTCTTTTTGTAAATTTTGATTTGGTGACATCATCAAGCTCGGCTGTGATCGCAGCGACAATAAACAGCTCACATGGAGGGCGTCGACACCGAGCGCTGAAAACTCTGAACTGTCGACGAAGTAAGTGGACTCACAGAGTCAGCCTTATGTTCTCCACAGAGTCGACCAAAAGCTATTCCTGTTCTAAATGCACTTCAACAAACACTTTTATCAACCGCTCGCTGTGTTTTAGAGGTTTTGCAAGGTCGATTTTTTAAGACTTTGGTCCCTTTCCACCGTCTGTCTAACTGCTGCTAACACATCCAGAGTCCAGCTCCTTGATCAACACCCAGACAAAAGTTAAATCTCCAGCAGAAGTTCTCACTCGTAACTCGTTCTCACTCATTTTCCTGAATGTTTGTTAGTTGTTTTCTTGAAATCTGACGAGTCTGACCTGGTAAATGGTGACTTCAGCGTCCCGGTCGTTAGCGATACGAGTCAGGCTGAGGCGCGCCAAGTCCACTGGGTCTTCGGGCAGCTGCTGAGGGACGGGGAAGGGGTTCAGGTTTTTGAATTTGGGGAACCAGTACATGAGACGCTGGTACTTCCTTATGGGGTGACTCTTCTCTCCGAATATCTGGACCAGCAGCACTTTGGTCTCCACGTTCGGTAAGATTCCTAAAAAAAACAAAAACATTTCAACTTCAGAGAGAAAACAAACTGTCTCAATTCCAAAGCTTTCCAGGAATTCCAGGAGCATCCTGAAGTCTAAATCAGACCCACCGTAGTTCTCCATCTGCTCCAGGACCTGCACGCCACACTCCTGCTGTCGGGGGTAATGGTTGAACATCCTCTGGATGTAGTTTCGCGGCACGAACACCTCTTTGGGGAAAACGTCCAGCAGCTTGTTGTAGACGGCGAGGTCTCGCTCCACGCCGAACTCCTGCATCTTCGCCAGAGCGGCGTAGATGAACTCCACGTGGCCTCGCCGCCTCACGTCCCGCTTCATGAAGACTTCCACCACTTTGTTAAACGTCGCTTTAGACTTGGCGTCTTGGGAAATCTGCTCAAACAGGCCGTCCTGCGTGACCAGAGATCTGTTCTTCTCCTTGTCAAACTCTTTGATGAACTCAGTGGGCGGAGTCTTTGCGCACGCCGGGCTGCCATGGAAACGCCTCAACACCTAGAAGCCACAAGTACTTATATTAGTATATTTTAATTAGGAAGCAGAAATATTAAACATCGTGCACATTCGGGGCCTGATACACAAAATGATTGTACGGCTTTAGCGCTCCTGAAACCACATGAGACCCCGTCTATCTCACAGACAGCGTAAAGGGTTAAATGCTCCCCCACCTGCGCTGCGGAGCAAACGGCGTCTCTGTGCTTCTCTGCTGTGTGTATTTAAATGAGCCATCATGCCGTCATTTGGAGGGAGACTGTCCTCTTTCTATTTAAATCAGCCTCATTGTAAAACGGGTCTAACTCACAAACAAAAATGAGCGCCTGCTGAGAGTTGGTGGTAACTGCGAGATGTGACGCCCTCTTTTTGACTTCAAAATAAAAGCTCGGTTCTGCTTCGATGTGTGATACCTCCTTTTTTTCTATGCATGCGATCATCATTAGATTATCGATCATTTGAATGGAATCAGGCTGCTATGTGTGGAGAGATTTTACCTGGTGCTTGGTGTTGTGCAGCACGCTGGGTTGACTGGAGGAGGCTGACTGGAGTCCAGCACCATACTGGGCAGCAGCTCTGACTGACTGACCCACCAGTCTGAGAGTCTGCAGCTGCAGCAGGCAGCGAGAACACTTCATGGTGGAGACATCACAGAGACACACGGGAGACTGCAGAGGAGCAATACACATGACATGGACAGGATTTAACCATGCAGAACCCCAGTAAGAAAAGTGAAGATTTTCCAACAAGGGTGACGTCAAATGATTATGAAAACAGCTTAAACTGTTACCAAAATATATTTTATTAAATTAATGTCCTTTGATTTGTGGTAGCCGAACAAAAGAGCTGACTTTTTTGATTAAGAAAAAGTCTTTAGTTGACTTATATCCCATTTGTTTTATATCCTGGAGTAAAGAAAACATTAAACTAACACAGTTCTGTACGAGGTTTCGCAGACATGAGGTTGTCTACGGGTGAAATACTAATTTATGTAATGATTTATTTATAATAACAACTGTTCTATTTAGTACATAACAAATATACACATCACATAAACGCAATAACCCTTACTTAATAAACAACAGTGATGGTGACGAGGGTATGAAGAAATAAGTCCCCTTCAGAAATCTGTCTCCTTGGACGCCTCCATGTTGAAGAGCCGGCTGTACATCCGGGTCCTGTAGGAGCTCGCTTCCCCCAAACAACAGAAACATGAGCTGAGATAATTGTTCCGCGGCTCCTGTGTCTGCAGTGGTACAGATTTTTGAGTTGTTTATTGTTTTGTTGATAAATTAAAATGTGACTCTGCTGTCTGTATATTTTGGCACTTTTTTTGTGGTACAAACGGAGTCGTAATCGATAACCTTGTCAAGTGGAAGCAAAGAGGAGTACACGCCCAATACGTATTAAATTTGAAGGTTTATTGAAGCAATTGGTAACAAATGAAGGTTTAAATGTCGTATATAAAGGTTGTTTTAAGTCGATTATTGGTCGTTTTGAATATCAAGATATGCTTGTATTACACCACCCTGCCGCGAGGTGGCGACAAATATCTTCCCAACTGATAATACCTTTATGTATCTGATAGGCGCGGAGGTGAAGCCTGGAAAAGTTGTGTTTGCACTCCTCAGGTAAGTAAGTGGAAGTTATTTATTGAGTGTAAGCGTCTTCAACAGTTTGAGAGGAATAAAAAATGAAACTTTCGACATTAACAACAACGAGACTCAGCCATGATCTCAACACGCTAGGGCGCTGCGAATATCGTCAAGCCTGCCAAAATGAGGCAAAGTACTTCCGGTGTGTACTTTAAACGTTTTGATTTGGGGCTTTTTATTTTATTATTATTATTTATTTACTCTTATACCTGTAGTAACATTTATTTCATGCTATCATTAAATTCTCAACTGGCTTAGGAAATTATTAAAAGTTTTTTTTTTTTTATTAAAAAAATAAAATAAAAGCCAGTTAAGTAGTATTATTTACCTGGTATCTCCTAAACACCCACTTGTTTCCAGTAAAGATTTTGGTGTACTTTTCAGTTTAAAACTATTTTTAACTGCTTTTTATCCTGTAAATATCACAATGAACTTACAAGGGACATACATACATTTATTTTACTCAGTTTTCCGTGTTCCCTGGTTGTTTTCTCAATGAATTGACTTTGTGCAGGCTGGTTTTTAAGGAAGCCTTCAGCGGATATGCATCCTACAATTTATTTTGTTCCATTTCCCACATAATTACAATCAATTTTGTTTGTTTTCTTCAGAACTCAACTTATTTTTCTCGTTATCTTGTGATTAAACACTGGTTTCTACCCTGACCATAAGTGCATTTCAGCCAGTCAGGCTTTCACAAGATCTTGACAAATCAACCTTTTTATTATGAGATAACGACATAAATAAATTGAGCTCGTTATTACAGGAAAATGGAGCCAAAAATCAAATGTTTGAATGTATGTCCTCTTAGGGCTTCTGTGCTTATCATAATCAGTGGCTGTGGCATAGGGTCTGTTGGGGCCCTATGTAAAAATTAATTGGGGGGGCCCTCCAACCAGCATTCTTCACCATTCACCATTATTTTTGCCAGTCTCCTGACGCTTACTCCTCTCTCCCTTTTTCCAGTTTCTGTTTTCTCTCTTATAGACGGATAATTCCTCTTTATTTTTCTTGTTTGACTTTCAAGCACAAACTTTGGTTTTCACAGCAACAATGCATGCTTTAACGCATAATGCAATGCTCAGCAGGGCGACGAGAGTGAGTGCTGTCAGATGGGGACCCCTTAGGGAGGTTTCCTACTGCAATGGGAAACTTTTCCACATTTTGTTTAAAGTTTGTGAGCCCTCAGGGGCCCCTTACTGGTCTGGGGCCCCAAGCTGTTGCCTGCCTTGCCTGTTGACAAGCAGCACCTCTAATCATAATGAACTGTCCATAATATATTTAAACTGTAGGCCTATGAATGCAGACATCCAGTTTGCACTTTCAGTTTTGTTTCATAAATTCTAGACTTTTATTATAAGGATGACGCGCTCATGTTTTATTGTGAAAACTGCTTCCGGTGTTATTGTCGTTAACTTTGGGCTGTTTGATGGGAGTCCCCCGAGCAGTGTGTGACTTCTGACACTCCTCTCTCTCTCTCTCTCTCTCTCTCTCTCTCTCTCTCTCAGCATGGAAAACACACCTCAGTGCAGACTTTCCTCTTAGACAAACTTCACACAATTCAAACTCCGGATTATGGACTCTTCCACCAACAGTTTGGGTGAGTGAAGCATGGAAACCTGCGTGCTGTTTGTGTTTCTCACTGTTTGTTTACTGCCAGCGTTATGGAAAGTTGTCAGACTCTTCGGATATGACTCTCACATCGTTATGGAGGGAACACTGCTCCGAACATCTTGCGAAAAAGTTTCCAATAGCTGTTTATTTAATTTTCTGCTAACGTACATAACATGGACAACATTAGTAAGAGTAGGCTATATTCAAAAAGTGTAAACTCTCCGGCTTTGTTCGGCATGCTTTCCATCTTTATTTTACATGTACATCTGTCATGAGACCGTTTTTAATTTGATAATGCTGATTTCTCGCAGTGCTTTGCTGCAGCATTTCTTGGCTTATTTCAGTGGCAAAAAAGACAGACAGGCTTCATAGTAATGTTCACTTTTAAGGAAGTAGAGAATATTTCTATTTCTTTTGGCTCCCCAGCTTCAGTTTATTCTTTAATGAACGTCCAGATTTCTGCAGAGTTAGATGGCGCACTTGAGTGTCGTTGCAGGCAGTGTTGCGACACGCATTTGCGTAATACGTGTGTATGTGTGCGCATCACATCCTGGTGCATTAATAAACATCTGACATTTACATTTTCTGCAGCTGCCGAGTTTCCCTTGCAGCGCCCGACGGATTTGGACTCGGATCCAAACGCGGGCTGGAGTAAAATATGAGGCGTGACTGCAACTGTAGTTCCTGTGTTTCTTAATCTGGTTGTGGCTGATGTGAAGGGGCTGCAGAGTTTGTTATACTTCATGGAACATTCAGTAGTTGTCAAAATCAGCTTTTTTTTGTAAATGAGGTTTGGTGCATTGAAAATGTCAGACGAGCAGCAGCGTGTTTACAAACAAACATCATTATACAGTGTTTGTACAACATGTAGCACCGTGTGACTTTTGAACGTCATGATTATGCACACATGTTTGACTCATGAATTAAAATAATAGTGTTCACATCTTGCTCTCTCTGCTGTGTGTTTAACCGACGCTGCTGCACAAAGCTGCTTTTGTTGCACGTCTGCAGGCCCTCGCTGTCCCACCTTGTGTGCTGATGTTGTGTTTACTTGTCTTGTTAAACGATGGGGCGGCGAGGCACAAGGGAACAGTAAACATCACATGCGGATGTGCTTCAGCATCTGTGAGGAAGGCTGCTGTGAGAGAGAGCGCTGCAGGGGAGAGAAGAGTAATCTCTCTGAGGCTGCAACACCTCCTCTGTCTTTATGAGTATTTATCTAAACTCAAGATTCATGAGTAATGTGTGTGTGTGTGTGTGTGTGTGTGTGTGTGTGTGTGTGTGTGTGTGTGTGTGTGTGTGTGTGTTTCACCGTCAGCTGACTGGATTTTTGAGAAATCAGATGATGTGGAGTTACTGGTTTCTGTGCAACGATAACAATTTCACAATTTTTCTCCACTTCTAATGTCCAAAATATGTGCCCACAGTTTGCCAAAAGCTTTGCTTAAAAGTTGAATTTACCAAAGTTCAAGTTTAGGAGAAGAATCTGACTTGGCTTAGATATCACAACGTTAATAAAAAAAACACTGGCGGTTCAGTCAAACGGTTTCACAAAGTATATAAAACATGCACATTATAAAGTAGTCAGACTGATGTGTGATGCAGGGAATGATTTCATTTCAGCACTTTGCACCATAAAATCAGATATCTCATGTTGTCGTCAGTTTAAACCAAAGCAGCTGAAATCCTGAATCATGACTCTCAGGGTTGCGGTTGTCATCGGTCTCACTTTTCTATTCGATCTGATTGCGAGCATCCTGTCAATGATTCCATATCACGATTGGTTGCATCCTCCATGTTCTATACTCCTGCACACGAGACTGTAAATTATTCAGAGAGTTCTTTAGACATCAAAGTGAAATAGTGGACTTTGACACATTTGATGTGAAGTTAAATCTGGTGCAGCGTTATGAAAATCTCACATTTGTTAAACGAGCAAACATACATAATACCAGAATACTGCTGCACGATCTCAGCATAAAAAGGTTTTCAGCATCCAAGTTTACATCCATGTGTACCCGGAGGAAGAAAAAGACTTTGTCTACTTTTACATGGCGTTCATTCCTCTCTGACTTGCATGTGTTTAAAAAAACCCGATTTGATCGGTTGGTGAGAGCGTCACGTTCAACAACAACAACTGTCTTTAGTTTAAACAATGAATAATAAAACTGGTTAAAACGCGAAGAGGAGGGGACGCCGGTGGTACAGTGGTTAGTGCGCGCACGCCCCATGTATGGAGGTTGTAGTCCTCCAAGCGGGCGGCCCAGGTTCGAATCCCCCTCTCACTCTCTCTCTCTCCCTGATTTCTGACTCTGTCCACTGTCCTGTCTCTACAATAAAGGCACAACACGCCCAAAAATAACCTTAAAAAAACACATAGGTGGACACTGAGACTGATAACATTGTTGTGAAGTGTGTGACGTTAAACATGCTTTGCACACACACATAGGACAGGACACACACACACACACACACACACACACACACACACACACACACAAACAGGATCTGTGGTCATGCACTGAAGGAGAGATGTCCCAGAGAGGGAGCTGCACATGAAAGACTTCTGAGATGTTTCGGGGTTCAGTGTTTTGCTCATTGGCACCTCTCCAGCTACCGGACCAGTCTCCAGACTTTGGTCTGTACCGGGACTTGAACCTGCAGCAGACTGAGCTTCTGCAGCCGCTGGTTATTACGTCATTAAGAATAATGTCAGGGTGTTCCAGCTTTGATTACAGCCTGTGTGGATGTCAGACGCTCTCTCGGTGATGTAAAGACTTACGATGACAACATGATGACATAATAAAGAACACCAGCGACCTCCTTTAATGGGATCCTCTCTTCACTGTGAACAATCAGATGTGGGACAGAGTGCAGGTTGTGCAGAGATCAGCAGGAAGTTACATCATTTTTTACAGAGCGTTGTAAAACTTCTTTTCAGAGGATCAGTCGAGTTCTTCTTCTGGAGTCTGAAGAACGACGGTCGTGGTTTCAGTTTGTTAGAGTGACTCTGAGGAGAAGATGATAGTCTGAGTTTAATTTGACGGCATGAAAATGGTGTGAGAGCGTGAAAATGTACGTCTGCTGAGTGAGAGAGCCGTGCTAGTTGTTGGCAAAAACAATAATTTTCCAGATTTATTGCGGTAAATTCAGACTTTTACGATGTGTCTGTTGCTAAAGCTCACATTGTGATAACCATAAAATGGCAATTTATTGTTGCAGCCCTCGTTGAGACTCTTTCTCCACGGACGTGAAAGCCTAATTTACTGCAAACAAATAGCATCACTTCCTTTGAGCCAGAAAAGAGCTGCAGCCTCCAAACACTGAAGCTTTGTGCCAGATAAATGTTAGTGTTTATACACACACATGCATCAGTCATTTTTTTAATAGTTATTTTGTTGTGCAATCACACACGAATCAAAAGACAAACTGCCGTGTTGTGTTTGGCTGCTGGACGCTCTTGTCATGGATTGAAAAGCAGAAATGCATCGTCTGCTCACAGGTGTTGATGGGGTGGTGAACCTCAAACAAACTGCGGGGGCTGACGTACGAATCGCGACAGAAAACAAAACAAGGAAGCAGATTTTTTTTCCATTCTTCTAAAATTAGAAACTAATAAACCACAACATCTGTCTTGTAACACAGAGAAAAATGCTCTGTTTCAAATGTGCTCTCCTTGTGATGTCACAGTGGGATTCTGGTAAAAAAGAATACCCTCCCCTCCCCTCCCCTGATATCTCCACCCATGGACTCCACCCCCAGCCTAGAACAAAAGTTTTGTGCAGGTCGGCCATTTTTATTCTCTCTACAGAGGAGTGATGTCTACCAGGAAAACTCAGGGGGGGGATCATTACATTTAAAGAGACACACACACCAAAATGGAGCGTTCTGAGAGAGCTGGTTTATGCAGGGTCACAAACCTCCTCTGGTGCTTGATTCATGTTATATTTTGACCAAAGCACAGCACAGATGTTTCATTTAGACCACAGGGGACTGTTTGAAAAGGTGGAGAAGGGGATAATATGTCCTCTTTAAACGCTTGACTTCTTGACATGTGGCAAAGGTCAGAGGTCAAAACCAAACCCAAGGCCACTGCAACGAGGACTACGGCCTCCGTACATGGGGTGTGCGACATACCCGCTAGGCCATACGGCACCAACTCTGGTTTGACTGTACTCTCACATACAGACAAACAAACTGACAAACAACCCCTCAAGGAAATGTTTCACAAAGGTTGCGGCTTTCTGATCTGTGACTCAGGATGTTGATCCTGTGTTTTTATGTCTGTGGTGATTCTTAAAGATGTTTCAAAGTTAATCAAATGATGCTGTTACAGATCTCAGCCGTGTAAACGTTGCCCTTGGTGCCTGGAGGAGCGTGGGAAGAGAAAGCGTCTCTCTGAGGTGACGCTGCTCTCGGTTTCACTCCTCAGATTCTGGTGCAGGGGCGTGCAGGAAGTATAGGGGCGGCGAGGCGTCACAATCAAAGAGGAGAACTAAATGCAGAGAGTGATGTACTCTGGGACAGACGGCGTCTGTAGGTGGTTCAGGTCATCATGCAGGTTAGAGTCAAAGAGAATGAGTGGGTGGCCGTCAGAGAATAAGCTGCATGTGATTTCAAAGTGCCTGCTGCAGGAGAATCTGATGTTTTAACACGCTTTACATGCAAATAGCAGACATTTGGAGACGTGGCAGCCCGACGACAAACAGATCAAAAGAAAAAGAGGAACGCCAGCTTGGCTAATTATATCTGCTTCCTCTCTGCTCCTGGCTCTGCTCCTGCTGGGATGAAAAGGGACGTTTTTGTAAACTCGAGCATCAACCAGTTGGACGAGAAAGTCTGCAGAGCTGAGACTTCACAACAGACTCCCCCGAGTCCAAGAATGTGTGGCTGTGCAGCTGTCAGGCAGCCAGCCTCCCACAAGACCTGGAACAACCCGGAGCCTGCAGTCCGAATCAGACACAAGATCTGTTGCTCGGCTTTGGAATGAAGTGTTCCTGCATCTCTTTTAGGGTCATTAGAGACATGAGGCTTTCGATCTGACAGGAAACCAAACCGTCTCAGGCGGTGCATTCACATGTTTGAGACGGCGCTCCAGAAAAAACGTGTTTTCTGCTGAACTGAGCACATTTATTTTCCTCCTATTTCGCCTGCTTGATTCATTTATTTTTCCTGCTACCTGTTAATGGCTCAGTAAACTGTTGGCTGGTGAAAGTGCCAACTGTGACGAGACGGCAGCCACAGTGTCACCTTTTTATCGTCTGTCTGACTCACCAAAGTGAGGTTAATTGTCCGTGGATCATATCCAACAATGAGGGGATAACTAACTGATCCTAAGATAGGAGCCACATGCAGCACATTAAACACAAAAACATTGAAATGCCTTGAACAGATTCCCAACACAAAACCAAAACAATGAACCTTGTCAACAGATCTCATGTCTCTCAACATTCCCTTTTTGGATTTGAATGTATTTCTGGTATGTATAAAAGTTTGACTATGGTCTTAAAGTTTCTTCACCACAGGTTTGCCCTCAGGTGTTTATCTGAGGCAATAAGAAGAGTTAAGAGTCTCTTGTCTGCTATGTTTGAAATGCATTCATGCACCATCGCCAATCAGACCTTCTGCAGGCTCGTTGTTTCTGTGCAGGAATGTCAGATCCAGCGCCTTCCCTGGAAACACAGACACACTTTCAGACGAACAGGACACTCAAAATGCCAAACGGCGTGAGTCATAACGAGCGTTTTTCACCCTGGTTCTGTCGTCGTGTTCACACCGTGGTTGTATGGACCGATGCAGGCTGAGTATTAACCAGAATTCCAGTTCATTGGATGCGGATCAAATTCCTGCTTCCCATGAGCTGTTGCCAAATAGAGATGAGTCACCCGCAGTGTTGGCTCGTAACTGAAAAATGAAAACAAGAAAAGCAGACGTTCAGAGGAGAGGGCGGGAAAACACTTGAGCATGCACATACGTGTGTGTGTGTGTGTGTGTGTGTGTGTGTGTGTGTGTGCAGGTGTGTGTGTGTGAAATTTTGTTTGTTTACGTGGATTTGAGAATAATCTGGATTTAACCAGAACTGAGCTTCCTGCAGTGATCCAAACTTTAGATTCATTAGATTAGATTCATAAGTTTATTTTTGGTTTGTGGTAACAAATGATGATTTTCTGCAGGAGCAAATTGCATTGAACGTGTTGAATCTGACCTGCAGAAGTTATGGTCCAAACGAGTTTCTGACGCCTGCAGCTTGGACTACAGGATTTTTTTAAAACTATCAGGCACGAGAGAAGAATCTCTCTTTGTAGATTTATTTTGGGGCTTTTTATGCCTTTATTTGAAAGACTGGACAGTAGATAAAGTCAGAAATCAGAGGGAGACAGGGGGGGGGGGGACCAAGCAGCAACCTCCGGTCTTGAAAAATGAAGCCAATGTGGAAGTGCAAAATCCTGCAGTTCGTCGAGTGTCCACTAGAGGATGGCTGCAGAAACACCAGACATGACAGGCGCAAAAGCCGTTTTTACAGCAGAAATAAACATGTTTACAGCCTGGTACAAAAAAAATAGGTCTGATTAGTTATTGTCATCATGGTCACACACTTTACGGGGGGTGAATCTTTTTTTAAACGGCTCTGTTTTGACTGGCGGGCGCGGTGTAACGGGTTCATCAGGAGGTCTAAAACCCGCCTCTGCTCCAGCTCTCAGACTGTCGTTAGGTTGACTGAAAGTTAGACTGAGACAGCATTCCCAACATGGCGGCTGCTGCCGATGAGCCTCTTGAGCCCCCTGCAGGAACAGACGGGTGACGTCACTCATACTACGTCCGTTTATATTTACAGTCTGTGGGAACAACACGCGGGAGAGGAGCCGAAAGCGTACAGCCTCCACACATGGAACATTACCGAACCACTAGGTCATCATCTTCCCATTCTGTTAGCCTGTTAATGCCATTTTCCTGTATGTCTTAGCATCAAGCTAACAAACTAAACTATACATCCTGGTTCTGGCACTTGACCTTCTTCAAGAATGAACGGGGCTGCATTGCACTTTTACAGCGGTCCTTAGCGGTGCCCGCGGTGGCAGGTGTGTGTGACACACATTCAGCTCATCGAGCTCTTTGACTCCGAGCCATTCAGGTTGAGAGCGACAGAAAAAAACCAAAGCAATGTGCCAGAGAATGATGCATGCACTTTTAGAGACAGCCTCAGGTGGACACTCTGGGAACTGCAGTTTTTGACATTTCTTTGTCGGCTTCATTTCTGTCCTTTCTGTAGTCTAATTCAGAGTGCTTAGACTACAGCAGCACACACACACACACACACACACACACACACACACACACACACACACACACACACACACACACACACACACACAAACAGTCTGCAGAGGAGCACAGTAGTCCGAAGGAGTCATATTTTTAGTCTGCTGTGTATTAAAATGACTGCTGGTCACTGAGAGCATCCTGGCGTGCACTTTGACAGAACAGATATAAATAGATGTGACAGATGGTGAAGAAGCACTCAAACAATCTGATTTCATTTAGTGTCAAACGTTAGCTCCCTGTTAGTGCCACTGCTGCTCCCATCAAAACCAGACGATAAAACACTTGATTCATCCAGTTTATGTGTAAAGGCAGCCCTCTAAGTGCAGCGACCCGCTGCCAACACAAACTCTGTCACAGCAGCAGCAGCAGAGGGTGTGGTGGCTCCAAACTGACAGCCGCACTCTAAATAAATACAACGTGAGCTCAGAGACTAAAAAAAGAGTTTAATGTGCCCAGAAACATTTCTAACATGCTTTATATCCACTGAAACACCACCGTGCTTTGGACTTGGTATATGTGTGAGCAGACTTTTCAGACAGACTCAGGTCGGTTGAGGACAGTTAAATTAGTTTCTTCCTTCAGGGAGAATTCATCAGTAAGAGGCCTCTTTATTGGAAGAGCAGCTTCCTGTTTGGGGAACATTCCTGCAGAGGACGGAGCAGATGGAGACCGTGTGATGTCCAGATATTTACAGCTGCTCACACTGAGTCTGATGGTATAAAATGTCCGTGTTACATCACGACTGTGAATCTGAACAAGCGGCCATTTACTGATTAACATCATCTCAGAGGAATCATGCTACAAAAGTTTCAGATGCAATCGACCCACAGCGGATAAGTGCAATCATGCTACAATGTCCCCAAAGGTCCACCAGCATAAACAAACAGCAGTGTGAGAAATGTTTCAATTCATAAACTCGTGCAAAAGTCCAAAACGAATGTTAAGAAGTGAAAATAAAAAAGGTGCTACAAAAAGGCAAAAACACATACTAATGTCTCTGCAGAAGAAACAAGCTTCAGCTCCAGTCGTTCTTTGGGCCGCTTAAGAAGAGGGACGCCTTGCATCCACCAGCTACCCATCGCTGTCAGCTTCTCGCTGTCAGCTGACTCTGCCCGCTGTCGGTGCTCTGACCTCAGGGCTGCTTGTGATCCTCTCTCACAGAGACCACCATCATGGAGCCATGACCACAGACATGACCACGATTGTTCATCTTTCATCTGAGAAGGCCTGAAATTGTTCCGTCCGTACCCGGCTTATAATATAATGAAATGTCACCTCCTGCAGTGAGACTTTGTGCATGCACAGCCTGCAGTGTTGATGCTGTAGCAGCTCCTCTCTGCAGTCACAGTCTGACTCTGCAGCTCGTCCTTGACATGTGACAAGGTTTTTTGGGGGGGGGGGGTGTGTGTGTGTGTGTGTGTGTGTGTGTATGTGTGTGTGTGTGTGTGTGTGTGTGTGTGTGTGTGTGTGTGTGTGTGTGTGTGTGTGTGTGTGTGTGTGTGTGTGTGTCTGTGTGTGTGTGTTGGCAGTAACACAGTAAACAGTGTTTAGCTCTGTATTGTGTGTTTATCACAAACCTTCAACGGTCCGTAACGCCGGCGCCTCACATCTTCAGATCTTCTGTTGAGGACAAACTCATGTTGAACTTCTCGTAGCTTTGATATAAAGACGCATAGAGCACTCTGCTGCTTCGTCGCCGTTTCAGAAACTATTATCTGTGTATCTTAAAAACCTTGAGCTGAGTCAGTAAAACTAATAGTACTAATAAAGATACCTTGAGCCTTGAGCGTTGATCCTTGAGCCTTGAGCGTTGATCCTTGAACCTGGCACAGAGACGTTCGGAAACCAAGACGTCTCACTCCTTAGATCACAAGCTTAGAGAGAAAACTGAGATTTATTTAAAGCACATCTGAATGTTTTCTTGATGCACCCTGCATACAGAGAAAAGTGAGAGATTTTAATGATGTGATGAGCGGGTTAAGGCTTCAGTCTCTGCGACACTCACAGGCAACTGCACCATAAATCCAACACACGATTGTAAACATGATCAGCCTTCATGGACAAATGAAGCATCAAAACACCAACAAACACAAACGTGCACTCTCCTCCACCGCAGCAGCAGCTGGATTGAATTCTCTGCGGCTGCAGCTCATCGTGAGCCAAACACAGAGAAAACATGAGAACATGCTGCACTCTGCAGACAGTAATGTGTCCATCAATCTCTGTCAGGCTGCTGGAGCTGGAGAGAGAAACTTGTTTATTTGCTAACGATGTGGCTCTTTGATTCTCCTCTCTGACTGATGGAGTCTGCGGACTGAGAGCCAGCTCTGTGCATGTGTTTCTGCTTTTCTGCCCACGTTTCAGCCTCACAAAAGGAGAACTGGAATGTTTTAATTGTTTATCAGGAGGTAGTGTTTAGTGTGGAGGAGTCAGGACGCCTGTTAAAGTCTGCAGCGGCTCTGTGCTGACGTCTGCACAGACAGGAAGGAGGAGAGTTTAAGAGTAAGGCCTCACAGAGATCCTGGCTTAGCAGGTAGGTTTGTGTTTCCAACATGACTCTGTAGGATATCACTCTGCAGGATATCACTCTGCAGGATATCACTCTGCAGGATTTCACTCTGCAGGATATCACTCTGCAGGATTTCACTCTGCATGATTTCATTCTGTAGGATTTCTGTCCATCAAATGAAGACTCAGACATGTTTGGTGATGTGAGGAGTAGAGAGCACCATCATACCTGTGGAGTAAATATGAAGCTACAGGCAGCGGTTAGCGTAGGGTTGGACAACGAGAAGAAAACAAAATGCACATTACGTAACCTCGTTTAAATCTAACAAAAAAGAAAATTATAACAGACAGAGCCTTCTTTCTTTTTGCAACACAACATTTAGACATTCATCTTTCTGTCCTCATGTTGTCTGCTGGCTCATGAAGTCATTGCATGATGTAAAGTCGTGTAAAAGTGGTGAAAATGCTCGTGTGTTAATGCACAACACAACACGTGTTCCAGGACATTTGAAAAAACTTCAGTTTGTGTGTATTTTTGGGATATTAAGGTTTTAAAGATACTTCAAGAAATGAAACCACAAAATGAGTTAGTTCAGGCAGGCCACGGAGTCATGCTCTATCATACCAGAGTTCGCGTCAGCTGATCTCACGCAAGCCTCATCAGCTGATGGCCAGCTGATTTGCTCAAAGTGTCATATTGGCCACATAGTTCTTATGCCGCCTTATTTAAACTGCTCTAGCCTGCCTATTCTTTGCTGCTTCCTCTGCAAGCCACATTTGCGTCCCTTCCCCTCCCTGGCTCCTCGTTTTCTGCTGTTCTGACGTAATCAATGTCATGCTTGTCATCGATGCTCTGTTTGGTTATTGCTGCTTATATCTGCGTTATAGCTTTCCCTGAATGCAGGGAGAGCCATACCGCCAAATATAAATAACTGCGTCAAAGTATCCTTCTTGACAAAGTGGTCCTGACTGAACTACGGACGTTCCTAGCGACTGATTTAATTTAAATTCAGACGAGTCGGAAGTTCAGAAAACATCTTGTGCTGTCGTTGACGGGATGAGCCGTGTTATCTTTTCAGACCGAGCTGGATCACGGCGTCTGCAGGTAAAAAACGTCACATTGGTTGAGTGTGGCTAACATTAGCAGTGCTAACACCACCAGCCTTCAGTCCTCCTTGCAGGTTAACATCCACATGCCTGTGCTGAATGTGGTTACATGTCAGTTAACCTGCCCTGCTCTTATGAGACACCATTGGTCCACTGGACCATAGAGCAGGGAGAGCAGGTCCATTAACCAGAGCTACAGCCCCGTCTAGTGGTGGATGGCTGCTTTACAGCGTAGACACACAAGATTTAAATTTAATCTATTGTGCTGGTCCTCATTTTAAAACTCATATAGTGTTATGATGCTGGATGCCCAAACTAAACATGGTCAAAGCTTCAGATCATGAGGTAAACATATGTTGGAGTAATCCCAGGGTGAGTCTGCAGAGGGCGCTGAACGACTTGCTCTGTAAATCACGCCATAGTTCCCCGATATGAAACTATGAAACCAAGAATTTCACCAGACGGCTTCAAGCCTCTACGTGAGCCACTGAAACCTCTTACATAGACTCTCTTCTCCCAGCTCTGGAGAGCAGCCCTCCTCTGGCAGCCCTGCAGCATTCTGCCCCCCCAGGAAGGCTTCCAGAGAGCTGGCCAATCAGAAGAGAGCATAGTGGTGGGTGTTAAAGAGAGAGCAGCTGAAAGAGGCTGAAATGAGGGTTTTTACTGACTCCAGTATCAGATCAATAAGATCATTAAAGCTGCTCTAAAGGTTTCACAGACTGACGACATGAGAGGAGAACATGAGGACGATATGGGAGCTTTAACTGGCATCGTGGGCCTCGTAGATGAAGTGATTCTGGCGCGCCTTGTGAGGGTGATGACATTCAGTCGTTTAGTCGTCTTATTGCACACATCCCTATGAGGGACTTTGGATTTCTGACATTAAGGTTTGCAGATTGAGTCCCTCGTACAAAGCATTCAGTGTGCAGAGACTACCATCCCATTCACGGGGTTAAAACAACAATTCTCTTCAGCCACAGCTCCGATCAGCTTTCCTTTCATTATATTTCTGTTGTTTTAGGTTGTTACTTTGACGTCATTGTGCAGAAATTCCTCCATAATCTTTCAGCAAATTGTATTAAGTGCGAGAAAAATCAACTTCTGCACCTCCCCTTTGCTTTGGTAAATCCTCGTCCTTTCAGAGGGAAGGAGTTCCTACAAAATACCGCCGCACATCCCATCAGGAGGGGAAAGTGAAAGCACGAGTGAATGATGGAAAATCCTGCAGGAAAAAAAGTTTCTCTTCCAGCGTTTTCATCGATCACTCACGCTGCAAGGAAACCAAAGAGAGAATTTGAGAAGAAGCACGAACAAGCAGGTGAACATTTTGTACATTTTGAGAGTGTGTGTTTGTGTGTTTGTGTGTGTTTGGTGTTGTTTGTGTGTTTGTGTGTATGTGTGTGTGTGTGGTTTCAGTGGAAATTCCCAACGAGCTGCTTCAACAGTCACTTCCTTCTTCCTGCTCTTTGGCCACCGGCCGACGTCTCTGTGCTGATTTGAATCTGAATCAAATCTGTAGAAGCATCAGACAGAGAGAGAGAGAGAGAGAGAGAGAGAGAGAGAGAGAGAGAGAGAGAGAGAGAGAGAGAGAGAGAGAGAGAGAGAGAGAGAGAGAGAGAGAGAGAGAGAGAGAGAGAGAGAGAGGTGATCACTCTGATATTGAACATGTGATTAATCATGTGATTTAGGACTCGTCCTCTCAGGTTACTCCTACACTTTCCTGTGAAAAGGAGTCAACTGGTTGACAAACTTCTCTCAAATATTTCAGTTGAACTGATTCAAGTTAAGGTCAGTAATGTGATAAAAGGAGGATGTACGCCTTTAAAAACAGGAGATCTAACCCGAGATGAGCAGAGAAAACCGGTTCAAAGTCGTGTGATCGTCGAGCTGACCTGCCTGAGTGGTGGAGGAATATTTTTCAACCTATTCACTTCTGGATCGTCTCCAGACGTTTTGCAACACTGGAGCGTTGATGATGAAAGTTGAGTTCCAGTCAAAGTGTTACACAGAAGGAAAATGTCTTTAAAAGCTGCAGTGAATCATAATCGTCATCTGCCAGAACCTCCTGCAGGCCTCAGGGTGTTTTTACATCATTCAGCTGGCAGAGAGAGACACTGAGGGCAGAAAAACACAGCACACGTTTTCATTCATTATTATAGAGATAAACTGCAGATACCAGGGTTTAAATAGGGCGACCACATGTACCAATCCACAGACCTGTGACCTTGCAGTGGTCACAAAGGTTGGTCGGTAAAGGCTTCCATCTGAGCAGCTCCTTTGCTTCACTGAACCAGATCGTTACAGTTCTACTTCCTGTCTGTACCCACTGTTTGTGCTCGCTTGTTTTAAAACAGCTCCGTAAGTCGGCATTTCCACCGTGTGCGACTGAAAATGAACACTTGCATCCATCCATTATCTATACTGCTCTTCCCTTTCTGGGTCGAGTGAGGCTGGAGCCGATCCCAGCGGTCATTCGGAGAGTTTCACCTGTAGGAGACTTGGATGATGCAGCTGCGCGTCTTCGCTCATCCCGATCGGGAAAAATGTCTGATAACAACGCGGAGGATGAACATTGTGAAGAGTTTAATGGCTGATAAAGACTTTGTTGACGAAGTTAAAGGAAACGTGATGAAGTTCAGTGTTTGGATGACTTTAAAGCTGTGCATGCCTCCTGTGCTGAAACATTGGATGAAGAAAATATAAAAGAAGATGATGACAAATGGTATCAGCCCAAATGTGCACAGATAATAACTTTCCTTTCAAAAGTGTCAAAATGGATTGCTGATGCAGAAACCCCCAGCACTGTTAGCTCAGCTGAAGCCTCATCTAGCTCTCTTAGGTTAGCTGCAGCTGTGAGGCTGATGGTGTAGACCTGAGGGATCTTGAGATGTTTGATTGCTGACGTGTTATTAGCTCCGATGGGCGTTTCAGACGTGCAAAGATAATATTTGCACCTTTTCGTGTCGTCTCTGTGGGTAACTGATTTGTTTGGCTGGTAAAATATGACCTCACTTTTGTTTGCTTTCATTGCAATTTTTTGCCGTTACCAAAATGAGTGTTTATGTTGCACGTTATTATGAACTTGTTCAGAAAAGACAAACACTAAGAATGGCATTCTTTTTTATGAAGCACATTTCATTCCAGGTGAGCTCAATGTGCTTTACATCGAGGTTAAAAACAACATGAAGAAGATACAGAAATCAAACCAATAAAGTCAGACACACCGCAAAGTCAGCAGGAAGTTTGTTCAAGAGAGAAGGACAACAGTAACTAAAGGCCCCGCCCTCCTGACTATGATATAAGTCTAGGTACGACTAACCTGAGGGGTCCAGGTCCAGGTCGTGTCATAGTCAGAAATATACTTCAAACTTTATGGACTGATAAAGGATTTTAAAAGGGATTCTGTACGGGGAGCCAGTGGAGTGTGTGTGTTCAGATGTTCCTGTACGGGTCAGGACTCTGGCTGCTGGACTCTGAATGAGTTGAAGTGGTCCTACAGACTGTTTTGGATGATCCTGCACAGAGAGCCTCACAGTAAACTAACCTTTAAATGAATGCATGGACTCATCTCTGGGCGTCAGTTTGGGGATATGAAGGATCAGTTATCAGAAGTAGGGAGGCCTTGGACAAAGGATGCACAACCTGGGACGAGGCATTTTGCAACTTTTCAAAGATATTACTGAAAATGATGTTTACATCACATTTTGTATTTACACTAAAACAAAGATTAAAATACAGAAATGTTGTGTTTCTAACATCTGGAGAACGAGAGAGATTATTAGCATCAGCACTTCATTTACCAGTGTTGTTCTAGTCCGCAGGTCACACCTCCACATTCACACACTGATGGTAGAGGCTGCTGTGTAAAGAGTTCATCAGTATTAACTCATCCATTCATACACATTCATACACCATAGACGAAGCAGTGGGAGCAACTTGGGGTTAAGTGTCTTGCCAAAGGACATATCGGACATGTGGCTGCAGGAGCTGGGGATCGAACCCCCGACCTTCCAGTTGAGAGACAACCGACTCTACCAGGCCTGGTGGCTTCTCTTTGCAGCAGAGAGAAATTGAGTTTTAAGATTTGTCTGAATATTAGAGCTCGAACTTTATTTATCGGATTTGTTTCCGATGGAAAAAGACGAGTAAACAAGGAGAGTAAACAAAGCCCGTCCAGAGGATGAAAACTATTGGAGGATATTTAAGCACGTCAATCACTGAGACTTTATCGTGTCAGGTGGTGATTTGAGAGTCTGGGAGTCTTTATAGGATTTGGGCAGAGAGGACCTCTTACCTACTTATTACAGCGCAGGCGAAACATTTCCTCAAAACTTCACAGTCAATTTAAACTCCAGCTTTGTTGGACTGCAGAGAAAAAAATAACATGTAAAACGGCCGAGAGAGAACGAAGGAATCACAAAAAACAGCTGAGAGGTGGAAGAGGAGAGCAGGAAAATGTCCTGCTGGCGCTGGCTGTGCACGCACACACACACACAAACACACAGACACAAACACACAGACACACACACACACACACACAGTAACACACACACACACACAAACACACAGACACAAACACACAGACACACACGCACACACACACACAAACACACAGTAACACACACACACACAGACAGTAACACACACACACACACACACACACAGTAACACACACACACACACACACACACACACACACAGAGACAGTAACACACACACACTCCATCTGGAACAGAACCAGCTCCGCCTACACGTGAAGAACTGTCTCTGCTCACAGTCGAGTCTTCAGGGGTCTTTGGGGGTCTGGACTCATTTCAGTACAATGCTCCACACACGTGTTAACACACATGAACTCTCTCTATACTTGTGAGGACACTCAAACCTTAACTTGTCATTTCTGAATTCTTAACCCTCGTCTGTTCCTCTCTCTGTGTAGATGACGCGTCTGCAGACAGCAGCGCAGAGTTTCCCGACCGAGCGTCCATGATGGAGGTCCGTCTGCAGGCTCAGGAGGACGAGATCACACTGCTCAAGTCCTCATTGGCTGACGCCCTGCGGCGGATCCGCCTTCATGATCAGCTGCTGCCAATACTGAAACAGCAGCTCATCGCAGGTGAGTTACATGTTCAAATGACCCCCTTCCTCTCAAAAAATCGATCAAAAAAAAAAAGATACAGTAAAAAGTTATGGAGCAGTGTGGAACAGCGGCCGTTGTCAACAGACTGTTGTCATAGAGATAGGAAGTTGTGCATCTCTTTTCTTCTCAGCACACAGATTCTTCATGTAAGCACTCCGAGTGCACAGCCAGAACTTTTCTGCCCGTAAACAACACGATGTGGACACAGGCTCTTTGTGTGAAAATAAACTTAAAGGTTACTAAACACTCAATTTGTAATAAACTAAACTCCTCTCCTCGCCTGCAGTGAACCCGGCTGCTGCTCGAGTCCTGAACCAGGTGTGCGGCTCTGATGGATGTAACAACAGGAAGCTGTCGTCCAGCTCAGCAGGTGATGGGATCAGACTCTCTGCTAACAGGTACTCACCTGCACACTGATGTCTGCCTGTACTGTACACTGCTTTGTTTAGATCACTGACTGTATAAAAACATGGACGACGGGTCTCTACCTCCACATGTTGTACACAAGTGAAGCCAAAATTCCCCTCGAGATCGGAACTGACAGATTCAGATTTGGATACAAAGTCTGTGCAGCTGCAGTTTTGAGGTCCCGCCACCTTCCCCAAACCAAAACACGTGTAATCTTCTGCTTAAAGGTCAAAGGTCGCTCAGGTGGTTTCAGTTGCAGATCTGATTCTTGTGTCAGTTTGAAGCAGACACTCACAGTTATGGAAAGTCCTCTCACCGCTCCTCCTCTACTCTGATATTCCGGTGCGCACAGCAACGAAGGATTCGTCAACAGAGCTGTCAATCTTTTTTTTTTTTCAAGCATCAAATACATAATTAAAATTTAACTTCTCAGAAAAACAGACATAAGAACGAACTATAATGATAGAAGCCATGTTTTAGAGATTTTTATTTGACGTGTATTTTGATATTAAAGTTTGACCCTTGTTCCAATAACTAAACATGGAGGAGGCGGCGCTTATGACCTATACTGCAGCCAGTCAGCAGGGGGATCTAAATATTTTGGCTTCACTTAGGGAGGTGTCATGTTGTCCAACTTTATATGCAGCCGTCTGTTTGTTTCCATATGATGTTTTATTTGGACTTGACGTCTCTCTAGTCACGTGTCAGACTTGGTGAGCCCCCCGAACGGACACATCGGAGGCCCCAAGTCACTGAAACAAAGTATGGCCACTCAGGATAGATCCACACAGACTGACCCCGCCCCCTTGGCTCAGGAACGCGCCCCTCTGTCTAGGCGTCTTCAGAGCCTTAACCTGGAGGACGCCCTCATTCCTGGAGAGCCGGTACAAGAGGGGACGCGGGCGAAGCTGCACCGTGTGGCAGGCCTGGAGGAGGAGGATGAGGAGCAGGAGGAAGACGAGGAGGGGGGAGGGGAGTTGAGCTGGACGTCGTCGGTGGAGGAGCCAATCCAGCCCACGACGATCAGAGGTCTGCAGAGGGAGGAGTTTCATGACGGGAGCTGCTCCCCCGATGACCCGGGCGGCTCCTCCCCCTCCGTCAGAACCCCTGAGCAGAACCTAACCCCCCGACCTGGACCCCTGTGCCCCATCCAGGAGGGGGAGAAGAAACCGCTGTGTGTGATCAAACCGTCGTCCTTCTTTCCACCGCCAAACTTTAATCATCCTCTCTCTCTCTCTGTCAGTGATTGCACGGCTGATTAAGATCAAATTTACTGATTTCATTTGTGTGACTGCAAAACCCAGGTGAGACACAAACCTGCAAATCTGCTCAGGTAAAAGACAGACTCAGAGGTCGTGGGAGGCAAATTCAGCAAATTCAGCAAAAAAAAAAAAATTCTGATAAAAGAGCTTTCACACCTTCAGAACCCTTTAAGTGTTGGTGGTGAGCGTCATGTGTGAACACAAACAGCTGAATGTTTCTCTCTTCACCCAGAGTTTCTCCTCCAGCCTCCTCGTATTTATTCTGCAGAAAGTCAGAGTGAGCTGATGTGAGAACGCAGCAGGATATAATCAGGAGAATTCACCTGGAGCCAGTGGGAGGGGGTGGTGACGTTTATTCCCTGTGATCGCTGCACGACCATAGACTGTCTGCACGCCACCTCTACCATCTCCGTGCTCTAATGAACCTGCTGCATTATGTTTCCTGTTCTCCAGTATGTTCTTCTCCACTCTTCACTAGTTCACATTGAGATTCTGTTCAACTACACATAGCATTGATAGAAAGACACATATTCTCATTATAGTGTCGTACAGTCACGTCTTACCTCAGGAGGATTATAGGAGCAGTCCTCCTGAAATTATCCCGTAGTGTCTCAAAGTTTTTACTTCAGTGTCTCTTAAATTAAATTCTTTATATTTTATCTCAAATACAAATCAACTGTCCTGATCATTTAATACTCAAAATATTGAGTTTCCCATTAGTGTCAGATATTGGTCATTGTATTTTCACATTAGCAGAGACAGGCCTCTGTCTATTAAATGATTATTAAAGAAGGAAACCAGAGGATGCCGATCTGTCGTCGTATTTGCTCCGTCCTCTCTCTCCCCTCTGTGTGTTTGAGCAGTGGGCGAGGGAACATAAAGCCTTTTTGTTGAACATAATGGAGGCACTCGTGCACACTGAGTGACACATCCAAGATTAACACACACACACACACACACAGGTTAGAGCCCAGTGGAAAAAGTGATGTACGGGAAATTAAATGCAGCATAACTCTAGAAAAAACTATGAGCGCGGTTAGTGTTACAGCGTGTTTACACTCGGGCTGAACGAGAAAAGGTCAAAGAGAAACAGTTCGAAATGTCCAAACTGCTCACATCAGAGTTAATCTGCATCAGAAGAACCTGCGGTGTGTCAAAACTGCACAGCAGACTCGCAGGATTAACGTTTTCGGTTCTTAAAGTCTTTGCAGATGTTTGCAGAGTCGACTGGGATTTGCAGAAACACACAAAGCGTCTTTAACAGACAGTTTTTCCAAAGAACTTCTGCACTAATGGTCCTTCTCTTCAAACAAACAAAGGTTCTGCTGCATGCTGGGATCTGTTCCTTGCTGTGAAATCAAAGAAGCGAAGCTCTGCTGCTTTTGTTTACTCGTGTGTGCGCTCGTGCATGCAGCGCTTCTTTTGTTTCACTTCCTTGTTGTGGCTTGTAAAGAAGTTTGTTCTGTTTTTTTTTTTTGTTGGTGATGGGGAACTTGTGCTGCTTTGCTCTGACACGCCCCTCCATGGAAAGTGGAGGTACTGGGATGGTTTCATCTCCATGCTCCACATTCGACACTTTATTTAAAGATGAGTGCAGAGATATCCGGGGGGGGGATGGGGGAGGTTTTGATGCCAGTTCAGTTTCACTTCCCTGATCTGCAGCCAGTGACGTCGTGGACAAAGTCCAAAGCTTTTTTATAGCCTTGTTACACTTTCTGTGGTAGAACGGCGACTCGCCAGGAAATGGGGTGTGTCGCAAGAAAAAGTGAAACAATACGAGTTAGATTAAAATTTAAAACATGTTTTTTTTTGTTTATTTATCCTCCTTGGTTCACTTTAAGACCCTCAGCATGAACACCAAACCTCTCCTGTGTGAATCGGCCGTTCAGGATTCGGCTTTTATCTGATTCATTTAAACTTTGGTCCAAATTTTACTGAGGCTATTTATTAAATCTAAAGAGTCTCTAAACTAGGACATCATTACTGATTTATTTATTTGAGTGTTCATGTGTTAGGATCCCCATTAGCTGTATTCTTGAGCTCAGCGATTCTCCCCGGGGAATCTGAGATGTGTCGGGCTGTGAATCCAGCAGATGGCTCCTGTAAATCTGGACAAAGATGGACGCATTCCTTGGCTGCATGAAGGAGCGTACAGATGTGACAGATGTGTCTGACCTGCTGGGACTCATTCGGTCATCTTTTGTCAAACTCAGACTTTATGAAGTCAAATCGATTTTATTCATAGAGCAGAACCGACAGGAGTCGAAGAAACAAACACATTCGACTGAGGAAAGCCTTAAAAATCAATAGTAGTACCTTAGACTCAATCCTCGACTCGACCGGGAGCCGGCAGTGCAAAGATGGAAGTAGAGGAGAGATGCTTTCTCTCTTCCTGGTTCCAGTCAACATAGCTGCAGAGTTTTGTAACATCTGCGAGCGCGTCAGGGACGACAGAGTATACCATCTATGTTTCACTCTCCACTTCTAAACCTCCTCTGATTCACACCATTGATTGATTGACAATATTCAGTTATGCTGCCACAGATTGGACTCAAACCCGCTCGATCCGATCATTCATTGAAGTAAGAGAGATTGTCTTGTTTTAAATCTCGTGGTTTCTAACAGCTCTGAAATATTGAACATTTTGACAACCTCGGTCTTTGTAGAGTCAGAGTTGATGTAAAGCAGAGACGATTGATGAAACCCTCTAGTGAAACAGATTTCTGTTGATGCATGTTTCCGTGTGTTCATGCATGCCCTCACTCCGGTTGTCTGTGGATGTTTTCAAAATAGAAGACTAACAGCATCCCTCCGTGTGTGATTCACAGTGAGTGTGAGTGTGTGTGTGTGTGTGTGTGTGTGTGTGTGTGTGTGTGTGTGTGTGTGTGTGTGTGTGTGTGCGTGCATTGCTGTGTGTCTGACTCCTGTTGTCGGGTTGTTTCAGGGTTCGGAGGAACAGCGAGAAGCTCGGGAACCCCGAGAAAACAAGGAAGCGTCTGGACAAGAAGGCGGCGTCCTCAGCTAACCTCCTCACCCGCTCGCCCAGCCTGGAGAGGTGAGTCACACACACACACACACACACACACACACACACACACACACACACACACACACACACACACACACACACACACACACACACACACACACACACACACTTTTTGAATGATTCTGCAGCGATGGACAGATTCATAAAAGTGTTTTTTTATTTTTTTATGTCCACAGTCGAGCCAAAGAGTTGATCGCTGGTTCAGGTGAGTTATCCTTCAAAATAAACTTTATTAAACTATTAACTTAATGAGCAGAGCTGGCTAAACACTGAAGCTTCAGTTTCCACCACATGGCAACCTGCGTGAGTTTCAGTTTATTCATCTCACTCTAAATAGTGCAAACAAAAGCAGACTGACCAGGACAGATGAAAAAACATGCCGCACATGTTGCGTACACATTTCTTTGCAGGTTTTCGCAGGTGTTTCTGCACTTGTCAGCATCGTGTTCTGGTTTCAGAGACCTGGTCGGGTCTTTGTTCTGTCCTGTTATTCATTAATCGGAGGTTTTCTTTATGTGAGGAGGACAAAGCCTCTCCTGAAGAGCCTCATGTGTGAGTCATGCAAACAAAGAGCTGAGTCAGCAGGTTTAACCTCCTTTACATCCTGAATAAAGCCGCTTCTTCCGACCGGAGTAAACATTGTTTCTGTGCAGTTTTCCTCTGTGTGTTTTCTGCAGGTCAGAGTCTGTACACACACATTTTAAAACAGGATGATCTGTGTGTTAGCCTAAAAAGCCGCTACCTCTGAGTGACAGGTGGCCTTTTACGTGGAGTGCATTACTAGTTACTGTTACGAGTAATAAAACAAGAATAGACACACTACAAGTTTCCTCTATCATGCTCATGTTTGTAATAATCCGAGTCTTTCCCACATCGCTCTGACTTTACTGTAGGAAAGAAGCGGCCTGCTCGTCTATTCTCGTGCTTGTTCCGTTCTCAGCGCTTCACACATGGAGTCATTTGTGTAAAACCGAGAGCATTTCCCAACAAACCACAGCGTGGTTAGAGTAGCTTTTATGAGTGCTGGCTTCAGTCTGGTTCTGGTTAGCTCTGTTTTTAGGCCTCATTCCTGCAGAAGTCTGTGACAAAGAGAAAAAGATGCTCTGTTTGTGAAAGTCAAGAAGAAGATTATTCCACTCTGAGCATGTGCAGAACTTTGACTCTGCAGTAACTGTGTTGGAAAGCTTTGTAGAACGACTGCAGCAGGTAAAGGAGGTATTTCTTAATCGTTTTAATATCAATCTAAAATAAAAACAAAAACTGCTAAAACCTTGATTTATTCTGGAGCTGAACATTTAGACATCCCTCTCACACACATGGGCCTGAACACACACACATGCACTAACAGGACCTGTGGACATGCACTAATGGAGACATATCAGATGAGGCTGAGCTGTTGGGGGATCAGTGCTTGCTCAGTGTCACCTCGGCAGTACTTGGAAACTGACCTGGCATCTCTCCAACTTTAACACTTGTCCGCATTAGGACTTTCACCAGTGACTCTGAGGTTCCCAACCCGAGTCCTTACAGAGTGAGCTACTGCCACCCGATTCTGCATTTTTTGCACACAGAGATACCTGGATCTTCATCCCCCTGTATAGATGAGAAATGTGATTATCCTGCTTTATGAATACTGCATCTTATTTGTGCAGGCGTCTGTGATGTTTATGTTTTACAACCCAAACCGTCAGCATTTAGAAATCTGAGAAAAATAAGACCATTATGGAATATTGCAGGCTCATCTCTCCCCACCTAATTTCAAGCAACAGGAAAGAAACAGCAGCTGTTAGAAACCGAGGTGAGGTATATACATGCCAGAGCATCACGTCTTCTGTCAGAGTTCTCCAGGTAGGAAAATCAGGTTTCTCAAATTCAATTAAACCTCTTCACACATAGGTCACATATTCTCCTCCTCTTCAACCAGTTTAAATAAGTCTCAGAGCTCCCCAAAACATGTCTGTGAAGTTTCTTGTTCTAAATCCACTCTGATCCTGTATTTGATCATGTCTATAAACCCCTCTATTTCAGCCCTGCTCAGAACAGGCTGTTTCTGTGTCTGTAGCTTTAAATATGTAAATGAGCTGTGTCTGACCACGCCCCCTCTCTGGAAGGGCTCGGGTGTCTCGGGCTTTCTCGCTCCATGTCCTATTATTTACGGTGAGAAGGCAGACTCAGAGGGCAGAACAAACACCTAGCTGTGGGAGTGTCAGCCACCTTTGTGATGTCATGAAGGGAAAATCTCCAAACGGCCTGTTTCAGCACACATTTTCTGAAAAGTGGAGCAGGCAGAAGACTGAGAGGATGGACTTTTCTCATCATTGGAGGGTTTGTAGACGGACTAGAGACACTTATTAGTGTATATATGGATAAGTAGATTTTACAGAATATGTGGCCTCCTCTCTTAAGACTCACCATCACTTCTTAATCTGAAGTCAAACCCTCCAGAGACAGTCTGTTTCTCTCTCCCTGGAGTCACGTGCACTGCGGTGAGCCTAGTGGCCGCTCTCCTGACGGGATGATGGATGAACGCTCTGCAGAGGAGGCAGCCAGAAAAACATTTTTGCTGCTCTCTGTCATTTTCACTCTCATCCTGTCCTCACAGTTTGTGTTTGGGTGAGTTATAGTTGTTCCAAAGATGAGTCTTAAACTTTTATACTCCTGACAAAAACATACGGCTCTCGACTTTCTCGCATCATCATCGACTTCAGAGTGTCCAGTTTTAGGCTGTGTTTAATCCAGGCTAAATTTAGATGCTCGTCCCAGAGTGGATCTTAAATTACAGGATTCTGTAGCTTCATCTGTACTTATTACAATCATAACGTAACGTACAGAAAGCTGAGGCAACAGAACTACCCACTGCAGCGTGTGAGGTCAGAGCCATCGCCATCTGGAAGAGAAAATAGATAGAAACTAGACCTGTTCCTCTCTGTGATAGGGGAATAAAGCTCTGAGTGTGCAGGAGCTGCTGCTTAATGTGACGTTCCTTGTGTTTTGTGGACACAACAAACACCATCCCCCCACCCTCTGCATGAAATCAACTGAACTATTCAAAGAAATCTACCAGAGCACGGGAAATGAGATGAAGTCCTTCAGCTGCTCACTGGACAACGTGCACCAGGAGACCAAAAGAGAAGGTAGAAGCACAACATCAGACTGAATATCAGAAAGTGCCACGTTGACCTTAAAACCCGGGAGACCAAAGTAGCCAACAGGACATTCTGGAGAAAGCTTGTCTGTGAAGGTGCTGCACTATATGAAAAGGACCTTCACCGCACTGCAGAAGACAAAGCGCAGACCAAGAAAGGCGACATCGACCACCAAAGAAAGCTCAAACTAAACCTAAATAGCCCCACCCACACTGCATCTAAATGTGTGGCTCAAGGATCTGCCTTTTTGCCCACTTGAAAACCCACAAGGACCAATAATGACGACGATCATTTGATTGGTTCGTCATTGTGCACACAGTGAAGCTGCTTCTTACTCTTCTCCACTCATCATTGATACAAAGTGAAAGACTGTCATCATGGCGTCAGACTTTGCTTTGATTCATTCCTCTCCCAGACTGCGGCCTTCAGGGCTGGGTCAGAATGAATACAAGATAGAGTCAGGACCGAGACACCTGGAGGGAACTCAGACCCGCTGCTCCTTTGAGGCGACTCAGGGACCTGATTGGGACGCGTCCTGGTCGGCTCATTTTGCAGCTTTTCCTGGCGAGTTGTAGAACCCACGTGATGGATTATATGTCTTCTGCAGCCTGTGAACGCCTTGACATCCCGCAGGAGGAGCTGGAAAACACTGGGGGGGGAAAATGACGTCTGGAATACTGTAATCAGACCCCGACAAAGAAGAAGAAGAGGGAGACGAGGGATGGATGGAAACTGCAGCGGACACAGTCCAACTATCTCTCTTTAACAGTCCTTTTTCTTTTCTTAGGGATTTTTCTGGATGAATTTGTTTTGACTTGTCCTCAGATATTTTAAAAACAGGATCGTGGGGCTGTTGTGGCGCAGTGGTTAGTGTGCACGTCTCATGTATGGAAGCTGTAGTCTTCCAAGCAGGCGGCCCAGGTTCAAATCCGACCTGTGGCTCCTTTCCTGCATGTCGTTTCCCACTCTCTCTCTCTCTCGCCCCCATTTCTGACTCTATCCACTGTCCTATCTCTCCAATAAAGGCCCAAAAATGTATCTTAAAAAAAAACAAAAGAAACAGGGTCGTTCGTCTCATAAGATCATCAGCTCAGTGTTCTTATCGTCTCACAACAGATCGAAACAGGAAACAGCTTCTGATTTATGTCCTCTCTTCCTGTTGTGACTACTTCAAGTCTAAATACTTTTTCACGCTTCACACCATTTCACTGTCAGACAGATAGTTCAAGACCGCGTCTGTTCGGCCTTCACCCTGCAGCCTCCTAAACGAACAGAGCGGATGCCAAGCGATCCGAGCCAGGTTGGAAGTCCCAGGAAGAAAACGAAAAAGGAAAATATAACGCAGCCTGAGATTCAAAGCTCGTAGATCTGAGTCGTATAAGTCGGTTATAGACCCTCTGGGATTCCTCGGGTCAGAGTCAGGTCACCTCTGACTCACAGCTCGGAGGAGGAGTAGGTGTTTATTTGTCTGCTAACCTCGTGTTTTTATCCTGACAGGGTCCCCTGCGTCCAGGAGAGGAACCTACGGCCAAGGTAGACCTGCTGTTATGTCACTTTAACTCTTCTTCTGATGTGTTTTTTTTCACTGTTGCAGAAGTTAAACATACAGACAGTTTCCTCCTGTGTAACCAAAGGATGTATGTGTGGGCCTTCCCTCTCTTTAGCTCCCCTCCCGTTCAAAAAGTGTGCAACAACAGCTAACATGAACTTTATTTTGTGTTCTGCTAACATGAACAAATGTTGTCTCCTAACCGTGCCCATCTGCTGTGTTTCCAGGACAGTCGATTAAAATGTTCATCCGCGGCCGGCCCATCACCATGTACATCCCCTCCAACATCCAGAACTACGAAGAGCTGAAGATGGAGCCGCCCTCCGAGAGGCTGGAGCTGGACTGGGTGTATCCTCCTCGAGCTTCATGTTTATACTTATGAGAGCGGTGTGACGTTCAGACTGAGCTGATCTCATTGGCTGGATTAAAGCCAATCTGTCTGTAATATAGATGCTCTCTTTAAACCAGGGATGTCAAACTAACGACAGCAGGTTTCATCCAGCCCGCAAGACTTTTTGAGAAGAAGGGGGAAATGTATTGAAAAATATTTTGAGATTTTTTATAAATTAAATATTTGTAATACGTATTTTCCCGGAATTGTATTAAAACCTATGATGAGCAACGTAAAGGTTGAAATCATGATACGAATATTAATTAAACGGGGCACTTTGAACTATCTTCTCAGCAGGGACTATCACGAGCTGCTCCTGCATTACGCTGGTAATACATCACAATGCTCTCTGTAACGGCCCAGATCGTCTCCACACATCCAGACTAAGTGTAGGTTGTGGACACCGGCGTTGAGCCTGATGCATCTCCCGACTAGTTTTACCTCTGGTTATTGTAAATTAAAGTGAATATTAACTGATTTTAATTACAGATGGTTCATGTTTAGGTCACCCAGAGATGAACGTGTTGTGTTGATCACCTAAAAGTTTCAGCTCGACATCACTTCTAAATGCAGTAGCCTGCTGTTGCGACTTTATCACCAGCTTTCACCAGACTGTAAATATGTAACTATTACTGAACATTTCATTCTTATCCAAAAACAATATCACGCACAGGCTGCCCGATCATACAGAGGTCCGCTGGTTTAACCGTGGAGCAGCGCTAAAATACTTTCTCGAATTGCGCACGGAGATGGCAGAGAGCATAAAAAGTCAGTGACAGAGATAGATCACGATATTGCGGACACGTAGAAGAACAGACTGCCAGACTCATATCAAAAGTCGTTTAACTGAGTTTACTTAGTTGAAGAACATGCACTGATCGGAGCTGATCAGACTGCAGTGCGCAACGCTGAAGGAGAAATTCAAGTCTGTTGGTTTGGAAACATGTTATCATTTTATAATGCCTAACACTAAAATACCCAAAGATGATTTCGGTCTTGCATCAAAGACACTCTGTGTGTTTGTGACAACTAATTCACGTGAGCAGGTTTTATCTGTAATGAACCTTAAGGAGTGCAAACTGTGCTGTGGCCTGAAATACAGATCTAAAGTATCTCTCTCTCTCTCTCTCTAATGTACTGATCCCAGGGCAAGTTGAGTAACCTGTGTCAAAGTTTCTATAACCTTGAACAGCAATATTTAAACATAATATAATAATCTCAAACAAAACATACCGGTAATTATTGATATTTTCTGTGTGGTACATTTAAATATTTCCATGTGCCAACATGCAGTTTGCAATGACAGTTAACCCCTCTGCTTAATATTAAAGTTTTCTATACAATCTTACATTAGCCTATATATCCATGTGTTGAGTTATAGTGATGTTGGCAAAATTAGTCCGGCCCACTTGAGGTCTCATTTGAACAAATCCGGCCCCCGACCCAATAGAACTTTGACGTCCCTGCTTTAAACAGTCGACTGAGAGCTGGATCAAACAAAGATGAACTGTGAGCTTTGGAAATGAGTATGCATGTCTATGTTTGCAGAAAAGTATAGATATAAGAAGATTACAAAGGTCTACACTGAATTACACTCCAATGCAGTAATGTACATAAACATGTGTTTACTAAGAATATCACCTTGACCCTTTGATGTAGCTATGGTTACCGGGGACGAGACTGTCGTGCTAACCTGTACTTCCTGCCCACGGGAGAGGCCGTCTACTTCATCGCCTGCGTCGTCGTCCTCTACCACATCAACAACCGAACGCAGAGACACTACCGGAAACACACAGACTGCGTCCGCTGGTCAGACATTTTTATATTATCTACAGCCATAGATCATCTGTGTGTGGCTGAGAGGTCATCTGTCTGAAAAAAAGTTTAAAGGAAGAATGTGCAACATATAAATATATCATTAATCCAGTCTATCCTGTGTAAATGTGTCGACTGTCTACAATGAGTGAGAAGCTCGAGTCCCGCTGGCTGTGTTGTTGTCAGAGCTGTGTTTACATGGACGGGACGGCTGGCTCCTCCCCTTGTGTATAAAAGCTGTTTAAAACAAGGACTAGAGAGAAGAAGAAGAACGGATGTTAGTGAGAGTTTTTAGATCACGGTCATTCTACAATTTAGTCAGTTTACATGCAATGTGAAGCTACAAGCTAACTAAAGGGCGCTAACATTAGCATGCTAACACAACAATGCAGGACACAGGTGAATGCAGCTCGAGCCGAGGACGAGTTTGTCCGCCCCTTCCGCTTGACTCCTTGACACTGTGACTCCTTCGTGTGAACACAAGGGGAGAGGGGTTGGAGGTGTGTCTCTGGAGGAGAGCGGAGGCTTCAGGATGGAGGAGGTGTGGCTAAACAGCAGTTTGTTTTGGTTTCATGCTGGAGCTCAAGGGCGACATCTACTGGATGAAAAAGTCACACATTCTTCCTTTAAAAAAAATTAGGGTTGCAAACAGAGTGAGTACGATATGTCCAAGGAGCGCATGAAGGCAGCATGAGTACAGACTAGCAGAGTTGAAGGCATCACAGATATTTTCTCCATCAATTTCTCAGAATTCTGCTTTTCTCTTTCTTCTTCCTGCAAGGCATTAATACCGTGTCAGACTCTTGTTTTGTCCTCGCCTCCCTCCTTCAGGAGATCACGTAGAATCACCTGAGTTAATTCAGTTAATTCATTTGATTGATGAGGATTTAAAACTTGGCGAGTGAGTCCACAGATGAATCAACATGTTAGCAGCAGACACGCCACGAGCTGGGGGAGTTATTTTTGTCTTAACCTAAAAATGAACTCAGGGCGGGTGCAGGATTGATTGTGTGACACGGACATGTTACCGCCTGTCCTTTAACCCCAAAATGTACAAAATATCAGAAAGGAGGGATGTGATATGAAGTCTCTATATTCGAACAGAAGCACATGTTGGGTCTCAGGTAATCAGGGGACATTCCAGCTGCTTTTAGTTCACAAACCACAGATCTGAGCAGCCGTCAGTGAACTAGCTGACATTTAAAAAAAATCACTTTTAAACTCCAACCCGATGCCAGGATCCGAACATGCAGCGACCTGCAACACGAGGAGACTTATTTGTAGGAGTTTGCTGACAGTCCAGACTTTAATAGACTCAAGTTGTCAAAGTTTTCATCAGTTTTTGATTCCACGTGTTTTAAAACGATATAGTCTGTGTTACTTTAAGGATTGAAATAAATCTTCAGGCATGTTTCTGACCAAAGGCTGCTGCAAACCAAAGACAGAGAGCGATGTCTAAACTGCACAAACATATTGCTGGTATTCAGAACAGAGACGTTGGTGACGTATTTGTGTAGTTTAGTCAGTGTGCAAGAGCTTAGCTGCAATTTTTGCTAATTAAAAACAACAAATGACCAAATATCGAGTGTCTAGGACTTCTATTGTTGTCGCCGTGGTATCAAACAGGTACGGATATTGTTGGATTGAAATGTGAGGTGAGCTTCAGTTAGCTTTGCACACTAACAGCTGATAGAAAAGTCCTTCAGAGGGAGACTTCTGACTTTGACCCTGTGAACACTTTTCAGAGGAGGGTCGTCAAGTTTTAATCTTTGATATGATTCTAGTACAAATCAAATGATATGGTTACCTGTTTGTTACCACGGCAACACAAATAGAAGTGAAAGGTACCCGATATTAAGACATTTCTTGTTTTTAATCTAAATATAAAAACTGCAGGTAAGCGCCTGCTCGCCGTCTTAAATGCACAAATATGTTGGCAAAGTTTCTGTACTGAACTTAACCAACAGCTTTTGGTTTAGGTTTAGAAGATTTGTAGTTTCTTTAAAGGCTCAGTACTTCTCTATACATGCGATTATTGAAATAACAGAATGTATCGTTTTAAAAAACAAGGAATTGACGTTTTGACAACCTTTGTGTTAGCATCTGGACTGTCAGCAAACTCCTACAAATAAGTCTCTTCATGTTGCAGGTCGCTGCATGTTCGGATCCTGGCATCGGGTTGGAGTTGAGATTAAAAGTGATTTTTTTATGATGTCAGATATTACATTTCTCCACATTTCACTAACGGCTGCTCTAATCTGTGATTTGTGAACTAAAAGCCCCTGATTACCTGAGACCCAACTTATTTACTTGTTTCTGTCAAAAGAATCAATAAAATGCACAAATTCAAACGTTGCCAACGTATTAGTGAAGTGTAGGAAGTGTTCTCTTTTTGTCTCTCGTTGCAGCTTTTGGTTGAAATATGACCGAAGATTATTTTTTTTTTCATTGAAATAAGAGAGATAGTTTAATTTAAAACACACGTTATCCAAAAGTATCAAAAACATTTTGACGTTTTTCAGATCCTGGTCCGCACACGGCTCAGTGCGGGAGACCCTTACCGCCTTTTTTATTCAAGTAACTTCTTCTGGACTAAAGAATGTGTGTACTCCAATTCAAACAGATGTTTGTCCAGATGTTTGTTAAAGCTGTCTCGTCATGGAGTTAAGTATTGTTGTTCTTCCTGCAGTCTGACCGTCCATCCGGACAAAGTGCGAGTGGCGTCAGGTCAGACAGCTGGCGTGGACAAAGACGGCAAGGTGACGAACATTGGGTCTCTGACCATTCAAAGGTTTACATTTAGCCTCAAAGTCGTTTGTATATGTAGTTCTATCTAACGGTAAGTGTGTGTGTGTTTTAGCCTCTGCAGCCTTGTGTTCATATCTGGGACTCGGCCACGCTCGTTACGCTGCAGCAGATTGGTCTGGGAACCTTCCAGAGGGGAGTGGGATCTGTCGCCTTTTCCTTCACAGTGAGTTCATTCTAATAAATCACTAACTATAGAGTAGTGAGGTATGAACTAATGACCTTGAACACATGATTCAAAACCAGATCTTTATCTGAAACAGAGATGATTCAACCTGTTGGGACAAATCGCTCCTGCTTTCACTTAAATATAATAGAAATCAAGTATATCCTCTGAAAATAACTCTGTGAGTCATGACTGTCTACAATGGGTGTAACACCCGAGTCCCACTGTCTGTGATGTTTTCAGAGTTTTCAGAGTCCTATCTTCAGTTTGTTTACATCGTTGGGACGGCCGGCTGACTCCTCCCCTCGCGTATAAAAGTTGTTTAATTGAGGGACTAGAGAAAAGAAGAATAACATACTGTACTCACTGCTTAACTGTGTTTCTAGATCACGCTCATTTCAGGTAAATTTACATGCAGTGTGAAGATACGAGCATAATAAAGATCACTAGCATTAGCATGCTAACACAACAATGCAGCGCAAGTTGTTTTGGTTTCATGCTGGTGCTCAAGGGCGACACCTGCTGGATCAAAAAATCGCATATAAAGCCTTTAAGGCAAATGTATTTTGGTGCAAAAGACTAACCTTTCAACACTGCATCTTCCTCAGAGTCAAACAGTACAGGTAAAGATTTGAGAAAGCTAAACACACTTCCTTTTTTTTTACATTTTGCATCAATGAAATGTAAAGCTTCTCTCACAGGAACATCTTGAAGAGGGGTTGAGTGTCATTATTGAGACACAAAGGTTAAACACCAACGCTACACTGAATCTACTGAGTTTCTATATTTGTTTTTTCTGTTTTCAGGACAGCGGAGCGTCTCTGTGTGTGATCGACGACTCTAATGAACACATGCTGTCAGTGTGGGACTGTAACAAGGGGACCAAGATAGCAGAGGTCAAGGTAAACAACTGTTCAAATAAATGATCTCTAACAGCCTCCGTAAAGATTCTTCTTCTCACCAGCAGAAATACTGCTAAGATTTCTTACTTTGTGTACGAGCAATTACATTTATAAGGTGTTTGATTTGGAACAAAACAAACAGCAACACCTCTCCTGTCAAGAAACGTAAAGGTCCAATCAGTGAGATGTGTAGTGAGTGAGATGATAAAGGTATCTTACTATATGATCAGACATTAAGGAAACATGTTATGTTGAAGTGCTGGCTTCTCTGACAACAATGCAGCAGTCAGTATGTCCTCCTTCTAACTTTAGATTCTGCTCCTGAATGATCTGGATTTGTTTGAAACAGAGAAGGTAGGCGGTTTTAAGACACCCCCACACGGCTTTTTGGACGCCCCTCTGTTTGTCAGATATGAGAGCAGTTATCAGGTCAACAGGTGTTGCAGTGATGGAAGAGGTCAAGAGAAGTGGTTCAGATAGAAGTGATTGTACCCGACCTAAAAAGCCTCTGCATGTTTCTAATAAGCTCCACGAGCAGAAACGTGCTCAAACTAGGATCAATAGATGCTTTTGAAAAATGGAGAGAGGTTAGAACACAGAAAGGTTTACAGACCGATGCAGAGCTGGATAAACACTGAAGCTTCAGTACCACCACATGGTGACCTGTGTGAGCATGGACTCTAGAGAGGAGGGGGGGGGGAGACACTAGGTTTCCGAGATACAGATTGCAGATAACATTGGAATAAAAATCTAAAACTGTATTATATTAAACATGTACAATCATTGACAAAAAGAGCTGGACATTTTGCGCAGAGTGTATACTTAGAGTTAGACAGACAAAAATCCAGTAAGAGGAAGGAAGTCGGGGAAAAGATGGCAGACTTCTTTTTGCTTTTATGGGCTATGATCCCAAAATGCCACAACTTCCCTCAGAGCTGGTCTGCACTGCTGCCATGACAACAGTGTAAATATTATATGCACTGGACATGTGTGTGTGTGTGTGTGTGTGTGTGTGTGTGTGTGTGTGTGTGTGTGTGTGTGTAACATAGTAGAGGAAGCACACAGTTTAAACATATGTCATGTCAGGAGTTTAATGGTCGTTGTGCAGGATCGTATGTTTTGTGAGACACACACGTGACGTGCTTCAGTTCTGTGTGGGTCGACATTGACACACACTGACACACACTATACAAAAACACACATCTATCCAGCAGGAACCAGATAATTACCCCCCCCCCATAGGCACTTTATAGCTCTGCGGTGAAAGGAGCTTTTTGTGCAGAAATTATGCTGCTGTACTCGCTGCACTGTACATACCGTACACACACTGTGTGTGTGTGTACGTGTGTGTGTGTGTGTGTGTGTGTGTGTGTGTGTGCGTGCTTGTGTGTGTGTGTGTGTGTGTGTGCGTGTGTGTGTGATAGCAGTAAACGTTCAAATTCTAGTCTTCAGGCCTGAGAGGAGAGTCCATAAAAAGTTTCAAAACTCTATGAAAGTGAGTGTAAATGTAAATGATTCCCCCTGGAAGGATCCTTGATGTGAATCAGGTTGTTTTTGTGTGTCCGTGTTTTCAGAGCACCAATGAAGCTGTGTTTGAGGTCGAGTTTAATCCCAGCGATAGCTCCAACATCATCACCTGCGGGAAATCTCATGTTTACTTCTGGACACTCAGAGACGGACAGTTCACCAAGAAACAAGGAATCTTTGGAGTAAGAGATGAATAAATCACATTATCCTCACAACAACTTTCTACTTTTCTGCTTTCCTCAATTCACATATCGTGTTTGAGTTGGTGTTAAATAGGAAGTTTGCAAGTTGGGTGTCAATTGAGCAGAAATGTGAAAGCAGATTAACAAATTACACAGTGCTAGTGGAATAATTTATTCCTGCTACCTCAAGCATCTGAATATGTCTGTTCTATAATGCTAAATTTTGGGGTTTAAGTTGAAGAGTTGTTGCAAATTAACAGATTTGTTTTAATTTTTGAAAGTGTCAAATCAGTAATTCGCCCACTAAAATCAGTTGTTATTTTTCATTTCAGAAATACAAGAAGCCGAAGTTCATCCAGTGTTTTGTGTTCAGTCTGACCGGAGACGTTCTGACCGGAGACTCTGAAGGAAACATCCTGACGTGGGGAAAGTCGGCTGCAGACATTAAGACGCTCGGGAAAGGAGCTAAAGGTCAGAGCTGTGGATCAAACGGCCCTTTATCAAATATCAATATAAAGATTCACTTCTGTGCAGCCAATCAGGCTCAAATGTTTCGTGTTGTGTTGGTGAAATAATAACAAAACGATGAATCTTTTATTTGTGTAAAACTTTGTATCCTAGTTTGTCGACATGAATTGTGAGTCTTCTTTCTGCCCACAGAGACGTTTCAGATCATGCGTCAGACCCGAGCTCATGAGGGCAGTGTGTTTACGCTGTGCAACCTGCAGGGCGGCGCTCTGCTCAGCGGAGGAGGAAAAGACCGAAAAATCATTCGCTGGAGCGCCGACCTGGCTCCTGAGAGAGAGTGTGAGGTGAACCACAACTCTGTGTGTGTGTGTGTCTGTGTGTGTCTGTGTTTGTGTGTTTAAGTGCACTTCCATCTAAACGGGAACCAGGTTGTCATTTACAATTCACCAACAGTGGACTATCCAATAAACAGGGAGGGCATTTTTCATTCATACTTTAAATCATCCTAAAAGCTTGTCAAAGCCACTCTGGTTAAGTTTTACAATTTTTGCCAACAGTGGCTGAAGGTGTGGGTGTTTACGGTCATGCTCTGCAGCGCCTCTGCTGGCTGGAGCAGGAATTTTATTGACCCATTCACATGGGTTATACTTAGGCATGTATGCATGAGTGGTTGTGTGTTATTTTGGTAGAGTTGCATTAAGACTTTAATAGACGACTAATTGATTATTTGTGCAGATTCCAGAGAAGTACGGGGCGGTTCGTACCATCGCAGACGTAGATGGAGAGGAGCTGTTAGTTGGTACGACCAGGAACGCCGTCCTCAGAGGAACCTTCTCAGACGGCTTTGTGGCCATCGTGCAGGTGAGCTACATTTAAAGCCACTGAACACGTGTGTTTGGTCTAGCAGTATTAAAAGAATGGGTGGAAGGAAATGTTGCACGTCACACTTTGCCCTCGGCTTTCGATGTTGGAAGTTTTGTTGACAAAACTGAATCATGAAAATACAACGCTCAGGGCGACATCTTTTGATAATGATCATGTTAATCTAAATATAATACATATACAAAAGCATGTAGAAGCAGTGTTAGCATTTAGCTTTTAAACACAACAAAAACTGGTGTTTGTGTGTCTCAGGGTCATGTAGATGAGATGTGGGGTCTGGCCACACACCCCTCTCAGAACATCTTCCTCACCTGTGGTCACGACAGACAGGTGTGTCTGTGGAACACCGAGGAGCATAAACTGGACTGGAGCATCAATCTGGAGGTAAAACACGCTGATTACTGACACTTTATACCCTGAACAAAAAAATGTTTTCCCCCGACTTATCAGAATAAGAATCAAGTTAATTGTCAACCTATAAAGGCACAACAAAAACTTGTTTAGCATCTCTCCCCTGGAGTACAGAAAACAACATGACAATAAGTAAACAGAATAAAAAAACAGGTAAAAAGTAGAGCTATTCAATACAAACTATAACAGTGCAGATTTGTTGTATATAAGAACCAAGAGCTTCAGAGCAGCTGATCAATATTTAATATCGTTAACAGCTTTAATTTTAAAGCTGTGACAGATTTTGAAATAATTAACTGTGCAGTTGCTGCAGTTTGCATTGCATCAGCTCAAGACGCAGAGTCGCAGCCCTCGTCAGAGTCACTTTTGGTCCAAGCAGCCAATAAAATCAAGTAGGAGGCTTTACCTCTGCTTTTTATTACATTTTCCCTCCTCGTCCAGGAACAAAGTAACAGCGGAGCTCTACTTTTGCTCAAATACATTTTTTTTTCTCACTTATTGTTTGTGTGTGTGTGTGTGTGTGTGTGTGTGTGTGTGTGTGTGTGTGTGTGTGTGTGTGTGTGTGTGTGTGTGTGTGTGTGTGTGTGTGTGTGTGTGTGTGTGTGTGTGTGTGTGTCTCTCCAACAGGAGTACGGTCTGTGTGCTGGATTTTGTCCGAATGGTTCAGTGGTTTCAGTTGGACTCAACTCAGGAAGGTAACACATCAAAGTCACAGCAATGATAGACTTTAAGAAATCCTTCAGCTCATCATAAAATCATTAAACGAAACAGTATGGATTTTAGTGTTTGTTAAAGAAGAACACTGAAGCTTCAGTGTTTATCCAGCTCTGCATCGGTCTGTAAACCTTTCTGTGTTCTATTCCTCTCTCCATTTTTAAAAAGCATCTCCAATATTGATCCTAGTTTGAGCACGTTTCTGCTCGTGGAGCTTATTAGAAACATGCAGAGGCTTTTTAGGTCGAGCACAATCACTTCTATCTGAACCACTTCTCTTGCCCTCTTCCATCACTGCAACACCTGTTGACCTGATAACTGCTCTCATATCTGACAAACAGAGGGGCGTCCAAAACGGCCGTGTGGGGGTGTCTTAAGACCGCCTACCTCCTCTGTTTCAAACAAATCCAGATCATTCAGGAGCAGAATCTAAAGTTAGAAGGAGGACATACTGACTGCTGCATTGTTGTCAGAGAAGCCAGCACTTCAACATGTTTCTTTAATGTCTGATCATATAGTAAGATACCTTTATCATCTCACTCACTACACATCTCACTGATATATGCAGTATTATCTTCCCAAAATCAATCAGCATTGATAGATAAGGCCAAAGGTTTTTTTTTACATGTTTTTATTTTTATTTTTTTTAATATATTGAGGTATTAAAACTTTAGAAATGATTTCCATCAACTATGTCCAGTTCCCTGTGATGTAACGCCCCCTGTGTAACTTTCTCTCTCCTTTCTCACCTGTCTCAGGTGGCTGGTCCTGGACCTGCTGACCAGAGAGGTGGTGTCTGAGTCCACTGACGGGAACGAGCAGCTGTCCGTCATGAGATACTCACCCGGTCAGACTTTATTATCTAACAATGAACAGTATTCTGACGGACATCGTCCTTACCTACATTTCAGAGCACTTTAGAGGATATGAACACCACAGACCCTGAAGAATTATGTTTGTTGACATTCCTGTTAACAGTTTCAATGTTCTGCTGTGTTTTCAGACGGCAGCTTCTTAGCCGTGGGCTCTCATGATAACTTCATCTACATCTACACTGTGACCGAGTTCGGCCGGAGGTACACTCGCTTCGGGAAATGTAACGTGAGTCAAACATCAAATACACGTCTACATCAGTCTTGTTTGTTGTTCGCATGATTCAGTCTGACTCCAAGGTTTGAAGTGAATCTCAGTTTGATGAGCAATGAGCATGTTTCCACTAAAGGCTGAAATATGAGCGTGTTGGTTTGACATGGCCAGGATGAAGTGGTGATCCTGAGAGTCTCGTCTGTTCATGCACCGATCCAACAGCTATTTGAATCTGATGACTGTGGGTCGGTTTGATTAAAGTCTGATGACACCAGAAGTCGGGAGTTTGTGGTCGTTAAAGTCTCAAAGTTCGAAGCTAAAGAAGGTGAAGAAATACTTTGATTTGAAGGAAAGATTTCAGGAGCTTTAACATGAATGAAAATAATGTAGAGCGACTTTACAATCCAGCCCACAGAATCAGTTTCACAACAGCTTCACAGTATTCTCTCTCCCCGAGGTCCACGTGTGCTTCCTTTATCCTTTGAGTGTTTCCTGACCATGTTACGAGTTTCTCTTCAGCACCACAAACAAAAAACTGTGAAGATGCATCCTGTAAAAGATGTGATTTGCAGAGATGTGAATGAGTAAAAATATGTTGGAAGAAGATCCATATCTGTATCAGAGAACACCTGAAGATTAATATGATTAAAATAAACATGAAACACCCTTCAGAATACAATGTTCTTACTCTGGCTTCTCGTCCAATCAGGGACACTCAAGCTTCATCACTCACCTGGACTGGTCCAAAGATGGAAAATACATCATGTCCAATTCAGGAGACTACGAGATCCTCTACTGTACGTAAACTCTTACCCAGAACTTCCACCAGATACGTGTGCGTTGCATAAACACAACAATGGTGTCTGACTTCCTGTCCCACTCGGTCTGCTCTGTGGTAAATTGATGCTCCTGTGTGTGTGTGTGTGTGTGTGTGTGTGTGTGTGTGTGTGTGTGTGTGTGTGTGTGTGTGTGTGTGTGTGTGTGTGTGTGTGTGTGTGTGTGTGTGTGTGTGTGTGTGTGTGTGTGTGTGTGTGTGTGTGTGTGTGTGTGTAATCAGGGGACATCGCAGGGGGCTGTAAACTGCTGAGGAATCGCTACGAGAGCAAAGACAGAGAGTGGGCGTCTTACACCTGCGTGCTCGGCTTCCACGTCATGGGTGAGACGTAAAAACATTTCTTCTTCTTCTTCTACGTGTTATAATACGTCACGTGAATGACGGTGTTGTTCTCGTGTTACAGGTGTGTGGTTGGAGGGCTCAGACGGCACGGACATCAACGCTCTGTGTCGCTCTCACAGTGAGAGGATGGTCGCCGTCGCCGATGATTTCTGTAAAGTTCATCTCTTCCACTATCCCTGTCCTAAACCAAAGGTACCGTCTCTCCACGGCCCAATCATTAGACTTACTTGTTGGACAAAGTCGGACATTTTCAGCATTTAAATGAAAGAAAACGTACCTGTACAAACATTTGACAACATTTTCAACTCCAAATCACAATATTCAAGGCCTGCCAGTGCACTTAGTAAGCTCCATGTTTAATTTTAGGACCGGTAGGTGGACTAAAGAGAGCTTCAGTCTGAACTTTTTAACACATCGTCCTCATTACATCCTGCACAAACGTACTCACATCTCTGGGTTCATGCTTCACGATAACTTTGGCCGCCTGTCAGAGCAAAAACCTGTTTTGTTCTGACACTTCTAAACCTTCACCTGGTTCTTCGAAAGCTTTGTGCAACCAGGAGAGAAAAAGGAAAAGGATGAAGTTATCAAGTTTGTCACCGTCTGAACAGGGTGTGCAAAATGGAACTTTTCTGATTAGTGTTAGTGTAAGCTACAACAGTTTGTCAGGAGGTTTAAAACCCGCCTCAGCTGCAGCTCTCAGCCTGTCGTTAGGTTGATTGAAAGTTAGACTGAGACAGCATTTCCAGCATGGAGACCGCCATCGATGGGACTCCAGCGCCCCCTGCAGGATCAGACAGCGGACGTCACTCAGGCTTCATCCATTAATATTTACAGTGCACGGTCCAAACTCAGGAAATTGATTCAAGAATTACATGAATGCAGAAGAAGTCCAGATGATGTGTTCTAACTTCTCTTTTTGCGCTTTCTAAAAGTGAATTCTCTTTCCTTCCTCTCCAGGCGCCGAGCCACAAGTACGAGGGCCACGGCAGCCACGTCACCAACGTCTGCTTCACGCACAGCGACTCCCACCTCCTCTCCATGGGGGGGAAGGACACCTGCATCCTCCAGTGGAGGGTGTTGGGAGGAGGAGGAGGAGGAGTGGGTGACAGCAGGGAGAGACTTGCTTCAGCCTCGTCCACCTCCACCAGCTCTCCAGAACCGGCAACTGGATAAACAAAAGGTCGATCTAGATCTGAACAGTGATGGAGGGGGGGGCGTGTTAACTCAGCCTGAGAGGAAGAAGACGATCCTCTGAGCTGCACCGCTGCGTCAGTTTCATACAGAACATGTGGAAGAGTCCTCTCCTCTGAAACCATGTTGTGAAACTGGACGCTGTGATTCAGGATCTCTGTGGTTCTGTCGGGCGTGAGGCGAGGATGATCAGAAGTGGCCGTGTGTGTTTGCTGGTACAGAACACGACTCGACTTCTGCAGAAACTTTCTCATGAACATTTCTGCGTTTTTTGTTTATCAACCCACTGCATTGTGGTGCTTGCCATCGAGCCTTAAAGACGTTTTCATGATGTTTTTACATTTTAAAGAGTCATTCTTGTATTTTTAAAGCTGGGTCCCAATGTGAAAAACAGGCTGTAACGTCTGCAGTCATAAAAAGTTCTGTCTCTGAAGGGATCCTCTCTGTATTGTTGTAGAATAACAACAGGAGCCTGACAGGGACAAAAACAACAAGTTCGAGTGGACACACTTTCTGATGGATTGAAAGATGAAATCTGTAAAAGCTCGTTTCGTGGCTGCAGGCTGAGTCGCTCCACTCAAGCAGTTTAAAATCATTTAGTTCCTGTTGTCATTGGATGCCAAAATACATCAAAAAATAGAGCCCAGGTTTAAAGTATTGAAGTGACTCTTCTCAGTGTTTTCTTTAACGTCTCAGCTAAAACTGAAGCTGTCTTAATATTCATTTTTGCATTAAACAGACTGTGACAAATCCTTCCAATGAAATCGTATCTTAATGAACTTTTATCACATCAGTACTCCTGGAAATGATTACTTTAATAACGTTTGACATATTTAATAGAAGTTTGGGAATACTGTGATGTTGTATCTGTAAAGCTCCCAATAAAGAAGTGAAGACTGGAAAGTGTAATGTGTGTTACGTGTCACTAGTGGGCAGCGTTGCCTCACACACTGAGGGCTCTGCTGTTTTTGATCCCAGACCAGAGCCCTCACAGCGGTTCTGACCCTGTGTGTGTGTGAGTGATATTTGAGTTTAAAAGGTGTTGCATCCTACAAAAACGTGTAAACAGTTAAGATTTCTGAAGACTGTGAGATGATAAAAACACTCGTGGAATAGTCACAAACACGGGTTAAGTTGTAAATATGAGATAACGTTTTAAACCTGAGTTACAAAGAAGTCACACTTTCACAGAAGATGGAGGCATGGATGGTGTTATAAGGAGTACAGAGGAGTACAGAGGAGTACAGAGGAGTACAGAGGAGTACAGGTACAGAGGAGTACAGAGGAGTACAGAGGGGTACAGAGGGGTACAGAGGAGTACAGAGGAGTACAGGTACAGAGGAGTACAGAGGAGTACAGAGGGGTACAGAGGGGTACAGAGGAGTACAGAGGAGTACAGAGGAGTACAGAGGGGTACAGAGGAGTACAGGTACAGAGGAGTACAGAGGAGTACAGAGGGGTACAGAGGGGTACAGGTACAGAGGAGTACAGAGGAGTACAGAGGGGTACAGAGGAGTACAGGTACAGAGGAGTACAGAGGAGTACAGAGGGGTACAGAGGGGTACAGAGGGTACAGGTACAGAGGAGTACAGAGGAGTACAGGTACAGAGGAGTACAGAGGGGTACAGAGGGGTACAGGTACAGAGGAGTACAGAGGAGTACAGGTACAGAGGAGTACAGAGGAGTACAGGTACAGAGGAGTACAGAGGGGTACAGAGGAGTACAGAGGAGTACAGAGGGGTACAGGTACAGAGGAGTACAGAGGACCACAGAGGGGTACAGAGGGGTACAGAGGGGTACAGAGGGGTACAGAGGGGTACAGAGGAGTACAGAGGGGTACAGAGGGGTACAGAGGAGTACAGGTACAGAGGAGTACAGAGGAGTACAGAAGAGTACAGAGGGGTACAGAGGAGTACAGAGGAGTACAGAGGAGTACAGAGGAGTACAGAGGGGTACAGAGGGGTACAGCGGGGTACAGGTACAGAGGAGTACAGAGGAGTACAGAAGAGTACAGAGGGGTACAGAGGAGTACAGAGGAGTACAGAGGAGTACAGAGGGGTACAGAGGAGTACAGAGGAGTACAGAGGGGTACAGAGGGGTACAGAGGAGTACAGAGGGGTACAGAGGAGTACAGAGGGGTACAGAGGAGTACAGAGGGGTACAGAGGAGTACAGAGGGGTACAGAGGGGTACAGAGGAGTACAGAGGAGTACAGAGGAGTACAGAGGGGTACAGAGGAGTACAGAGGAGTACAGAGGAGTACAGAGGAGTACAGAGGGGTACAGAGGAGTACAGAGGGGTACAGAGGGGTACAGAGGGGTACAGAGGAGTACAGAGGAGTACAGAGGAGTACAGGTACAGAGGAGTACAGAGGAGTACAGAGGAGTACAGGTACAGAGGAGTACAGAGGGGTACAGGTACAGAGGAGTACAGAGCAGTACAGAGGAGTACAGGTACAGAGGAGTACAGAGGGGTACAGGTACAGAGGAGTACAGAGGGGTACAGGTACAGAGGGGTACAGGTACAGAGGAGTACAGAGGAGTACAGGTACAGGTAGATTAAGTGTGCATTGGCAAGTATAAAAATAAAAGGAGAAACTGTATCATGATATGAAACAGGAATAATATATATTAGGTCTGTCAGCATTAATCTCTTTTTAATCTCGATTAATATCATGCTATTTTGTCCCTTCAGGCTCACCGTAGATAGTCGTCCTCAGTGTCTCCCTGTAGTCTCAGTGATGTAAAAGACAGAATCTGCTGCATCTTTGAATGTCTCATTTCACTTTAACAAACTCTCAGACAGCTCAGCTGACGAGTCCAAAGTGATATCCAGTTTATGACATCACACATTGACCTATGACATCACACATTGACCTTTGTTAACGTTCTTTTGAGCTGTTTGACCTCAGTTTGGGATCCCTAACCACTTCCTGTTTCTGTGCTTAACTTCATGTCCTAAGCTTTACTCTACCAGAAGGACCTTACTTTATTTCAAAATAAAAGCACACAGTAAGTAAAGTACTCTCATCTTAAGACAGTACAAGAATTCAAAATAAAAGCCTAACCATTTTTATTTTTAAATTTGAAATAATGAAATTGCAAACATGCGATTAAAAATTTAAACCGTGTGACAGCCTCTATATATAGCCTGTAAATGTATTATGTGTGTATTCTTTCTCTGAGAGTTTTTCTACATTATTAATTACACAAACAAATTAACAAGGATAAATAGATATATATATAGTTTTTTTGCACACTAGTTGGTGATTTCCCCCGGGAGTTTTTGCCCCAAAGGTCTGCAGACCCACCACGGTCAAAATGTACAGAAGACAATAAGGGCCATGCACAGGAAAAAAATCATGAGGGGAGGTAGATTATGTTTTTCATTATGCACTTCGAGGTAAAAGTCGAAATGTCGAGAATAATGTCAGAATTTCACAAATCTGTACATCAACGTAATTCTTAACATTTTGAATTTACTCATGAAATTGTATTTCAATTTTAGTTTTTCAAACTTCTACGTAATTATAGACATTTCAATTTGTCTCAACGTGTATAAGGGGAAAAACTTCCTCATCTCATCAAATGTAATAGAATTTTAACTTTTTTCTGAACATTTCAATATTTCAACATTATTCCCAACATTTCGACAAAAAATGTTCTACTTTATTCTCCCAATTTCCATTTGTCAACATAATTCTAATCCTTCCTAAATTGTAGGCTATTTCAACTTAATTCTCATAGTGCATAATAGGAAAAAATTTATTCCTCCTCTCATCATTTATTTCTCATGTCTGGCCCTAATCCTCTTCTGTAATAAAGCAGCTGTGAAATAAAAAATATTTCTGATTATTACATCCTAGTGTTTACATTCCCAAGTCCCTGCTTTGCCTGAATCTGACAGTAACTCTACTTTTTATGTTTGAATTTTACTAATATTTAAACTTAATATTTTTTTTAAAATAATTTGAGATTCACTTATGGGCATTTCTCTGTAAAGTGCATAAAATACAGTTTGTATTATTTGTGTATGAGTTCATATCAGGACTGTTCAGTAAAACAGTAGCTAAGAGTGAAAAGTTAATTGTGAGATACCGGAGATTGTCGACAATGTCCGAAGATGACGATTATCACCCGAGCGAAGGGGGCCAGTGAGTGTGTGTTCTGTGTGTGTGTGTGCTGAACTGAGCGGAGGTGAAGAAGAGGAGGATGAAGCTGGGAGCGGAGGATGGGAGGAAGAGTGGAGTAAGATACAGGCTAGCTGTGAGTGAATGAGTGAGTGAGGAAGAGGAAGAGGAGAGGAAGGTCGTCCGAGGGGCCGAAAACAAATACTTGGATTTTTTGGGGATAACCTCCGGAGCATTCCTAACGGAAACTTTCAACTTTTTACCCGCCACAGCTCTCGCTCGCGGTGCCCGGAGCCGGCTTTGTTTCTCGGCGGGGGAGTCTACGATAAATGAAGGAATAAAATAGATCCCCATCGACCTTTTTCTACCGGAGCGGGGAATATCCCGGGACTTCTTATCTTACAGTGACGAGAGGATGGCGGCAAATATGTACCGAGTGGGAGGTAAAGAATGTTTTAATATTTTTAAGATCCCCCCCTACACAACGTGATTGTTCGTTTCGACAGCTAGTTGGCTAACTAGCCGCTAGCTGTCTGCGCGGCTAGCCGCTAACTGATGTTAGCTCCGTGCTAACGTCTGTACGTGACTCTTTATTAGAGGGACGCCAAATCTACTCAAACACCCAACAATGTAATCTGAATGAGCCTGTGCATAAATTAAAGAAATCCTAACATTATGATTTAAATTATATCCAGCCGAAGTTAAACTGAAGACCTTCTGAATGCATATAAACGCTAAGAAGTTTGAATTCATTTAAAAGAATAACTTTTACAACATATTTGCGTGATATCCCGACTAGTTTCCTCAAACTACGGTGGCCCGCCGCGAGTAGCGAAAACTAAAACCAACGTGAACCGGTAGAAAGTTTGTATTTATTTTTAACACACAAGCGTAATTTAGAGTTTGCAGACTCAGTCATCGGGTAGGTTGCAATTAAAAGCGAAGCAATCGTAATGTGTTTGCAATGTGGATGCAACGTCCTGGAAGTGAACACAATGCTGGTTAGCATTTGCCGCTAGCTGTCTGTGTGGTTGCTAACTAATGCTAACACTCTGCTAGCCACCGTACGTAGGAACGTCAAATCTATAAAAGCATCCGATAGTGAAGTCAAACATGAGCTAATTATAATATAGCAAGCGTAAAAACTTCGTTAATATTCAGTTGGGTTTTTCTGTATATATGTTACACATGAATCTGTGTAAACTTGCAGGAAAATATCAACTTTGTCAAATAATTTGCGTGACTTCCCCTCATAGTTTCTTTTCGTGGCTACTGAGCAGCGTGGACCGGGCAAAAAGGTTGCTTTTAAGTAAAATTCAAAAAGTACTATGGGTAGTGATAGATTCACTCGTATAGCTGGGGGGTAGCCTGGTCGGAGCAGCGGGTACATTTCATGATCGCCTCCGCCATATCACTCGTCAGCCGTGTGTGCTAACTTTGATTGCTAAGTTGTGTTAGCCGTGGCTTCGTACTGCGTGTGGGTATGTTCAAGCCGGTGTTATGCCGAGAAATGCACGTCTGCTGAAAATCCCATAGGACAATGTAAAATACGGCAGACAAAATTGCTCTGCTGCCGAGTTTGTCTTCCACCCTTTAAGTTGCTCTAAGGACACTTAAGAGTCAAACACTGTTTGCAGGTCATATTTACGCAGGCTACAGAAAAAGCGTCTTCTACAAAATCTACCGAACCACAAGGACAGTTTATGTTCATTAAGTATAAACTTCAGATACTTTGTCATCACATATCTGCCACCAGCGCGGTGCGTGCAATTTTTTTCTGGCAGGCATGCATTTCTCGTCATTACACCGGTGTTATTTGTTTTGGTAATATTGGTTGACGTTGAGTAACCACGCTGTTTTTGTAAGAAAGTTAATGCTTCGAAAAAAACATACAAGTCAACACTTAACGATGACAAAACTGAACCAAGTTAGCAAACTTGCAACCACTTGGACTTACATTTTAACATGTACCAACTCGTAGCATCAAAGTGAAACTACATTGAAATACATAATCAACATTAATGGACTCAATTTAAAAGACTGTTTTGCGTGATAACAAAGTTTGCTAACAGCAGGAGAAGCATCTCTCCAACATCATTATTTACAAGTGTAACTGATCCGTGTGTGTGTTAAAGTGTACCTGTGTTGCTGTGCTTGTGCCCGCTGTGTGTTGTGTCTGAGCGCTGATGGTGATATTAGGACTTGGTGTACCTTCTGTGATTCCGCTGTTGCAGCCTCAGAGATGGCTGGACTGACTGCCTGTGGGACAGCAGCCTTATCTCAGTGTGTAAGGCTGTGCATCAGTCTGTACACTATATAGGTCACTGCTGCAGAATATTTTGTGCATGCATGTAGCTGTGTTTAATGCAAAGGACTGAAGACTGAAGTAAAGGACAGCATGTGCAGTATAAATGTTGGCTCTGCTGTTGCATTGTTTTTTCGCACTGGTTGGTATGATTGTTGCCAGTGGCAGTCTGCTTGGTTAACATTTTATTATTAGATATGAAGCGTTGCTTATTCACACAGTTGCACAGTCCAAGGTGTGATGTAGAAACAATGCATAGCTCATTGTGCTGATTGGGTTATATTGGATAATATCAATACCCCATGATGATAAAAAAAAAAATTAATACTTTTTTAATAGCGGGCATCTACAAGTTTTGGGGCTGCAACTGAAAAACCTTTTTTTTATTTGAATTTGGTTATTAATTAATCGTTTATTTAGGCAAATTATTTGTTTGGTCTAGTGTCGTCATCACACCATAATTTGAAGTTTCCATATGATACCAGTAAAATCAAACAATATAGAGACCTTTTTTTTTTCTCTAAGTCGACAAAACTAGACATCTTAGAGACCCTAAATTGCGTGAGTCATTGTTTTTAATTTAAAAAATTTGCAGGCAAACTCCAACACACTGTCTTAATTGCACAAAACGTTTGTACAGAAATGATAGATTCCTTCCTCTTCTTATCATCAGTCATGATATCATTGTGACCGTGTACTTTAAAAACACGTGGTATCAAACGCTTCGGTGACCTCAGTCGACCTCAGTCTTCAGAGGTAGTAGCAGAGGCGTTACAGAGGAGAGATGGGATCTGCTGATCCGGCGCTGTGTGTGTGCATGTCTGACTGTGTGTGTGTGTGTGTGTGTGTGTGTGTGTGTGTGTGTGTGTGTGTGTGTGAAGCTCCTGCTGTGCCGTGCTTCCACAACGCCGAAACGCAATGTGACCTCACAGACTGGGACACCATTATTACGCCGTCGTGGAATCAATATGACCGCACAGAGACGGCGGTGACGGCTGAGCAGTCTGAAAAATGCTAATGTAGTTTTGAGGGATTAATGTTAAACATATTTTAAATGAAAGAGAAAAAAAACTTTACGGTTGTCTTGTCATTCGTTTCATCCGAGGAATCTCCTCACTTTGGTGTTCCAGTGAAGCTACATCTCACCCTGATGTTTAAGCTCAGAGTCATTGTAAGCTTGGTCAGACTGTCAGGAAATGAACACTATTTAGCTTTTCCTTCTCCTTTGTGTGGTTGTGCTCCACCAGTGGTTATCGTCCTCACATTAAGGTAATTTGTCTGCACATGAGATGTGTTGGGATGAGCTCGATCTCTTACCACACAGATTTGTGGGTCAGTCTTGTGTACAGTCAACAGTTCAGTGTCAGTGTGTGTTGTGTCCTCGCCACACAGACCTCCTGGGTCTCTCGGGCACCGTTGTTCTTTTCGCCAGCCTGCTGGATCTTCGTGTGTGTGTGTGTGTAGAGGAGAAGCCTCAGCAGGAATCGAGTGTGATGAAGCCGTTAATACATTAGCGTGTAAAGTCCAGCCCTTGTAATCGTGCGGCTCGCAACAAGCGTGTGATTATGTAATGACTGAGAAATGTGTTTTTAAGTAGCCCACACAGCAGCAAGGTTAATAAGTAGTATGGTGCTTTAATGCAGAAATGATAATTAAGAAATGTATCAGCGTTACTGAAGCTGTTGTTAACCTGTGTGTGTGTGTGTTCAGTAAGAGTCCTGTTGTTGCATCAGGCAGCTCTTTACATCACCGGTCCTCCACCAGCACATAGTGTTCAGCCTGCATGTAAGATCATTATCCTCCTCAGAGATTAGTCAAAGGGCTTCCTCCTCTTCATTCACCCTCAAGCAGCGGCACACTGCGCCACTCCAGCCGTGTACATCCACAACAAACACACACAGCAGCCTCAGCACACACACTCTTTTTAAAGATCTCTTTTTCTTCCGGCTGACACTTAAATCTGTCCATTAACATAAAACCCTTTCAAAGGCAATGTGATTATGCCCAATGCAGGCGCTAGCTGAAGCCAGTGTGTGTGTTTTTTTTTCTTGATTATTGATCCATCACCCCCTCCTTAGTTCTGCTGGAACAGGCTCAGTCTCTAATATGTCCCACCAGGCTGGATTAAAATAAAATAACTCCCTCTGTCCTCCATCACTGTGTCTTTTGAGGCTAGAATTAGTCATGTCAGGCACATGAGAGTGCAGATCCCCTCTCGCTGCTTCTGCCCGTGTTATGTAATGTGCTGCTGTTGTGTTCCTTCACTGTGAACAAGGAGGTGAAGCCTCTCCGCTCGGGCTCCCCATCACTGTGCTAAGTAGAGCAAGAAATCCTCTCCCCCGTCTGAATCGTCGTCTCTGCGTCTCGGCTCGTGGCGAAGCACCAGAAGTCCTCCTGAGGCTCCGTGTCCCCGCTCGTGGGAGGACCAGATGGAGCCTGACGTGAAGCTGTGCGGAGCGGCTTCAAACGGCACAACAGAAGCTCTGAGTGTGTGATAATGAACGGGCAGCTTCCATCAGTATGCTGTGTAAAGGCTGGAGTGTCTATTAAAGCTGTCGGCAGCTGCTGCTGCGAGCACTTCTTCACTAAATCTGAACATATTTACCAAAAGTCATAGAAACACTCGGGTAATTAAAGTCTGTTTAAAAGTGCAACAACCTCTTTTAAATAAGAACCCGTTTAAACGAGTGTTTAGCATAAATTACAGACGGATGTGCATAAAATAAGATTAACATAAAAAACTCGAAGAATGGGAGGCTGATTGACGATACGTTTCTATGCTTGAAAGTTGCTTTAACTTTCTTTCTAATAAGCTGTTTGCCTCCAGAGTGAACTCGATTCTTCCTGCAGAGTCTTCAGTGTTGAAATGAGGCAGGTGGAGCAGGTCGAACAAACTTAAGCCGTGTTCACGTCTGCACTCCTGAAATAGATATTTGTCTTTATATCAATGCTAAGTGTAGTTCAACACAATCACAATATGAACTAAAGAGTGAAGAAGAACAGGAAACATTCTTATGTACATGCTCAGTCTTTGGTTTTATAACTGAGGACAGGCACGTTTATCACAAACAACAAAAGTGTTTCAGGAAAGGGCAGAGGAGACCTGGAGTTCAAGATAAATCCTATTTCAAACAGTGAAGAGTAGGGGCGTCACCATTCCAGATCTGTTACGATACTAGTAAAAATAAAATGATATTGATAATCCGGTTTACAGATCGTAGAGCAGGCGGTGACTTAAAACCAAGCCATGTCAGTTTGTATAGAGTCTCATCGGTCTGCAGGGCTCACATGAGCATGTAGATGTAGAACCTAAGAAACTTTAATTAGGAATGAGGATGAATGATGTAATCAAGTTTTTATGGCCACCAAGCAGATTGACAGCTGTGTGATATCATGTGTTCTGATTTGCATATGAAGGCAACATTGAAGGTTCTAGGTTTGATTGTGAGTCTGAACAACAACAGTTATTAATAAGATGTTTTTCTGAGGATACAGAAGTTATAAAAGTAGATCACTGGGTGAATGCTGCATGCTAACATGATTCAAACTATTCTGGACATTAGATCACATGACGTCAGTCTGCAGCTCACATTACACCTGTTCATTTACTGAGCTGACGGGGTCTGGGTCTGTTAACAGCTCAGCAGACAGGCTTCATATCAGAGCTGTGTGTGCGTGTGTGTGTGTGTGTCAGACTGAAGGGTTTTATCCGTCAGGTGAGCCACAGTCTGTCCAAACATTCACTCACTGAGCTGCTGTCTGTGCAGAGGAGGTTTGACCTGACGTTGTTTACAGGGTCATGTAGAATATAATCTTCATCATTATTCATGTGTATCCTGTGTGTTATGTCCGTGCATGTGAATCAGATGTGACTCTAATGTTTCATTCTCTGTTTTTGTAGATTATGTGTACTTTGAGAACTCCTCCAGTAACCCGTACATGATCCGCAGAATAGAAGAGCTCAACAAGGTACGTGTTTTCTCCTGTTGCCTCACACTGTACGCACCAATAAAAAATGTTTTAGTATAGTTTAGGTCAGTCAACTCTGAGATATCTGGGAATTACATTAAAGTGTTGCGTCATGGAGTAGTTAATGCTGGAACGTGATAACAGCGTTATGCAAGTTCATAAGCCATGAAGATTTATAAAACATGAAACATGAACAAAATAAGATCAACACTCCAGACGTTATTTCAGCTTTAGACATTTGAGTTATTCTTCTTTTTATGAGCAGAGTGAACTGCAGACGTGTTTTTATTTGATGTCTTATTAGAAAGTGACTCCACTGTTTGTTTTTCTCATTGATATGACATAAAATTTAAAGGAGCAATACGTAACTCTGACACCTAGTGTTTTAAACATCATAGAGAGCTGTCTCCCCCTCCCCCCTCCTCTCTAGAGTCAATGCTCACACAGGTCACCATGTGGTGGACTCTGAAGCTTCAGTGTTTATCCAGCTCTGCATGGGTCTGTGTTCTAACCTCTCTCCATTTTTCAAAAGCATCTCCAATATTGATCCTAGTTTGAGCACGTTTCTGCTCGTGGAGCTTATTAGAAACATGCAGAGGCTTTTTAGGTCGGGTACAATCACTTCTATCTGAACCACTTCTCTTGCCCGCTTCCATCACTGCAACACCTGTTGACCTGATAACTGCTCTCATGTCTGACAAACAGAGGGGCGTCCAAAACGGCTGTATAGAGGTGCCTTAAAACCGCCTACCTCCTCTGTTCCAAACAAATCCAGATCATTCAGGACCAGAATCTAAAGTTAGAAGGAGGACATACTGGCTGCTGCATTGTTGTCAGAGAAGCCAGCACTTCAACATAGCATGTTTCCTTAATGTCTGATCATATAGTAAGATACCTTTACCATTTCACTCACTACACATCTCACTGATTGGACCTTTAATACTTTATATCCCCAAAATCTAAGTTTGGAAAGTAATGCTCTAGCTTTAATGTTTTTTCTATAACATTTAGTTTAAACAGGAACATGCAGAAAGAGCTTGAGATCGGCAAGTTTCAGACGGCACAGGTCTTAAAGTAATGACCTCATCAGTGAACGTACGTTAAGATGATGCTTAAAGAATAAATGCTCCAGCTCTTGGGGGTTTTATTGAAGCTCATTTTAAACAAGATCTTGCAAACAACCTTTTTTTTCTTCAAGCCAGTTTGTTGCCAGCTAAATGTTCTTCCCCGGTTATAAACCGCACGTAGTAAACTGTAATGGCCTCATCAACAAACCGACATGATGGTGGAGTGGAAAGCAGAAGCCTGAACTGTCAGCTGCAGGAAAACGGATTGTTTCCAAGCAGGGTCCAAAATTAACACCCGCCAAGCGCCAAATGCGGGTAGATTTTCCGTTTGGCGAGTACTTTTCAGAGGGCTATCCGCCACAGGGCGGGTAAATGTTTCATCAAAAAGTTATAAAAAACTATGCTGCAGCTACTTTTCTCTGCTCCTCTCTCTGCTATAATGTCTGCGAGCATCGCAGGGCACGCTGAGACACACTAACATACATTGCAGCGCAAACGTACACACACACACACACACCGGAGTGCCGAGACGGGAACACACGTGATCAGGTCTAACAGTCGGTTCGACTTTTCTCTGTTCACTCTCACCGTGTCTGCAGCTAACTTAGCGATAGCAACGTCATAAGTCTGTGAACATCTCCACACAGACTTTGTAAAACAGCGCTGCGTTCTAAACACTTAAAATATCCTAGCGGACGCTAAATGCATGCTCCACTTTTCTCTTCCATCACGTGCAGCAGGAGCAGTCAGAGATACACACACATCCACTAATGAGCAGGCTGATTATATAAAGTTTCTAATATTGTCAAAGCTAAATCAGGAGAAACCTTGGTTTGAGGATTACTAATTAATTATTCTCTGATGGATTTTTGTTTTTAGTCTGTAATGTTGTAATGCAGGGGCGGTTCAGAGGGGAGCAGGAGGCGAGTTTTGGAACTACTGCCTACAAATAATACATTAAGAAAAAAATAAAGGCCAGCAAATATATTTTTTTGCAATTTCTCAATTTCCTGATCTGATGACATGATCAAATCTGTGACTTAAATTTGTTATTGATTAAACAAAACATAATGCCTTCTCAATTAAATGTACTGTAACAGATGTGTATAGGACACAAGAACAAAATTTGTTATTTTGGCCGGTAAAAAAATATGTTTGGCCGGTGAATTTTTTCATCTACCTGCCACCTTGGCCGGTGAGTCAAAAAGTTAATTTCAGACCCTGTTTCCAAGTCTTTGAATGCTTTTAAAGCTTTTATTTAAGAAAAGATGAAATGCTCACAATTTGTCTGAGCCAGGACCGAGCTGCATGTCGTCCCCAGGGTTTTACCCTGCACAGACACAAAGTGATAAAACATAAATGTTCAGACAGCAGGGTGATGCAAAAGAAAAAAGTCTGCTTCACTCTGCAGAAATAATAAAGCATCGAACTATTTCAATTATTCCGTTAAATAAATAAAATAAATGTATTACACACGATAATCTGGAGGTCTGCTTTCAGAGGGTCAAAATCATACATCAGGGTCCAGTCCACACACACGCAGTCTCCTGGCCTCTGTTGGTAAACTGTGGTGGCCTCTGTGATGACAGGACTGTGGTACAGGAGCCTCTTATATAACAGCAGCAGCGTATGACACAGGACTCTTTCCCAGTCAAAGGATTAAGCTCATTTATGTAACACTCTTATTCTGAAGGGCTCGTGCTGCAGCGTCCTGAGTGCTAACGGCTGCTCACAGCAATGAATGAATGAAGGGAGAGAGAGAGAGTGGACGAGTCTCAGCTCCAGCCTGTGGCTCTGTGTGTGTGTGTGTGTGTGTGTGTGTTCTGCTTTCTCTCTGATCAGTCAGTCCAGCCAGATAGAAATCGCTCATCATCTATCAAAGCTCTCTGGATATTAGATATGGAGAGATTTGCTCCAGTATAGTGGACGTAGTATCGATGATATCTCGAGAGAATAGAGCAGAGCGAAGGGAACGCTTGTCCCGTCCTGTGTGCTGACGGTTTCATCACATAACCAGGAAAACCCCAAACCACTCTCAACACGTGCAAAGAGATGGTTGGAAAATAAAATGTCGGGGGAAGAAGTGATTCCTCCTTCGTGCCTCCAGAGGCAGTAACAGAGGAGTGGCAGGCAGGGGCAAGACCGGATCGGAGGTGCCAGCGGTGTAGAACAGCACTGAGTGTGTGTGAGAATGTGTATGTGGAGCTCCTGCTGTTTCTCTTCTGCAACACCGCGATACAATGAAAGACTGTGACACCAAAATGATGCCGTTGAAGAATCAATTTTTATTTCGCTATAATCTTAAGGCGCATTCACACGAGCAAAGTTGCCCCGTACCGTGTTTAAGCACGACTGCCCCCCTCCCCATTGCCTCGCTAGTCTGCACTCACACTGCTCCAGGACTAACCGGGCCTGAGCAGTTACCTCTTGTACATAACGTCGTTATACAACACATGCAAGGCTTTACGTGATCACGAAGCGTGCTCAGTTCACAAGACAGGCGGACTCGAGACAAAAAAAATGTAAATAAATAAAGGAGACGCGCTGTCGAGTCCGTGTCCGCACATCCGAAACAACACAGAGAACTAGACAGCTACTTTACTTACTTTGAATCATGTTAGTCAGAAACAGCCTCTTCGAAATGTGCCAGGGCCAAGAAGTGTACCAAGCTTGAGCATGGATCAGAGCACTCACACTGGTCAAACAAACTGGACTTTAGGGGTTAAACGCACGGTACGGCTTGCTTAGTGTGAGTGCGCCCTTAGACTACGTCTACATCGATAAACGCACAGCTCACAAAAGAGGAGTGTTATTTACAGGTTGTTAAATTAAGCCATCAGAAATATAGAGAGCTGTTGCTGCTCCACGTCGGAGGTTAATAATGCTGAGACAAGTTCGGAAACTTTCAGGATGATTCCAGTTTGGTACACAATAAATACATTTTGCTACTCGCCACCTTAGAAGAAGTTACTGCAAGTTATGAAATATGTGAGTCATGAAGCAGAATCGTTGTTCCTGCACAGAGCAGAAGAGAAACAGACTCCTGTCTGTGTGTAAACTGTGTGAGTAGTCTGTGTCGATATGATGGACAAACAGTGTGTCTGTCTGCAGCTGCTGATGCTTACAGCGGATTTGACTCCTGATTTGTTTTGGCTCCCTCAGATGATATAAAATAAAAACATCAGAGCAGGAGGAAAGCTGAACTGAAGCGAGAGTTGTTGTTGTTTGTGTTCAACTCCTTTTAATGAGCGCTGAACTAAACCATGCTAACATGTTACCTGGTTTCTAACCGGTGTAGTGCTTTCTAACCTCTGCCTCTCTCCTCACAGACGGCCAATGGGAACGTGGAGGCGAAGGTGGTGTGTCTGTTCAGGAGGCGAGACATCTCAGGAAACCTCAACACGCTGGCTGACAGCAACGCCAGTGAGTCCTGACGCCGCTCTCTCTCTTTGTTCTGTATACTCCGTCTGTGATCCTGCTCGCTGCTTTTTAATGAAGCCGCTCCTCTTTGTGTTTCTCATCAAAACCTCAAAGCTCCTCTGCAGATTTTGTGGAGACAAATAAAACAGAACAGCTCACAGAGAGAGGAACACCGTCACGTCTGCCTCAGGATCCGGGAGGGATGACAGTTAGGAAAAGTTATTGTGTCTTCCTCATTAGGTTATCTTATCAAGGTGTGCACTTGAACACACCACAAAGACTACAGCCGACAGTCAACCACCACGTACGTTCTGCACATGCGTGAGAGGAAATAACTCTCCATGCCAGCAGGGGGCGGTAGTCTGTTGTTATGATACGAGAAGACCATTTTCACACTGTGTCGCTCACCACTCGTATTATAGGTAGACTACTAATGGAGAATAATGTCTGATAAAAAGTAGAAAATGGTGGCTGATGGGTGGTGACGGAGCCGGACACACCACAACGATCGCTGGACCGACGACCGGCGATTTCCTTAATGAGTCAGCGACTTAATGTCAGCGCGTAGCTCCGCCCCGTCGACAACCTCGGAGGTGGTGACCTCTGCTGGACGTCTTCCATTGCTGCCCTTAGTTTACTGTGTCGCGCTTTTCTTTTCTAACGCTCTGCTAATGGAGTAACAGTCGGCTGTGGAAACTTGAACACGATCAGGGTTTGCCGTACCAAACTGTACTGAACCAGACCGGACTGTTTGGTGGAAACACAGCTGATAACATAAACACGCGCTTTCTTTTGTAGATATTCTTCTTATTTATTTACTTATTTATTTATATTTATGTCGGATTAACGACTTCAGCTCGCAGTTTTCATTTTTTTCTTCAGGACCTTCAGTATTTGGATTAAGAAACCTTCGGGACATGATATTTCTACATTTTAGCTCTGGGGAGACATTATAGTAAGAACATTATCTGACACTTTTTTAGTATTATCTGTAGTCTTCTCAATATGAGGCACCTGCCCCTCCCCCTCTAGTCCGCCTGGATTAACCAATCAGCTTGCTTCTTGCCGCCGCCTTGTGTGTGTGATCAGAGAGAAGAGAGGGTGGAGGTGGTGTGATTGTGCTGCTAATAGTGTGCAGACTACTGAAGCCTGATCACATTCACTCATTACCCCCACCAGCAGCCCCCCCCCCCCCAGCCCGCAGTGCTCCAGACAAAGACGCCTCCACACACACACACACACACACACACACACACACACACACACACACACACACACACACACACACACACACACACACCTCAAGATGGATGCATGAATGCTGCTTCTTTTCATTGTACTCAGCTTAACACACACACACATGCTAACAATGCTAACTGTATTAGCTTCATGGTCATTGAGGACATTTGAGTCTAATTGAAAAAACTAAACGTTTCATTCCATCATGATATTTATTTCATGAACGCTTCTTTATCATCGAGGTTTTTATTCTTTGACAACGCCAAACAAACATCAAATTATACTCAAACACATTTTGACGTATTTCTAAATCTAAGGCTCATTTCGTCACATCTGGGTTATGATGAATTTATCCGGTTATGTTGCCTCTTTATACAAAAAATAATCTTTCTCTGCTGTGTCCGATAGTTAAAGCAAAATTATCTTCCCCATTGTGTGAGCAAGCGGTGGGCAGTAAACTGGTATCAGTACCGATGTAGGTACCAGATCTGCTCGGGGTCCTGCGTCTGCCAGTGACGCTGCACAAGATGATCGACTGTACATTTGTATAATGATGTAGCGCGTTGTGATTGGCTGTTTGTCAGAGAGTTTACAGATGTAGTATTCACAGCTCTTCAGACGGAGAATATCAATGAATGTTAAATCCATGGAGAAAGGAATGAACAGGAAGTGAGAGCACATGGTGTACTTTTGATGTTTAACAAGTGAAACGTGTTACAGGAGGCTTACCGTCTCTTACCTGTAGGGGGCGTCTTTACAAACATTATGCATTAGCATATTAATATGTTCAGACGGGGGAGTCTCATCACCCGTGTAATATTTAAGGCAGTTTGGACGCTGTGTGTCTGAGGACTTCCTCTTTCATGATCTCTCTCTGACTCTCTGACAGCCAATCACAATCTGCTACATCATCATACAAACGCAGGACCCCGAGCAGAACTTACACCGGAACCCTTATTACGCTCTCCCACGCCATGGATTTTTGCCCTACAGTCATCACCGGTGAAAACAACACGTTTTGTCAAAGTGCACATGACATAAATCAGCCGCAGCGGTAGCTAAATAAAAGTGGCGTTCTTCTGCATGTTTCACTCTGACACTCAGAGCGGAGGCAGCGTCTCACCGCTTAATTCCACCAGATACGTGTTCGGTCCAACTGGAAGCACACATCAACCGCGGGGTTGATGTGTGCTTCCAGTTGCTGCGCTGCGTCTCCGCTCCGTCAGTCCGGAGTCCTCTGCAGCAGATACACAAGGCTTCTGTTTCTGCAGGACACGTGCGCGCATCACACAGGTGAGCACACTCCCACCAGTGGACAGAGAGTGAGCGTCGGACAAAATGTTGCGTCAACCACCCGAAAAGCAGACAGAAATATCTGCGTTTTTGAAAGGCTCCCAGGGTGGTAAAGATGGCAACACTCGCTCTCCTGCGAATAGCAGCAGGAGTAAGGCTGCGGGTTCAAGTACAGAGAAGACCCAAGCGCTGCACGCCCTGCCCCTGACAAGCAGCAAAAGTCCAGTCACCACCAGATGACAGGTTTTGCCCCAGCTTGGCTGTCAGAGGGGAAACGCTCCCCCTGGCTCTACAAGACTGTTATTGGCAAATCCTTGTTCAGTTATTATATTGACTGTCGTCATTAAAAGAAACACCATGATTCCATGAAAACAAGTGTTTGTGTTGGTGTCCGTCTGCGCCCCCCCCCCCCAAATAAATCTTTTCTTTTTTAAACTGCAAACCCAGGGTAAACATTGGATTCTGCCTGTCGAGGCCGAGGTCGGTTCGTCCCATTATGATCCTGTTATAGACCTGAACCTGGACCTTCTCCCCGCCCCTCTTTCCCACTAGACCAGGATTTATTTGCCTCACTTCTTTTTTTTTTTATTACTGATCTCCTCCCCTTCCTCCTTCTTCTGCACGCACACATACACACACATGCGCGCACACACACACACACAAACATGCATATACACACACACTCGCATCAAGTCTCTCTGCAGAACAAAAGGCCCTTGATCTTTCCCTGAGGGCCGCGGCACGCAGCGGGTTAATTCTGACTCGCCTTGTGTCTGTCGCTCTTTTTGTGTGTGTGTGGTTTCATCTTGTGTGTGTGTGTTTGTGTGTGTGTGTGTGTGTGTGTGTGTGTGTGTGTGTGTGTGGCTTGAGTTGGGGATACATGTTGAGGGGGGATGGGCGCCTCAGGTTTGGTACACAGGGTTTCCTACTTTGTCTGGCAGGGACTAGCCGGACAGGGGGGAGGAGGAGGAAGAGGGGGTTAGAGAGGTTAACAGAAAAGGGGTGTGGCTTAAGGTCCCGTCCCTCTCGCTCCCTCACTATCTCTCTGCATGTTGCTCGCTCGCTCTCTCTGTCTCTCTCTCTTGCCCTCACTGACAGGGTTTCCTGTGGCTGAGTGCAGGGGTGGAGTCCACGGAGATGGAGCAGTCTAGTCCCGCCCCCTCAGGCCCGCAACAAATTACTCACCCGCCTGAAATTAGGAATGCGCAATCTAGTGGCCACACACACACACACAATGAGCCCATGGGTTCAGCTTTTCTTGGCAGCAAACTCGACTCATGTGGTGCACAGAATGATTGTTTTACAGCGAGTCTGTTAAGACGTGCGTCTGTGGCCCTTTGCTCTAATTCTTCTTTTTATTATCTGAGGACTTTACATATTTTCAGGTCCAAATAACAGACAGGTAGAAAAGTTTGATTGCATAGCTGTCCTTGCAGCTTAAATGGCGTCTACAAAAAGTTGTTGTTTTTGTCCCTGACAGGCTCCTATAGTTATTCTCAGTCCACATCATTACAGAAAGGATCACTACAGAGAGAGACACTTTAATAAAGTTTGAGATGTTTTATTTTTATCAGAATCAGCAGTATTTCATTAATCCCCGGGCATTACAGTCGCTCCTATACACAGAAAATATAGGATTAAAAAAAGAAATGTGACGCAAATAATAAATAAATCAACAAGTGCAGAGTATTGGAGACGTAAAATGTTACACAGAAGTGCAGAGTTGAAAGAAAAAACAAGGCATACCAAATGTCAGTGTTGCACCGTAGTGTAATGAATCTAATTGTCCACCGGGTAAGATATGCTGTGAGAAATAAATCAAAGAGTTCACAGCTGTTTGGGGGGAAATAAGTCGAGGTTGGGACAGAGTTTCTGACGCTTTGAGGGAGGAGTTAAACCAGAAACACGTCTCACAACGTCGCCAGACTCCATTCATAAAATTGTTGGTTTGACCTCACAGAACATCAGCGTTGTTGCTTGTTTGTGTTTCGGTGTTTAAAGCACTTACCTACCCAGCTTTTTGTTTTCTTCGGGCAGAAAAGTGCCGGCTGTGCGCTCTGAACCATGCATATCAACCTGTCTCTATGACAACAGTCTTTTAAAAATGGTTTGGTATGACCGACAATGCTCCGATGGTTATTACTGCATGTATATTTTTTTCCTTCACTATGAGCATCAAGCGGACGATGTTTGTCCTCCTAATTTGTCTGCACGCGGAGCGGGGAGGATGTAAGTACAGGACACGATCTGTAGGAGACAATAAAATGTGGGTAATATCGGATATTTCAAAAAAGATGTCAACGCCTCTCTGAAAAGTTAAACAATTAAAAAAAGACGCTGGCCCTCAGAAAAAAACTAGCTGGACACGGTGCCTAAGTCATTTGTACTTAATTCTCGATGTACAACACTTACATCGAACGAGAGACAACATATCACTATGTTTGTATTACTTTATTTTGTAGCACTCACTTCCTGTCTGTTGGGACAGTTCTTGTAGTTTATGATTCTTGCAGCATTAAAAACGTAAAAAACGGCGCTCACAGTTGAACACAAACCTCAGTGAAATTCTGGACCTTTTCAAATCCTGTCAGTTTGCAACTCGCTCGTACGTCAAGTTTTGAAACAGCGGAGCAAAAAGCGGACTGAAATGAAGTCATCATCTCTGTGAGGTACCGAAGCAAGATTAGTGTTTAAAAAAAAAAAAAAAAAGGTTTGATGCTAAAATGTCAACACAACTCTGTTTCATAGTAACAACGCTCCGCCGTCATTATGCCCTAAGATGTTAATTCCCTGGTGATGCAGAGTAATGTCGGGATCCCAGTCTGTGAATTCAAATCATGTTTCAGTGTTGTGGAAGTGCAAGAGAGCACGGCACAGCAGGAGCTCCACATACACAGACATGCAGACATACACACAGCCCTGCGCTCCCCCGCTCCCCCGCTGGCTCTGCTGATCTCTGTTACTACCTCCAAAGGTGGTACAGAAAGGGGGATCTCTTCGTTCCCCCCCATTTCAACACCGCAAAATTCATATTGAAGGTGAAACTTCACAGGGATGTAGATATCGCGCCTTGAAACGGCGGCCTGATAAATGCTACTGGCGTCAACATTTCATTGTGAATACTTTCTCAGATTAGCGACAAATGTGTGACCACCAGGGGGCGTCAGAGGAAATTCCTGTCCATGCATCTGTGACGGTTTTGTTCTTTGACACACTGGCTGAAGAGTAGTGCTGCAGTGTTGTTACTGTGTCATGTCGTGATGCTGCGTGCTCTTTGTGTGACTCTGACGCGTTTGTTTGTTTGTGTTTTAGGAGAGTTCGAGGAGGAGTCGAAGCAGCCGACTCTGGCTGAACCACAGAAACACCAGCTCAAACACAGAGAACTCTTCCTGTCCCGACAGTTCGAATCCCTCCCTGCTACTCACATACGGTACGTCCTTATTCCAAGACACGCACACATACACACACACACACGTGCGCGGTGAACGAGTGAGTCGAAGTGTCTCTGCAGACACATTCAGACTGACATGTTCTGCACGTGCTCAGACTGTCTCATTTTATTTCCTTCACAGCATCCACAGCTGTTGATGAATAAATGTGCAGCACATATTTGACTTTGTGAAGCAGAGAATTAAGGACATAAACATCCAAGTATGATGTGAGGAAGTCAAACGTTTCGATGCTCCGATACCACACGTTTCAAAGCGATGCATCTCCTTTTATTTTCAGGATCGATGGTTTTAAAAAGTACCTACCCTTTAAAAGAAGGACATATTATTGAGTCAGATCTTTAACAAAGAAATAAAGAGAGCTTGTTTCAGTGAATGTTTGAAACAAAAAACAAAATTGAAATTTTGTTGGAATATACTCATCAAGAAATTAGAAACAGAAGTCCAAGTTATTGGAATTGTAGTTTTATCTGTGTGAATCTGACTGAATACACTGACTGTCTTAAATACGTCACGGCCGATTTAAAGTCGTTTCTGTTGTTGGTCATTAAGTCGTAAAAAACGAAACAGCCTGAAGTAAGAGAAGATACAATTCCCAACCCTAAGAGGTCCAATCAGTGAGATGTGTAGTGAGTGAAATGATAAAGGTATCTTACTATATGATCAGACATTAAGGAAACATGTTATGTTGAAGTGCTGGCTTCTCTGACAACAATGCAGCAGTCAGTATGTCCTCATTCTAACTTTAGATTCTGCTCCTGAATGATCTGGATTTGTTTGGAACAGAGGAGGTAGGAGGTTTTAAGGCACCCCCACATGGCCGTGTTGGACGCCCCTCTGTTTGCCAGATATGAGAGCAGTTATCAGGTCAAACCAACAGGTGTTGCAGTGATGGAAGAGGGCAAGAGAAGTGGTTCAGATAGAAGTTATTGTCCCCATGTTAGTCAGATACAAACTCTGGATTTCTCCATAATGAAGGCTGTCAACGTTGTTTACCCGCGTGCTTGTGCTCGTGCATGAAGTGTACCGTGCCAAAGCACACCTCTCCGATGTGTGCCAAAGCCAAGGAAGTGTACCGTGCCTGAGCACGATACGGAGCAGTCACACTGGCCAAACGAACTGGACTTTAGGGTTGAATCGTGCTTGGGCGTGGTACGGATGGCCAGTGTGACCGTGCCCCAATAAGCTCCACGAGCAGAAACGTGCTCAAACTAGGATCAATATTGGATAGTCGGGTTTTACTGGCTGAGATGATGGAGCCGAGATTATGAATCCGGCCCTGGCCCTTTGGTAGGAGAGACTGGGGGATGAAATGCAACAGTGTTTCCGGTCTCTCTTTAGCTGTCCTATTGAATAAAGGCAAAACCTCTTTATACATTTATACATTTATACATATATACAGTACATACATATTTATATAGAGTGTTAGTCTGGTATCCTCAAGCTCCTCTCTGTGTCTCCTCAGGGGGAAATGTAACGTCACCCTCCTCAATGAAACAGACGTCCTGGCCGGATACCTGGACAAAGAGGTAGGACACCACCCACTCACCTTTCTGCAGCTCAAACAAACACTGAACGATCTGATCTCTAATCTCTTCTGTAATCTGTGTGCAGGACTGTTTCTTCTACTCGTTGGTGTTCGACCCGGTCCAGAAGACCCTGCTGGCGGATCAGGGCGAGATCCGGGTCGGCTCAAAGTACCAGGCGGAGATCCCTGACAAGCTAGCAGAGGGTGAGTTAGAGAAACCAGACCTGTCTCACCCGTTAGAAACAGGAAAAAAAGCAGAAGTTGAACCTGTTTTTTTTTTTTCACCTCTCAGTTGAGTCAGACACCCGGGTCCAGGAGAAGCTGGAGACCAAAGTGTGGGACCCCGACAACCAGCTCAAGGACCCCCAGATCGACCAGTTCCTGGTGGTGGCGAGGTAACAAACCCCCCCTGTCAGCCATCTGTCACCCTGTTGCATCATCATCACTAGATCCTGTTGCCATGACAACTTTTCTGGATGAGATGCAGGAATCGTCAACAAGCCTAAACGTCTCTCACAGGATCAAAAGAATATCTTTGATGTATTTTTTTTTTTAAGACAAAATTAATTAATGAATATCTTGGTGAAGAGGAGGGAGTTTGAAAAATGCTCTTTTATAACTTAAAAATACAATAAAGAGAACATTTTCTCAGTGCAGTCGACATGTTGTCCCGAGGATTTTTGGACATATTAGTTTTATTTCAGCCTTTATTCTGAAAATGCAGGTAAACATAAATGACACTTTATTTTAGCATGATATGGACGTTATACTGCGATCTTTAGTCGCTGTAGAATGATTACAAAAAATTAAAAAAATAAAAATCTGCAGGAAATTTGATTTTGGAGGGAATCATCCGGCTGCCTTTAAACTGGAATGTGAGCCAAATGCTCCCCCTAGTGGTCGTTAAGTGAACATTCAGCAGTTACAGATTCACTTCTCTTCTCCTGTGAGTTAGACATTTACATATTTACAGGATGTGCTGTGACGCTCCGCACGACATACAGATTATATAGAGCACACTCTTTACCCGATCCCTCCTCCGACCTTTATCCCAAACATCTCACAGTCTGAAACTCGTCCTCGTAGAAATACTTTAACTCTGGAGGATACCTGGCAGGTTTTATAATCAGTGAGAGAAACATATCAAGAAACAAAAGAAGTGAAATATGAGTTAGATAAGTTGAAGAGAATGGTACAGAGAATTAAGGGTCTTGTTTGAAGTGTATCAGTAGCAGCAAAGCTCCGTCCTTATCATGTCGTGACATTGGTGTCCCAGTCTGTGAATTCACGTGCTGCAGAAGTGCGAGAGAGCTCCACACACACACACACACACACACACACACACACACACACACACACACACACACACACACACACACACACACACACACACACACACACACACACACACACACACACACACACACACAGCGCTGTTCTCCCCCGCTGGCTCAGCTGATCCTGTCTCTCCTCTGTTACCACCTCTAAAGACGCGGGACAGAGAGGGGGTCACTTCGTCCCCTCATTACACCTCCAAGACATTCAGATTGAAAGCCAAACATCACAGGGGCATAAATATCACTCATTGAGACGGCGGTTTGAACAGAGCTACTAACAAGCAGAGAGATATGTTAAGAAGAGGCGAGGGGATGATACTTCTTTAATCTGACTGCACATGTTTCATCTTGAACTTGATAAATCCCGGTGCTCATGAGAAGATCACCGATCAGTGATAAACATGTTTGTTTGTTTGTTTGTTTCAGAGCGGTGGGGACGTTCGCTCGCGCTCTGGACTGCAGCAGCTCCATCCGTCAGCCAAGCCTCCACATGAGCGCAGCAGCAGCCTCCAGAGACATCACACTGGTGAGAAGATTTACTTCAACATAAATGTATCACTTCATCAGGCCCAAATGTGTCGAAGAAAAGTTGTTCTTCCTGTTTCTGGAGGTTTTAAGGACTTGTACATGGCTGAGTTTTTGGATGAGCAGTGCAGCTCATCGTGTTGTTTGTGTAAAAACTACAAAAAAGATTTAAGATGACTACAAAATGTGTAAAATCTACAAAAAGATTTAAGATGACTACAAAATGTGTAAAAACTACAAAACTAAGCCACCGGTCAGCTGTTCAGGCTTCCTGCTGGAGTCCCCCAGGTTAAGCCTTTGATATGTAGTCGTGTAGTTTAAACTTTGCTTCAGAGGAACGATGAGCAACAGCATGATGTCACCGTGGACCGGGTGTCTATAAAACAGCACTGCTTGTTTTGTTCGTGCCTTTGTGCTCCGGCCATCATAAAAAAGATTTTGTAGGTCCCTTCTGAGAAAGGTTGTAATTCTCCTCCTCTCTGCCGTCAGTTCCACGCCATGGACACGCTGCAGAAGAACGATTACGACCTGGCCAAAGCCATGTCCACGCTGGTCCCTCAGGGGGGGCCGGTCCTCTGCCGGGACGAGATGGAGGAGTGGAGCGCTTCAGAGGCCATGCTGTTTGAGGAGGCGCTGGAGAAATACGGCAAGGACTTCAACGACATTCGCCAGGACTTTGTAAGCTCTTCTTCTTCTTTATGTTAGGTCATTTCAGGATCTTTTGCACAGCTGGAGAGAGACAGGAAATAGAGGGGAGAGACGGGGGATGACATGCAGCAAAGGGTCAAGGTCGGATTTGAACTCTGCTGCAGGGCCGTAGACTTTCTGTACAAAACTGCTAGGCTATTCTGAGCCCCAGATCATCTTCTTTTTTAAAAGCTTGAATATTAATGGTTTAAACTCTGCTTCTCCTCCCTCAGCTGCCCTGGAAGTCTCTGGCCAGTGTGGTCCAGTTTTACTACATGTGGAAGACGACAGACCGCTACATCCAGCAGGTACGTCTGCACAGACACACTTACACCAAAAGGCAGCTAAGGTGTGTTCTGACATGAAGCTGTTTAAATATTTCATGTGACAAATGTCATGGAGAGTCAATGGAAGGACTCAGAGCTTGTGATGAGGACACAAATGACTGGAAGCAACTAAGTTTCAACTGGAGCGACAGATTTGCTCGACAATGTGTCATCAACAAAAATCAGCTCTTAGATTCCCCTGACTCTTTATGATTCGTCAGAAACATTCAAAGAAGCATTTTCAAAGTGAACACGAGCCAAAATATTCAGCTTGTTTTTGTCTGAAGCGCTTTCAGATGATTGACTTCCTGTTTCTCTTCTCTGGTCAGAAACGACTAAAGGCTGCGGAGGCAGACAGTAAACTGAAGCAGGTCTACATCCCCACATAGTGAGTATAAATCCTATAAGTCACCGGAAACTGTACCACCCCCCTTTTAGGAAACTGTACCACCCCCCTTTTAGGAAACTGTACCACCCCCCTTTAAGTCGAGCTCTCAGAAGAACTCTCTGTCTTCTTTTCAACAGCACCAAACCCAACCCAAACCAGATCATGGTTCCAGGGAGTAAACCGGGAATGAACGGAGCTCCAGGCTTCCAGAAAGGACTGAGCTGTGAAGGCTGCCACAGTGAGTGCACACACACACACACACACACACACACACACACACACACACACACACACACACACACACACACACACACACACACACACTGGGAAGACAGGGTCCTGAAGTCCTGTCAGGGTTTAGATGTGTACAGAAGCCTGTCGTGGTATCTTTGCACATGTAGAATGTGAAGGAATCTGACAATGTGTTCTGGTTTCTATTTATTTAGAATAACTTATTTTATATCTATTAAACCCTCCTCTCACCTCCTCAGCGGCTCAGTCTCCTCAGTGGTACGCCTGGGGGCCGTCCAACATGCAGTGCAGACTGTGCGCCTCCTGCTGGATCTACTGGAAGAAATACGGAGGCCTGAAGACCCCCACACAGCTAGAGGGCGCCGCTCGAGCTGGCTCTGTAAGTCCCCGCTGGCCCATTTCAACATGAAGTTTTTGTTTTCAGAAAGTAAAAGTAGAAATCATCAATTCTGTTTCATCCTCATTTTTCCAGGAGTCAGGCCCCCGCGGTCACATGACCCGCCAGGAGGTCCAGGGTCTGTCCCCGTTCACCCGTAACGAGGGTCGAGCCAAGCTGCTCGCAAAGAACCGGCAGACGTTCATCCTGCAGACCACCAAGCTGACACGCATCGCCCGCCGGGTGTGTGAGGACATCCTGCAGCCTCGACGCGCTGCACGCCGACCCTACGCCTCCATCAACGCCAACGCGGTCAAGGCAGAGTGTACGTATACCTATACAAATTTTACAGGTCGTTTAAAACACCACCTTCCGTGGTTAAAGTGTTTAATCTTAAACGTGTGTGTCCTCAGGTATTATCCGGCTGCCTAAAGCCACAAAAACTCCCGTGAAGAGTAAAGTGATTCCTCGTCCGTCTCTGGCCGCCATCGTGAAGGACTTAGGTGAGAGCACGTTGTGTGACATCACTCCCTTTCGTCTGTCTTTCCTCCGCTCTGATTGGTTGTTGAGTTTTTGTTGTCGTCGTGTCTCTGCAGCCATCTCTGCCCCTCTGAAGCTGAAGGCGTCTCGAGGACCGTCGACCCCCATCAACAGGAACCAGGCCAGCCAGCCACGAGTGGGGCAAAGCCTGCTGGGAAAGAGAGGCTTCGACAGCGTGAGTACACACACACACACACACACACACACACACACACACACACACACACACACACACACACATATTTAAACCCCCTCATCTTCCTAAACAAACCTTTAAAACACCCTCAGTCTGATTTTCTTTAACATCTTGGTTGATTCATTCTCCTGCTCTCTGATTGGATCACAGGCTTCAGGGGCTCCCTTCCCAGCCAATGGGAGGCCGTACACTTCAGGTATGAGGACCACCTCTCAGTCGGTCATCAAGCGGCAGAAGGTTAGCCAGGGGGAAGCTCCAAACCCGGTGGTGTTTGTGGCTACAAAGGACACCAGGTACATTTGAGTCCCTCACACCTGTTTCACCTGTCGTTATCAAACAGGCAGGTCACTGGACTGTGGTCGACCTTCTCGTTGACGTTCTGGTTCTCTTCCCCTCTCAGGGCTCTGAGGAAACACCTGACTCAGTCTGAGATGCGTCGGGCAGCGAGGAAGCCTCACCTTCTGGTCCGGATCAAGCTGCCCCCTCCTCCCCGTTCCCTGGCCATGCCCCTGATCCCCTCCAGCACCAGCGAGCCAATCGTCCTGGAGGACTGAGGAGGAGAGACGGGAGGGGGGGCGGGGCTTTCAGCAGGACACGGGGTTTGGGGGGAGGGGTCTGTGCTCAGGCCGTCACATAACAGGCAGCACAGCACGCCATAACTGTAGTCTTTCTTTCCTTTTTCAGCGTCATTTTACTTTAGTCCTCTGTTACCTCCCAGGTTGTCCCACAAACAAACACCTAAAAACACACACAAGCACTTAGACAACGACACATTTACACACACACACACACACACACACACACACACACACACACACACACACACACACACACACACACAGCCTGCTGGGATTTGTAGTTTTTTATCAACATCACAAATTATTTTCTCCTTTTTCAGCGCTGCCTGTTTTTAAATGTGTAACTTAAATTGAGATATTTCTCCTCCTGAATCGACAGTGATAAAGCACACTTTGGTTTTTTTCCTCCACGTCCCGATCTTTGTGTAAATACCTGCACCACAGACCGTGCGTGAGACAGCTGAGGTCAGATTTGGCTCAAAAGTTTCCCTCGTCCAATGAAGTCCAGCAGGGAAACGTCCGCTTGCAGCTCATTGGTTTAAATTTAGGAGGCGTGTCGTCAGATCTGCTCTCAGTGTTCGATCCTTCAGCTGCGTTTATCCGTTGTATGATGCATGTTGCATCAGGTTCCCACCTGCGTCTCGAAATATATAATGCGCTCCGTGATACGGAAGCCTCCAAGTGTCAAAAAACATTGAGCAAACAAAATACAGCTCCAGAAGTAAGACGGATGTGCAAGCATTTAAGAAAACTACGGAAGCCCAAAGAGGACATTCATACATTTTGTTCCCCTTCATGACAAGTAGTTTCTGACTTAGTTGAAGGAATCTCTCCGGCTACAGCCGCTCCGCAGATGAAGGTCTGTGGACTTCTTCTGTCCGGCAGAATCTAAAAAAGATCTGTTCTGATTTGTGTGTTTCAAAACTTCTCGGTTGTTTTCTGGAGGTCTCAACTTGTTCCAGTTGTTACCTCAAGAACACAACGCTGGTATCCCAGTGACAACGAGTTCATTTTCCAAGATCTCGAGAAACCGACTGAAATGAAGTCCTTGCCACCAAAGTTCTCCAGAGAGAAAGAGATAAATAAGTAGTGATCTTTGCTGGTTCTTCTGTGTTATCACAGAAAAAGAACTCATTATCACAGGGAAAGTGGCGTTATTATCCAGAGATCAGTTCTTATTCATGAGAACACAACACTGCTTTTCCCATGATGAGTGAACTCATCAAGATCTCAACAACACAAATGAAATAGTTTTGTTAACACAAGATCTGAAGAACACAAACTTTACTCGTTATCAGAAAAGTAAAAAGTATGGATGTTCACCCTCTTTGGGATCTTAAATCAGTTAAATCATTGAGGTCTGCAATTCAACATTAGTAAGAATTTAATCTACCAGGATAATCTTTAAAAAATCTTTAGTCCAAAACCTACACTTTGAGTTTAATACAACTTTAGCTGCAAACATAATACCGACTCAGTCGATGAAACAAGGCACATTTGCAAAGTTAGAACTTTTTTTTCACAATGTTCTGCATCAAAGAGCTGATCAGCGACGTCCTCACTTAGAGAAATCGTCTAACGTTCAGAGGACGAAGCATTTTAAGAGTTATAAGCAGCAGTTGATGCTAATTAGTGAAGGAGGAGGGTCTGAATAACTTGACGCGGACATGCAGAATTTGGTACGTTAAAAAAAAAGTTTCAGCTCGAGGGACCAAATCGCTGCGAAAGCTCGTTGAGACTCTCATGTTGCAGGCCAAGCTGTCAAATCCAGACTTTTTATAGATCATCATCCTGGTGTCGTTATTTCAGCGTCCTTTAAACCAGTTTCTAGTCGTTAAATCTCTGTGAAGATCTGTTTGTTTTTGGTTCACAGCACTGCAGATCTCAGCCTTCTTTAGAAGGACTTCCAATCCTGGTCTTGACCCGACGGGTCATCAAATTGGGACCTGGTACTGATACTAGCTAACAGGTTTTGCAGACCAGGACCTGGAGGAGGAGGGAGATTGAATGAGCTGAGAGAGAGAGGACTGAGGTGTTTGGTTTTCACAGATCTGGATCCCCGTTTGTGTTTGTTCCTCTTACACTGAACCCCGACTTCGATTTCCTGATGTAGGTGCTTTAATCCACTTTTTTATAGTAATGATTCCTTCGTCCTTTTTAACCCTCCGTACCGGCTCCACCTGAACGCCACAGTTTTCAGTTTTTAAGAGGAGGACGAGGGTTGGAGGTCGTTCCTCTCCTCTTTGCTCGCCTGCCGCTCTTTTCTGACCACTGCGAGCTGTTAGACAGTCTGACGCTGAGAGGTGTAAAAAAAACAGTCAAAAATCAAAAGGTGGGGGCGGATCAAATTATTTAGAGTCTGTAGTTTAACAGCGATTGATGAGGAACTCTACAATGTTTGAGTCTGAAAAGAAGCCATAACGTGAAAAAAAAAAAAGAAAGTGAAGCCGCTGCGTTTCTGACAAAGTACTGTTCGCTCTGTGAGGATGAAACTGACACACGCCGTTACGTTTGTGGTCAGTTGATGAAAAAGTCTGTTAAAAAAAAAAAGAAGCGGCAATATGTAAATGTATGGAAGGCAATTAGGGCCAAAAATCAAGTTCTGAAAGGTCAGAGCGGTTTTAAAAAAACGGCCTTATCGATTGATTGGGTTCGACGTCGGTGTGAAAGTCCAGCTGTCTCAACGTGTTTATTTTATTCCCCCGTTCGTGTCGCTCTGAAACGGAGAGCACTAAAAAAAGATTGGGTAATTCAGAATCGAGGGGTTACTCTGGTTTTATAATCACATCTGGTCCCAATGTGGGCTTCGTTATATTTCTCAAAAGAAGAAGAAATTGAAGTGTGGAGTTTGTAGCAAATACTAACGTGTGTAAAGAGAAGCGGGGAAACAGGCGTGTTTTAAACTTTTTTTTTACATCTAAAGTGTGTCGTTCTTCTGCTCCGGTGTTGTGGAGATGGCTCTAACAGGTGGATGTGAAACAGCGCTCTCCTTCATTAAGTGGGCGGGGCTTAGGGGAGGGGGGGCAGGGTGGGGGTGGGGGGTGATTTGAAAAGGGACGGGGCTGATTTTTTGTATGACGGAGAGACAAACATGCTACAACTGAAACTTTTTCTCAAGTGTTTTTTATTCCAATGTCTCTGTATCCTTTAATGTATCTTGATAAGAAAAGAAATAAAGATTTTTGTTTTCTTCGTGGTCAGTCACGGCTCTTAATGGTCTCTTTATTCCAGATTTTTCACCGTAGACGGTAAATAGGACCGGTCTCTCTGTGGCTGTTTTCTCCTCCAGGAACAGACGGGTGACGTCACTCAGGCTTCAAACATTCATATTTACAGTTAATGGGTTGTTCACACATGCACCTCACAGCAGGAGACTACCCCGTCAGGCGGGGGGGTCTCCTGAGGTAAGACGTGATGTAAAGTGAGTGACGAAGTAGCCTACGAAGTCCTATATACGACGCTAAAATTAGAATATGTGTCTTTCTATCAATGCTACGTGTAGTTGAACAGAATGTCAATGTGAACTAAAGAGTGGAGAAGAACATACTGGAGAACAGGAAACATAATGCAGCAGGTTCATTAGAGCACGGAGATGGTAGAGGTGGCGTACATGGGGGCGCAACCAAACTGCTGGGACATCTGCGCCCGTTAGCATTAATTTCTGATGTGACCCCAAAGCAGTCTGGCTGCATACCTTCACTGTGAGGCTCCTCCAACTTTGTCATATTTATTTTTTGTGAATATACATTGAAGAGAATTTCATTGACAACTATAAATTTTATTAATTTTGTTTCTAAATGTTAAATGGAGAGTTTTGAGGTACACACAAATATTTGCAGGTTTGTAGTGACCCTGTGTCTCCTCTGAAGCAGTGTGCTGCTGTCTGCAGAGAGAGGAGTCTCCCTCATGTGAGTTTGCATCTCCTGATTCACGGCCCGTTGCTTTTTCCACAACATCACTGTCTTCATTTACAGAGGCAAAGAGTGCATGCAATGGTGGTTATACTGAGAGCGCCCTCTGCTGGATCAAACTACTTCAGACAGCCTGATAGGATGATAGACCGAATATTTTTAACTTGAACAGCAAGTAAGCCTCCTGACAAAAGGAACAAACCTGGAAACCTGTAGCCCTCTTTGTATTTACAGCTTCTTTTACAGCATTGTCATCAGAGAGTTGATCAAAGATTCAGATCATATAAATTAAAACTTGTTGGTTTGTTCCAGAGTTCAGTGGAGCAGACAGAGAGCAGAGTCTCCTGTACTCAGCTGTCCGTCTCTGAAGAGTGATCAGTCCAAAGATGAACCTGAAAACTTCAGAAATGAACCTGGACCCTGCAGTGTTTCCCCTAGGATGCATGTGTAGCAGCGGTGGTGAAGTAAAACAAGTAATTCACACAAAAAAAAAATTGTACACATGCAAAGCTCACCCTGCCAGAATGTTTTGAGGCCTAAGTATATCATTTGTGTACACTAATGAGCAGTGGATATCCAGTCTCGCTTGCATATGAGTTGTCTTTTTTTTTTTTTTAAATAATAAAAGTGTAATCTTTTTTAAGATATTTTTTTTGGGGGCGTTTTGTGCCGTTATTGTAGAGAAGCTTACGCCCCCGGAGAAACATTTTGACCATAAAAGCCCAAATATGATGACCTCTAGCACATTTCAATAGGAGCAATATGCCACACCTAGCGTTTAAAATGGCTCATAACATTTTTTCAAAAGCATTTCCAAATGTTTCCTTAATGACTAATGATATATAGTGGGGTTGACATTAATTAAGTTAAATTTGCCACTGGTTTTTAAAGTCTGATTCAAAAGTAATTTAACTTTTTCTAATGTATTGAGTTTTTCTCATATTACACATTTTCAATTTTATTTTCATATTTATTTGCTCATGTAAGAGCATAGTTGATATTAACCATTGCTCATCCATTCATACACATTCACACACTGATGGTAGAGGCTGCTGAACCTCTGACCTTCCGGTTGAGAGATGACTGACTCTACCACTGAGCCAAAGCCATCTCTCCCTTCTGAATCTGAAGCTTTGTGAAATATATATCTAGTTGTCTTTATCCGCTTAATGCATTGACTCACAACTTTTATATTTGATATTAGATATATCGGACAATTCCTGTTCACACATGCAGCTCAGCCTGATGAGGTCAGGACATTTTAGGAGAGCAGGGCATATTTTAAAGAGGCTATAAAGAGAAGATTATTATAATAAATGTTACATATGATCA